TATTAAGCGAGATATTAAGCAATACGCTAAAGGAACGCTAAGTAAGGATTATTTTAGCGCTTACTTTAGCGTATTGCTTAATAACTCCGCGAATAGAAATCGTAGAAGTTAGTAAAGGGTACCGTTGAATAGCTCTTTTTATTACGAATCTAATGGTATATTTTATTATTTCATACGATTAATATTTGTAGAGTTATTAAATTATCACGTGATTAACGCACCGACGTTATTTGTATGGGCTAGGGGGGTGGCCAGGTTAAGTGGGAGATGCGTTAGTATAAGCTTCTTTTCCTTTTTTTATATAATAAATGTTAATATTTTTATATAAATAGTATTCCTACCCCTTTTACCTTTATTTTTTCTATTAAAGAATAATAATTAATACTTTATTATTATAATATATTTTAATAAATAGTTTTAAGCTTACCTAATTATAATATTACTATTATATAAAGATATTATATTTTAACTTAAATTTTGTTTAATTAGTTAAATTATATTAATACCCTTTTAATTTAATTTTGAAAGGTCCTATTTACTTTGCTTTATTTTAGGTAAAATTAAAACCCGGTAATTGGATAGGTATATAGTTTAATTAAATTGGATATCCTTTCGTACAATAATAGCTTATATAAATATAATCCTAAATTTTATATGCTAAGTGTTAAGTGCCAAGTGCCAAGTCCTTTAGGCTATCTCCGATGATTTGTCCTATGTGGTCCCACTGGACCTTCATGGGGCTCCCCAAGATCCTTCCCCAGGTTAATAAAGCAGAGATTGTCTCGCAGCACCCCTTCCCAGTTCCCATGGCGCTCGTAAGGGAAAGGCGTGGTTTGTCCAGTCGGCAGATACCCTCTTTTCTTGTACCAGGCAATCAACTCAGTACGGGTGTTCACGGCGTCGAACTCCATCCTAGGAGAGCCCCATTCGCGATAGGCGTATTGTTCAGCCCACGCAAGCACCTTGCTACCGAGGCCCCGGTTCTGACAGTTGACGTCCACGGCTAACATGCCAAACCATGCGCGGCCGTTATCAAGTTTGCGCACGGAGCCGTGGGCCACCAGAGACCCGGTCGATCGGTCCTCGACGGCAAGAACGGCGCAATCGGGCTGGCTGATCTTGGCAATGATCGTAGGTACGTCAATAACATCGACACTGCGATCATCCGTCAAGAACACCTGTGTTGTCTTGTCGGCGAGAAAAGCGGTGTTGATGAGGCGTCCTAGTGGAATAGCGTCTTCAACCGTCGCAAGACGGAAGTCGAGATCGACGGTGACCATGCTGTTTGGCTAGGGTTTGAAGAGACTTTCTCAGGTATTGTTGCTTTCAAATGTGTGTGTCGAAAAGAACCAAGACGAAGGCTCAAATGATTTCATGCCGGGCTGATTGGAGAGTATTGGACGATGAATAAATAGTCGAAAATTCTCATCGCTATCGCTTGGATAAGTATGTGGAGGGCGCGCATGAGTGTAGGATGAAGGGCGCGCTTGTAATTGATCAAGGCAGAAGGATCTCATCAGGTGATGTCTCAGGTGAAGCTTGCATTATGTGCCTATCTCGAACATGAAAATAGCAGCCCTGCAATACCCGCCAGTCGCCGTAGTCCTGAAGTTGTCTGTTTCTTTGCTCCAAGAATGGCCTGGTCTCGAGCGCTGGGCAACATTTAAAGAGATGCCAAGCTTGCACAGATGCTTGGGAGTCATCGCCGCGATCCCTCTGAAGACCCCTCACTCGCGAACTTCTGGCTGCTACTGGTAGGTATCGTGTTGATATGATGGTTAGGGACAGAAAGGCAGAACAAAATTGTACGCCTAGAGATGAGCTTTTTAACCTATTTTTTACACATTTCGATCATATTCTTTTTGAATTGGTTAGTCTGACCACATCTCAAGCGATAAGTCATTCAATTCAATCACAATTATACTATTTGGCCTCATTACAGTGCTATACAATGTTAGTAATACCACCAGGATCTGCTCACCTGTTCACTTTCTCGAGTGAGACGACTGACTCGATGAAGAATGCTAGAATACCTGAACGAATGATGGATTATGATCGGGGGTCACAGATAGCCCAGAAAAAAGACCACAGTTAACGTACTGTACTTGACACTGAGTACGCTTCAAGTTGAGTTGCTTACATCTTACAACCATACGCGGCCAGTCTATAAATATACAAAATATAAGCTTCCAGTTGATTTATTTTTTATTTATCTATTTATTCCCCCCCCCCAGTGGTAGTTAGGAATAATCAGGAACTGGTCAGGTATCCCTTTAGTGCGCCGCGCGGTAGTTATTAATGCTTTTGTACCCGTCGTAGGACTCCATGACTTTCAAGACCCAATTTTAACTCGTTCGACGTATCGTGCCGCTCCTGTTAACAAGTCAATATAAGTAGTAGGTACTCCGTAGAAACCCACAATGAACTAGTTTTCCTTGCCATACTTATGCACTAAACTTCAAATAGTGCGATGTATTTATAGCCATTAGTCTAGGTATTACAAAGTACACGAAGTTTGGATGGCTTTGATAGGCTGGTATGGGTGATCTTTGCATGTTATGGAACGTTTTCATGCGACTATGGGAATAGCCAGTCTTACCAACATTGTTTTATGAAGTATAACATATTCTAAGCCCCCTATGTACTACTGTGATTGAATATTCGTGTAGTATTTATAAAGTCTAGATTTACAAACTGAACTGACGAATAGGTGACTACATCTTTCCTTTTTCCCACAATAGCCAGGCAAGAAGAGCCTCCCAGGTACGTCCAGTATGTCACGATTGATTGATCAACTCCCGGCACCTAAGGAGGTGAAGGAGAAGAAGGTCATTGTCCTCAGTCGCAGCCGGTAAGCCACACTCTACCCTTCCTCAACATGGCATGAAGTGAGTGCTAACACAAAATCAAGTGTTGGGACCTTCTCACTTTACCAAGCCTTGAAGATGCTTGGCTACAAGAGTTATCATCAGGCCGAGGCGGTGGAGAGAGGCATCCCTCACATGTCATTGTTTGAGGAGGCGTTGAGATGCAAGTATCTAGATGGGGGCAAGCCATATGACAAGGCCGATTTCGACAAGTGGCTCGCCGATTATGATGGTAAGTAGCGTGTCATATCAAAAGTAGAATCGCCACGTCTGTTGCTGACCTGCCTACAGTGAGTACCGTTGATACCTTTGTTATACTGCATAGATCTATCTATAAGACCGATAAATTTGACAGCAACCTCGGATGACAGGCGCTGGTAGAGATACCCCAGTATTTTGTTGAGGAATTCATCGAGTTCTATCCCAATGCGCTATTCATTCTCACGGAACGTAATCTTGAGTCTTGGACCAAGTCGGTGAAAAACACAGCGGTGCCTATGTTCATATCGCTGAGAAGCTTCCCCTTCACGGCGATTCGCAGAATGGACTCTTTCGTTGACATTTTCTGTTCGCTGCATGTGACCCTCGAGAAGGTATACTTTCATAACAAGACGTGTCAAAGCGAGGAGGGCATCAAATTGTCAGAACGCGATACGGTGGAACAGTGAGACTGCCTCCTAGTGATGTGTCTTGGTAAGAGCAAGTGTGTGCTGACAGAGCATCTAGGGCCAAAAGAGCGAAGGCATTGGTACCTCCCGATCGGCTGCTGGTAGCGAAATTAGAAGACGGGTTCGGATGGGAACAGCTCTGCCCGTTCCTCGGCCACCCGATCCCGGAGGCACGCTACCCGAGGGGGAATGCACCGCAGGAATTCCAGAAAATGGCTGATGATCTTCTGGTGCCGCGGGTTCGCAAGGCTGGCCTAACGGCACTCTCTGCGGTCCTGATTCCCGCGCTGAGCATTGGAGCTTGGTATTATTTGAAAGTGGTGAGACGACACTGATTTCGACCTGATGGCTCCTACTATTTCGCATTTACTCCATTTCCATCTGGATGGATTAGCTCCCTTTAAAGCCCGATGTGGGCAAAGAACGAAGAATGTAGCCAGGGGCAGTAAGAACATAGTGCCATAGCATAACGTCCTCAAAATAAGATTCTGGTGCATGCGCGCCTTGTATTCACAGATATCGATGTATGCAGTATTGGGAGCCTCTAGGTTTAGGTACCTACAGTACATATGTACCTAGGTAGGTACTCAGTACTAGTAGCTTAGGTATTAGTTCCCCCACACCGCGGTACTTACCGCCTATCTAGGTACCCTGTCTCTGCCTGCCATTTCTATCTACTTGTACTGTACCTGGGCATGCTTACGTCACGGCAAGACATCGCATGTTTTCGCTTCAAGGTGGAACATCCAAATTGCACTACATCTTTTCTATGTTGTATGTGTTGTGGATCTGCTACGCTGTGCGAACCATCGACACTTACATTAGCATGGCTCTCCTTGTCCCTCACCTGTCAGGTACTTAAACATGGGTCAAAATCCGTCACACGAGGCCGTACATGCCTCCAAGGCCGAGCTTACAGCGCATCTCGTACGCTCAAGAAATGCCTGCTTAACCTGGATTGCTGCCAGTAGACTAATGTGCTCTTCGTTTTCCAGGCCGACAAGTTCGCCCGTAGATGCTACGAGCCTCTGGAGCTCTACTCCTTCAAGGACAACTTCAAGTCTCTCGCTGATCGCGAGGGCGATGTGCGCTACCTCAGGGAAGATACAATTGCACGCTTCCTCGAGGTGCCTGACATACTCGCTGTCTCGCCTGTCATATTTCACATGATCTCCTTTATTGGTGCTTTTCCTTTTCTCAACGATGCCCCCGTTATTCTGGGCTTTGACCAGATGATTATGGTTGTCGCTATCATGACTGAGCGCTACGCCAAGGTCCTTGCCAAGGGTGCTACGAACCGGAGAAAGCTGTTGTTCAAAAGTCTGGCCGTGTACGATCGTAAACTGTCCGAGATACAGAAGCAGGAGCCCGCTCCGGAGATAGATCCCAGTCAAAGAGGCACTGCAAGCCACGCACCTGGATTTGCGGTGGATCAAGCTGTCGACGGTGATGATGATAATGATGACTATGATGATGATGACTTGGTCATGTCCGCCTTTGATTCCCTTGATATTAATGATGCTTTCAGAACAGGAGATGTTCACGCTGCCACCACACATGGCGCCATGATCCCAGCCGATAACTTTCGAAGACTGATCATGTTGCTTCTAATAGCAGCGCCGCTCGGTCCACAGGAGAGTCTATCAGCCTATACAGACCGCATCAGCGGTCCTGCTCTCGATAGCCTTCGTGCTACCGCCGAGAACGTGTTGTCTGCTTTCATCGATGTAGAGAAGTCGCCCGGCATTACCTTCGCCCAGTTTTCTGAAGTTCTGCCTACTAATTTCCCGCATCTCTTCAATGGACTTAACCCGCTATTTGAACATTTCCTCTTCTCTAAAAACCTGGATCTCTCCAAGCGTAAGGACAGCACAGCTACGCCCATACCCCGAAGTCTTGCTCCACCACCCCTTCTCCAAGATAAAGGAAATATCTTGAACCTAGACATTCTTTCACAGCTATCGTTCTTCATAAAAGGCGACGACCTTTTCCGACGGTTACGGCTTCTTTACTCTGGCGCAGATTCGGGTTATTCGATGGGCAGTTTCGAGACCAAAGTGTTCAACTGGCGCGCCCCTACTATCCTTCTGGTATCAGGAACTCGCCTCGAAAAAGACGGGCCAAAACGCGGATCTGAGGGCGTGTTCAACGAATCTTTACCCCCGCAACGATTTCCTAACGGTAGCAGCCCCGATCGCAACACCGTGGTCTTCGGTGCCTTACTAAGACAGCCATGGCGAGTGACAAACAAAGAATGTTTCGGAGCAGATGATATGGTTCTATTTCAGCTAGCTCCGACACACGATGTTTTCTCGGCATCCTCGATGAACAAGAATTATGCAGCGTTCACTAAGGCGCCCTCAACTCATCCTGGAATCAGCTTTGGCTCGCCACCCCCTGCCTCAAGCTCATCCTCGCGCCATGCTCCACTGAGGAACTTAGGACCGGTATCCCTTGCGCTCGACTCAAGTTTCGAGTTTGGCGTCTTCAATCATGATTTTACGTCACGCGGCGGCGCCTTTTCGACCAGTGTCTCGCGCAAGTTCGACTTCCAAGAGCGCTTCTCCATCGATGACATCGAGATTTGGGGCTGTGGAGGTGATGAGGAGGCAAGGATTCAGAAGGAGCGTTGGGAGTGGGAAGCGAGGGAGGCTGAAGCTAGAAGGCGTGTTAATCTGGGCACCGGTGACATTGAAGCCGATAGAGCCCTTCTTGAAATGGCCGGTCTGATTGGATCGAACCGGAGCGGGGGCTCAATGGCTTAATTATTTATCTTTTGTCCTTCCAAAATTGCTCTGATGTAAGGCGTTTTGAAATTCTAGATTTGGCGGTAGGGGTTTGGGTTTGGGGTTTGTTCAGTATGCTGGCGTGTATGATAGAGTAAAGATGAGAAACTCCGTGTGATATCCATGGGATGGTAGGCAATGTAGATTATCTCATATGGGGCATCTCATTTATCATTATAATCATACAATGTACACAGCGTATATACAGATAAAGCGGGGGTTGTTCCCAGTGATAGGACCGATATTTCCTTGATGGTACCTGTTCCTTTTTTCCGTTCCAACATACAGTAATTTTTACGCCTCAAGGCCCATTGAGAGCCTAGGGGAAGTGTAGAAGACAACACTCAGGGCTACTTTTTCGGTACTTCTGCATTTGCTTGTGTATTTTCAGCGGACCCTTTTTTCGTACCGAACCAACCCCACCCTCCCTTCGTACCATCGACTTTGCTTTCGGCTTCGGTACTGGCGGCGGCGGTCGTGGTTGAATCCGCGGACAAGGTGGCGACCTTGGACCCTTGCTCTTGAGCCTGCTCTTCGAGACGCTTCTGCTCGAGGCGGTCCCGCTTCCTCTTCATAGCGGCCTGGAGCTTCTTGTCTTCCTCGTCTCTCATCTCCAGCTCGCGTATCCATTTCTCTTTCTTCTCCTCGGCACGCTGCTGGGCCTCGAGCTTGATCAGCTCCTTCCGCTTCTCACGGTCGGCGCCGTAGTACGCGCCACCGGCAACCATGGCTACCACGGTAAAGGCCTGGGCGGCGACACGGGCCCGGAACATGCGTTGCACCTGGACGTGGTCGCCGCGGCGCATCGCGCGGAAAGCGTTCCATAAGGCGAGACAGGTCAGGCCGGTGCCTAATTACATCGGGAAAGAAATGGTACAGTTAGTGATTGGGGGCTTTAAGGTCTCGCGCAGTCGGGAAAACGTGCGTTGTATTCGGTGGCTATATTACGAGGTAGAACAAGGCTATCGAGGAATTGGGTGTTGTCATGGTCACAGCGTGAGCGGAACGGGCGGAAGAAAATGCGTACCTAGGGGAATGAGAGGTTCTTCTCGTAATTTGCGGCCGATTTTCTGAAGACCAGTCTCTTGGTATTCTCTAGATGATGGCGAAAAGCAGTCAGCCCATGTGAAAGGGACGCTGATCAGGTTGGAGCATACTCATTCTCGTCGAAAGACGAGGGGAGTGGGCGGTCGGCCATGACTCTTGGAAATCGACTATAGGACCACGGATATGGAGGACAGCGATTGAAATTGGATGTAATATTCAGGTTGTTACCAAATGGCACGAATGCTTCTATGATGGCATGAATAATCGTATGGGTGTAAGGGTAGCTATACCCCACCAGTAGCCCCAACCGGTTAGTTACAAATACCTACCTAAGGTAAGGAAGGTACATGACACAGCATGATAACTCGAACTCTCATGAGATATATACTCCTTCAAACGGAATAAATCGTAGGTTGTTTGTTCTTTGAATAGCATCAGTTACCAGGAAAAATGTATATGCCAACACTGTCGCCTTCCCATGTGTCGAGTATGTTTGACTTACAAGTCAATCTGGATATAAGTACCTAATTGTAGGCAAGGAACATTTTGCCCAGTCCCATGCATCTTGTTTCTGAAATCTTCGCCATTTGCCAGCGTCAGGTCCGAATTTACCGTCCCAAATCCTCAATAACCAAATGTACTCAATACGCTAGACGGTTTGCTAGGTAGCCAGCCGAGCCAGCATTCCATCGCAACATCTGACCACATTGACGGTAATACCTCGACTAGAAATGCAGAAAGCTATTGGCAAGGATGGACCCGACATCGGGCAAGTCACCGACTCAAGCTCGCGCGCCCCACCAATAAAAGTTCCCGCCGTCGCGACGAGTTCACTTGGTCATCATCGCTGTTCATCATTTCGTTTCTATCTTTCTTCCTTTGCCATTCCATGCGTTAAAGCCCGTCAAACTTGCCCAGCATGGCGACCGTCGAGGGAGAAACTCCTACTATGACCAATGGCTCACACGACGGCGTCAATGGCTACAGCAACACCAACGCCACTACCAACGGCCATGTCTCTCGCACGCCATCCCTCTCCGGCCTCTCTCTTACCGAGTACAGCGCCAACCCGACGCCCTCTTCCGAAGCATCCTCAGCGAGTCGCATAGCTGAAATCATACCGCCCGAATTCATCCTTCCTAACGGACACCCTGACGTTGGTCTTTCCCCGTCCCCTGGCAACTCTTCTCTTCACAACCACAGCTAGCTGACCTACGGCCCGCTGCTCTACAGTACCTCCGCCTAATACTCACATCGCGCGTCTACGAAGCCTGCAAGGAGACATCTCTGACTACCGCTACGAATTTGTCGAACCGACTAGAGTGCAATGTGCTTCTTAAGAGGGAAGATGAGCAGCCAGTCTTCAGCTTCAAGCTTCGGGGCGCTTACAACAAGATGGCACACCTGGACCGCAACCAGAGCTGGAAGGGCGTCGTCGCTTGTAGCGCCGGGAATCATGCCCAAGGAGTCGCCTATTCTGCTCGCCTTCTCAAAATCCCCGCCACTATCGTCATGCCTAAGGGTACGCCGAGCATCAAGCATACCAACGTCGCGAGGCTAGGCGGTTGTGTCGTTCTCCATGGCCAGGACTTTGACGCAGCTAAGGAAGAGTGTGCAAGACTCGAAGAACATCATGGACTAATAAACATTCCTCCCTTTGACGACCCCTACGTCATTGCCGGCCAGGGTACCATAGGCATGGAACTCTTGCGGCAGACTAACATCCAGAAACTCCAAGCCATATTCTGCTGCGTGGGTGGTGGTGGTCTTATCGCTGGTATCGGTGTCTATGTCAAGAGGATAGCGCCACATGTCAAGATTATCGGTGTCGAGGCCGAAGACGCCAACGCCATGGTTCAATCACTACAGCGAGGCAAACGAGTCGTATTGAAAGAGGTCGGTCTCTTTGCCGACGGCGCCGCCGTGAAGACAGTGGGCGAAGAGACATTCCGCATCTGTCAGGAGGTCGTCGACGAGGTGATTCAGGTCAATACGGATGAGACATGCGCCGCCATCAAGGATGTTTTCGAGGACACACGCTCTATCGTTGAGCCTGCAGGTGCCTTGTCGCTAGCAGGCTTAAAGAAATGGGTCGCCTCCAATCCATCCAGCGACCCTTCTCGTGGCCTGATTGCCATCACGAGTGGCGCCAATATGAACTTCGACCGACTTCGCTTCGTTGCAGAGCGTGCCACTCTTGGTGAAGGCAAGGAGGCCTTGCTATGCGTATCAATTCCTGAGCGACCGGGCTCTTTTGCCGAGTTGGTCAACCACGTCATGCCGCATTCCGTCACCGAGTTCTCCTATCGGTATGCGACGGCAGAAATGGCCAATATACTGATGGGTATCTCCCTACCTGCGGCATCTGACAGGGCGCGAGAACTCCAGAACCTCATGTGCCGTATTACAGCTTCCGGCATGACAGTAACAGATCTCTCAGGTGATGAATTAGCCAAGTCGCACATTCGATACCTTGTGGGCGGGCGGTCTGACGTACCTAACGAACGGTTATACATGTTCAACTTCCCTGAAAGACCCGGCGCTTTAGAAAAGTTCCTCAAAACTTTGCAGCTCAAGTTTAACATCAGTCTGTTCCAGTATCGTAACGGCGGAAGTGACGTGGGCAAGGTGTTGACTGGTATCCAGTGCCCGGGAGATGAAGTAGGGGATTTGGAGAAATCACTCAAGGAAATCGGGTATCCTTGGGAGGATTGCACAGAGAGTCAAGTGTTCAAGACGTTCCTCCGCAACTGAGGTGTAATACATAATATATGGATACTGCGAATGGCTTAACTTATGGGTAAAAGATATGGCACTGGGAGGAGATCAAGGCGTTCAAACAGCATTGGCATAGAACACATATTTTGACAGCAAGTAGTAAAGTTACTGCGCTGGGTGCATTTTGTCTTTTTCCTCTTATTTTGATATAAGACAAGCGATTTTAACATGAATGCAACTGGAGATTCAACTGAGGCTACCGGTATTACCTGAGAGTATCCAAACCACGCGCCGTTATTGTGTAATACAGTCTTTCCCTAAATAAGGCAAAATTTGCTGGGAAAGTAGTCTTTTATTTAGTAATAGGTATGGTATTACTAGTTGTGCCTCTGCATGTATTCTCAACTACCTACTTCGTACATAGGGGCCTGAGTGCTACAAATCAAGCCAACTTTTGTTCACATCGTCTTGAAACTCAACAATACCATTTAATTCATCTAAATCTTTAGAAGATGAATCGGGCAATTTGCTGGTTCTTTCGAAAAATTGCCTAGATACGGTGGGTGAGAACTTAGAAGTCACAGCGTAGTAGTCAACTTACTCGGGAGAGCAGCCCAGTTGTACTATTCCAGGTGACCCACTTTTTCGACGCCGAGTCCGTGATTTTCCATTGACTGGTGCTCTCCCTCAATCTGCCATGCCATACTCAAGGCAAGCTCCGGCATAGCTTTTTCGCATCTCATTAATCTAACATAAACGGACGTCCCTGACTGCGCAATATGTCTGCCTCATTAATATCATCGCTCAGGGCGCTATCCCTTCGCCCACAAACAGCATCCCGCGTCCTCCCCACAATATGCCCTCGACTGCCCACCGCTCGAACCATCTCCCTGAACGCCCTTGCTTCGACGCGGCCGCAAAGACCAGTGATTCAGAGTGCCGCCGCCAAGCTGTCAGTGACTCTGGCACAGCAGCAGACGAGGGGGATGAAAGTGCACAGTGCCGTCAAGAAACGATGTGAACATTGCAAGGTGAGTCAACTCTGCCTGAACCAGCATAGAGCTGCCCAATACAATATACGCAGCGGCATAAACCCGACATGATCGATTGGCGCATGGTTTACAATATCGGGCTTTGTTAACCCAAGTTTTGTGAACAGGTTGTGCGGAGGAAAGGTGGCAAACGACACCGAGGCTATCTTTACATTATCTGCAGTGCAAATCCCAGACATAAGCAACGCCAGGGCTAAGGCGACCATGGAAACCCATTGAGACAACGTCCCGAAAACTTTCCCACTCACTACGACACAAGACCTACGATGAATTTCACGAATATCGTTCAGTTAGCCTATTTACTTCACCATGTGTAATACTACGACCACCTCGGCTGGAGCAGGTGGGGGAGGCGGGAATCGTTGGCAGAACTTGTACAAACAAAGTTGCGCAGGCGTTCCGGCACGACGGCCTGGGACAGATATATACACGGTGAAGAGCATACAGCAAGGCGAACGTGTAGAGAGCTAGAGCGCCCCAGCAATTGTACGATGAAAGCGCCGGGAATTAGCTACATGCCACCAATATACCGTTCCATGGCTTCCCACTCAGTCTTGCCTGTAGACAACAGGTATCGTATGTGATCTATGTCTGTGACGCCCCTGTGACGCTCAAACTCGGCACGCGCAAAGCTGCGCGTCTCGGCGCGCGTGGCGGGGTCGTCGATGGATCGTGTGCCGCGTAGGACGGTACGGTATAGGGCTAGGGCGCGTGCACGCTGGAGAAACTATAATATGGCATTAACGATTATTAGTTTATATCACTGTCTGAGCATGATCAACGGTATGCGTAGCATTGGACGTCGCAAGTGGTGTCTACTAACGTGGTCCAGACTCAAGGTTGGGCGAAGTCGACGGCCCTGGGGTGGCGTCCTGGTCGCATAGCTTCGAGAGACGATCGCAGGGATGGGCTGGATTGTCCGGAAGGGTACCATGAGGTAAATGTGAAGTCGAAGAGGCGAAATGCTACGGCCACATTGGTGATTTGCGATATTGTAAAACACCTGTTACTGTGTAGTGGTAGAACGCAACAAAACCGATGATGCACGATATTTAGAATGAGTGTGATAAGATTTAGGTACTGCCTGAAGCAACTTACCCTAGAGGCGAGTGGTGGGGCTTAGGATCCTAGAGAGACCCCATCTGCTGTCTGAATTGGTACTCTGTATATAGAAATCAAGATAACTATACAATTTCATTACAAATTCAGTCATAAAAGGACCCGAATCCCTTCATGTAAGAAACAATCCTAGATTTTTCTTCGTTCCGATCCGCTGTCACATACCGCCCGTCTACCTACTCGTCTGTGTTGAAGCACCTCCACTCCAGCGCTCTTACGATCTATAAGTACATACCTACATAGGTAAACATGAAAGGCGCAAACGAGACGGCAAAGCGGAAACGGGCCTTTACCGATCCTATAGAAAAGGTCAACCAAAAGAGTGACGGTCAGTTCATCAAGGAACATTTATGTCCCAGGTACGAAGCGAGTTCATCGCCATTTTGAAAAGACCATGCTTCATTGTGCCCCCGAACAGAAAAGAGCCATCTTTTGACATATCAAAAAACGTGGGATAGCGATCCATCATGGACCTCATGGGCTCATCCAAGTACCCACGTGAAATACTCGCTGTCTCTGGTCAGTGCGAGACGCTTGAGCAGCGACGATTTGGATGCGTGCTATCGCCTCATCGAGGAAACCAGCCGCGTCGACTACGAGGCTTCGACGACAGGGTGGAAGCCCGGCAAGAAGATCGCCGAGATGAAGTCCCCCGAGCTCAGATATATCCTCGTGAAGAATGAGGAGGACGGCGTTGTCCGCGGGTTCACTTCGCTTATGCCTACGTATGAGGAGGGAGAGCCGGTCGTGTACTGCTACGAGATACATCTAGCAAGCGAACTACAAAGGTACTTACTTGCGTTCACGGAAAGCATTGGCGATCAATAGCATCGTATTCTTGCATCATGAGCACAATTCACTCAAACCAGTCCCAAATTCTCCGCGTTGAATATCTTGCTAATGTATATTTTTCATCTTCCTTAGAACTGGTCTAGGAAGAAAATTAATGTCTTTCCTGGAGAGCGTGGCATCTCACACCCCGCCCATCAAAAAGGTCATGTTAACTTGTTTTCTAAGCAATAAGAAGGCCCTTGGGTTTTACGAGTCGGCTGGGTTTACTAAGGACCATATATCCCCTGTGCCGAAGAAGTTGAGATATGGAAGGGAATTCATCCCTGATTATGCCATTATGAGCAAGACTGTTGATTCAAGCGAGGCTGTCTTGGGGCCTCCTCCTTCATAGTATGAATACAAAAACGTAAGCTCTTGATTGCGTGGGTCAAGCAGCGTCGAATGGGACTTCTACACTCATACCTGCCCTTCAGAAAGCAGACAGGGGAAAGCGCTTTGCATACTGGTGCTCATTGTACACTATACTGCAAACAACTTCTCTTCCTCAGTCAGTAGTTGACTGGCACACTCCAAGAATATTAGGTACTCGTCCTGTTCTGCCATAGCTCTGAAGACTACCTACCCCCAAGCACCTTAACATCAGCACATTAACACTATCATGATTTACCACCGCTCATCCCTAATCATTTCAACACAACAACAACACTATTCAAATCACAGATAAAATCAACACAAGCTACTATGTCAGGAATACCTCTAGCCGCAATAGCGCAGACAACGCAAGCGGCACCGAGCGCCGAACGCCTCCAGCAGCTCCGGAACCTCGCGCTCGGGGACATGGGAGGGGACTAGAGGTCCGGCCTCTTCCAATGCTGTCCTTGCACTAGCTGCGTATTGGGGTTCTTCGTTCCCTGTCTTAGTTGCGTTTTGTCCCTTCCTCGCCTTACATCTTCCACTTAGCCCTCTCTCTCTCTCATGTCCGGTTAATGTACCAACTGACTGACTGACTGACTACGGTGTTTCAGTGGTTGGCCAGACCTCGAATCGCCTCCTCGACCCTACGGCTCTCCTCCCGGTTACGATCAATGCTGATTGTCTGATCCACGGCGTTTTGCAGTGCGTTTGCGGGTTTGGATGGATGTATGGCCTTTCTCCTCCGTTCACTGTTTCTCGTATAATAGGAGTGAATGGGACTAAATAATGCCTTTTCCTCCCAGTTGGACCATATTGAAGCGAGAACAGATCCGGACGCGCTTCGTCATTCCTGGGACACCGTTGAATGATTGTTGTGTTAGCTACTGGTGCCAGGTATGTCTGATTTTTGGGCGTCTTTACCTACGTCCATCACCGTGCTACCACTCTCTTTCGTCGAAGTAGGCATTTTTTCAGCCCACAAAATGCGTATATACATATACATAACCATCATACTGGTGTTTGATTTCGTATTCTTTTCATAATATTAACTGACAACGGGCGATTGACTGCCTAGTGCTGCGCCATCATCCAACAAGAGAACGAGGTCGTAAGACGCATGCCGAAGCCTGTAGATCTCTTAACGGAACAACCTCTCCCGATACCAGATATGAGCAGTATGCATAAGTCGCGCAGTCTATTTTCGTGAAACTCGACTCTGTTACTAATAGGGACGTTGGATATAGTGCCCGGGACCTCTTTATAGCTATCCTATGCCCGAGCTCCCAGCGATGAGAATAGGAGAGCGCGTGGTCTAGTATATAAGATATTAAGTAAGGCAGTTATCCAAAGAACTGAATATCTGAAATTGAAATTGAAGCCATTCTTGGTCAGATGTATTGTTTGTTGTGTTAACAGCATTCATCAGTCTTCAACCATGGTCTTGCGACACAAAAGTGTTGGTAATTCTGATTTTTTTTTTTGATTTTTCAGCTGATGTTCGAGCATCGGGGTATAATTTGCCTCTATTTCAGCCATATACCGCGAAGAGGTCCCACGGAAACTATCGGCCTCCACCAAAGCCCATATTAATCTCATATACAAAGAAAAAGAAGAACGCTTAAAATCGTACATTCATACATCGGTCGACTTCGTGGCTACCATAGAAGCCTCTTCTCCTTCTCCTTAATTCATTGTCGTTTAATATCGTTGATCGCACCCTAGGTCATACGCGATCACGAGACCATTATCTCGAACTCCATAGCCACTATATCCTCCCGTTTCTGCGGCTTTCCATCGATTCTTGTCGTCGATAGTAGAAAAATTCGCCTATTCTAGTCTCATGTGAATACAGCCCAAAGAAGGACACTTGGGCTTAGTAACGGTAGTTGCGAGCGTCACCCGACCTGCGTCTCCTATCGCTGCTAGCTCTGCCCGCGTAGTACGCGGCGGGGGGCGCTCTCGGACTCCTTGAGCGAGAATCGTAGACAACGGGCTGCACGACCTCGACACGCCTCGGGCTCCGCGAGTGATGATGATGGTGAGAGTGGCGAGAGTGAGAGCGCCGCGGGTGATGCGTCTCCTGATGGTAGGGGTAATCGCCACGGTATTGCGACGACCGCGGCGGGGGTTTCTCATGATCAGGCTCAAAGGTCCTGCCCCAGCTGTTGGATTTTCCCATGTTGGTGCATGACCGGATGATCCAGAGGAGTAGCAGAAGACCAGCGATGGACCCTATGACGATACCGGCGATAGCGCCGCCGGAGAGATTAGGGCTTGATGAACTGCTGTCACTGTTGTCACTGGGCTCCTGTGTGATGACGGTGGTGGTCGATTGGCGGCCGCTGAGGACTTTTGTGATGGCTTGTGGCAAGGTCCTGGTCGCCTCGGCCACCTTGGACGGCAAGGTGATTGCTGGGGCCATTGGTTGAGGCTGTGGAGTATATATGTATAATAGCGTAGATATATACCTGTCGACAGCTGACTACAGCTAGATTGCTTGCTCCAAAGTGAGGATTGACAGCAAGGGGTTTCGTCGATAAATAACGAGAAAACAGAAGGTTTACAGTAGGCAATCTTTTGACAGTGACAACTGTCAGAGGAATATGAGATGCAGTGGCGGTTTATACATGTCGGACTAGCCAACATTATCTACATCGTACATACGTACATACGTACATCCGTACATACGAGGACATTACCAGGTTGCACGCGGGGGGACTAAAGTGTGGTGACGACATGGCTACGAGATAGTGGATGGACAGGCTTGGCGAGAGAGGGGAGGAGAGAAAGAGAAGAGGCTGGAGGGGAGTGCGTCTGCAGATCGTGGATCGTCTCACTGTCTCGGCTGTTATATGAAGGTCGTGATGGAAAATGCACACCATTGCGCATGGATACCGCAGATACAGTCGACAGGGTAGGTGCCTAGCTGGGGCAGATTCTGGGACAAGTCTAGCAGTCTTAGTCAACGATTGAGACTACTATATCAAGACAAGACTCCCCTAGTCAGGGCGGAGACATGATGATTGGATAATCTCTGCTGGCTAGCACAATCAACCCCTGGCCAGTTGCGTGGTTCACTAGTTCACTGCTTCACTTTGCTCCGGGAATCCAACGTGGTGATGTCATAAGTGAGCGGAGCACGAGAAGAATGCAACCTTTTTTTTGTTGCTGATGCTTTCGCACTCATCGTGCCTCCGTAACACTCTATCTAGTCTCTCTTACGCGTTCGTACCCCGTCTCAAAATCATCATCTTTGAGCGGTGATAGGTGTAAGTGAGCCGGCTGATGTGAAACCGATGGTTATCCTGCAACGTAAATCGGTTTTTGGTTGAGTCCGGCGAGACAGAGCGGCAAGTCGCACCTAAGTAATTGAATCTCGTGTGAACCAATAAATCGGTAAACTAAAATCCAGGCGCTGAACTGACCCACACTGGAACTCGATGCACAACATTTTCGGCCTGCACGTTAGAATACCTACATCCATGTTGGCGGCTGGCCTGGTGCAGCAAAGACATTTATCGTGTGTTCAGTAGGTCCCTATAGTACTGTGTTACTTCGGAAGGTATCTATCTATCTACTTCGTATCGATCTATCTGCAAGCTGGAGTTGTAAATTAGGTAGGTGGCGTCTCACGTGACTGCGCGATGATGACCGCGTGTGTCTTACGTCCCGGAGCCACTCCTCTGCCCCAAACCGCTCAATAGACATTTTGGTCTCCTCAATCCATTTACGCGCCTAGGCCTGTCCCGACGCGTATTTACCACACAGCCAGACCAGTTGCTCCACTCTTCGATTACCGTTAACATCTTATTCTGTCTCATCTATATGCAATGCAAGGCCGAAGAGAACGCCTGTGATCATAATCGGCAGTGTCTCAATACAGCCTAAATGTGGATACTCGAAAACGAAGGCGAAGCCCTCGGCCGTGAGTTTTCCATAGTCTCATATCGCCTTTTCGTTTTACGTAGTTCCCCGCCTTGACGACTTGTTTCATGTCTGTCCTGTACTTGCACGAGCTAGCTAACCATGACTGTTCCGATATACAGACCGACGGCTCTGGCTTCGCCCGGGAAAGCGCTATCTCTTCGGCCGTACTGTCGCCGAACGTATGTCCTTATCCTTACTCCACTTAGAACCTCATGCCTTGCCTTGCCTTGCCCACTGACTGCATTCTAGCTGGTCAGTTGGCCATACAAGGGCCAGGCGCTGAGAGAGTCTCACGGAAGCATGTGACAATCACTGTCGACCCAGTTGTAGAGGGCCGTGCCGTAGGTCTTGCTACTGAGTCAGCCTGTATTGGTTACGCTTTGCCACTAACTACGTTTTACTAGGAGGTCGTGGGAAGTCGTTCCAAGGTCACAGTCGAGGATCTTGGCTCTAAAGGTGGCACCAAAGTAAACGGCCATAAGTACCGTAGTGAAACATGCACTCTATCTGAAGATGAAAACACCATCCAAATGGGTTCATTCCCCCCCATGTTCCGGTTCGTCAATCTCAAAGATCCCATTTGAACGCTAATGATAACTAATGAGAAACCCACTTGCGACTTTCCAGTATCACTTGGCTGCCAGTTGTCTTCAGCTTTTCTTTTACGAGCAATCAGCTTCGTGCCAACCCTTTCGCGCGCTTACGCGAGAGTCTTGAACAGCTGGACATCAAGCTGCTGTCCGATTATGATATTAGGCTGACAACCCATGTTGTTTCGAAGAAGCGCAACACGCCAAAGGGGCTACAAGCTCTGATTAATAACAAATATATTGTTGACGACGGGTTCATAGATGCTATAGTGGACGTGGCTTCCGCTGCGGCGCCTACTCATGAAGCCGTTCCCTGCCTGCTCGAGCAAGATTTTGACGCCAATTGGCCTGACCCATTGCACTTCGTTCCACCACCAGGTGAAGAGCCCGTTCCCAGGCAACCAGAATTGTTCGCACCCAACTCCGCCAGAACTGAACTCTTTGACGGCTATACATTCGTTTTTTACGAAAAGAAACAATATGATAGCCTGCTAGCGCCCATCACAAATGGAAAGGGAAAAGCCCTTCTAAACGTAGTTGTGGCCGGCGAAACACAGATCGATGACTTTGTGCGATTCGTGAAAAGTGTTGCTGGTGAAAAGGGGTTGGGCGAGTTCGAGGATGGTAGTGAGGGCAAAGGTGTCGTTGTGGTTAAGTGGATGCCCAGCTCAGATGAGAATGCGGACTGGTTCGCCGATTTTTACAGATCTATCTCTTTGCGCCTAGACCACCGCCTCATTGACCAAAAGGATTTCCTCGACGCGATTTTGAATGTTGATGCGAGCAGTTTGCGGCGTCCCCTAGAGTTCGAATCACCGCCAGCGAGCTCTCAAGTAGAGCAGCCTCCGTCGTCTACACAACAGCAGCCAATGGAAGTCGAACCACAAGATACTACTCAACAATCCAGTGGCCGAGCTTCGAGGAGGAGGGGGAGAGGTCCTGTTAAAAGCCGGTTTCAAGGGTTTGCAGTTTCTCTTGTTGAAGATGATAGTCCGGATTCAACGGCCCCCATAGCTGTGGATGTTAATGACAACCACCAAGCCAGTATTGAACCTTCCGAGGAAGGCCTTTTCGTATCACAAAGTATGCCGGATTCTGAACCGCAAGATACCACCCCTGCAAATCAACCATCACAGCAATCGTGGAGGAAGCGACCCGCCTCACCACTACCGGAACCTGGAGATATATTAGATAACTTGGCCCCGACAGCCGCACAGGTCAAACGTCGCCGAATCGCCGCTGGTGAGGATCCTTTCCCACGACGTCAGCCATCGCCCATTTCCGTAGAGAAGCCCATCATTACGGCCAAACAGCCGAAAATCAAGAAGGAAATTGACATCCTTGAGGTGGCGCGCCAACACAGAGAAGAGGCTGAGAAACAGGCGAAACTAGAGCAAGAACAGTTTGAAAAAGCCCCAGAAGATCTAGACCTGGCCGAGATCCGACGTCTGCATATCGAGGAGCCGATGCCGTTGCGAGAAGCACCACAGATGCGCACGCGCGAGCAAGACATCGCCGATGGACGTTGGGACCCAGCATGGAACGGGCGGAAGAACTTCAAGAAATTCCGACAACGGGGCGCATTGCAAGGACGAACAGTCGAGAAGATCATCGTTGCCCTTGAGGAGGTTAAGACCAAAGGCTTTGGTATCGGTGACGATTACTGGCTCGAGGATAGCACTAGTCAGCAGCAACGGAGCAGACAGCACGATCGTTCTCTGTCGAACACTCAATCACATAGGCAAGCAACAACCAGTGTGACAGAAGATTCTAGGACAGGAGATAAAAATATCAAGAATCTACGACCAGTGGATAGTAGCGATGACGACAGTGTTAGTATGGGAGATGGTAAAGAGAATGAAGGCCACGGTGACAGTGATGACGATATTGTTATTACATCGAGCTCGCGCCCGCGCATAACAAGAGCGTCGGTAAACACGACGCAATCTCAAGCACGAGGAGCCACACAAAGCTCTATGGATAAAGCGAACCCATCCCGCAGGACAGGTAAGCGGCCAGCGGCCGAACCGCCGGCTAAGGAAAAACCCCCTAAACGAGCCAAGGGACGCGTGGTGAAGGCTAGTGATGATGAAAGTGACGATGATGATCTTCGCTTCCGTTTCACTAGACGGAGAGCATAGATGGATGGAATAATTTCGTTATAAGTCACGATGGAGGGAATGATAGCTTCTTGACTTGGATCCGAGGTTAATCTCCTTCGAAATAATATTTACGCTGGGCATTCTATCTCTTCAATTTCATCTCGTATGGTTCTTCCTTGGTAACTTTCTATTCCACGTGATGATGAGGACCGACGCCCACCATGTGCAAATGTAGTACTATCTCTCGTAATAACAGTCTATCATCATTGATCCAAGATTATTTAGACTATGTAGCTATCCCCTTGGTTTCTTTCTCTAACCAAAGATGAATTTCTATTAGATTATATAGCTCATGACAAACCAAGCTCCCTTTCTGAATGCCCCTGTCTGTATGTTATGCAATGCTATACTGAATACCTGTCTGGTTCTCGCGGCGCGTAATATCTAATACTCCTATATGGCATGCCATGCCGTCTTTATCTAATGGCTCCGCGACGTTTTCTTTCTTTCTACGTGAGACGGGTATCAATCTTTCTTATCTAATCTAATTATTCCCCGAAAAAAAGGGTTTTTTTTTTGGAAGAGAGAGGGAGGGAGGGAGAAATTGCTCCAATAGCTTAGCTGGCTAGCTAATCCGTTCAATCAATCCATAGCCTCCATATCCCCCGCGCTCTGCGCCTCGCCTTCCTCAACCATGAGACCCACGAGACAACTACTCAGCATCGTCTCGTAATTCACCCAAGGGTGGATCTCCCCGAAAAGCTTCGTGCCATCGCGTCCCGCGGCGCGGAGGAGTTCTGGCTCGCCGCCTGGGTGGAACGGGAGGTACGGCGTCATGTTGTACACGCGGCCGCCGAGAGCTGTCCAGGCGTCCTTGCCGCGACGACCCGTTTGGCGCCGGAGCATGCTCGGCGTCACGCGCAGGTAGGGCGCGTTCGGACTTCCTAGACCGCGGAGATCGGCGGTCGGGTTGTTTGCGAGACGGGCCCAGTCTAGCGGTGAGTGGCCTGGCTCTAGCGTTACTTTGCGCGAGGGCTTGCTGGGCTTGCTGCTGTGAGTTGGGGGCGGCGCGAGTGTGGATGTGCCTGGTTGTCGGTCGTATTGCTGGTTGCTGCGGTTTGGGAGGGGTGAAGGGCGGCTTTGTGGGACGCCTAGGAGAGAAGAGCTGGGAGCGCTGACGTCGTTGAGTTTTGGAGGGCGGGGCGGAGGAGGCATTGACATTGTCGGTGGCGGTGTTATTGAGGATGGCGAGGAGAATCTTGGTGTTGGTGGATTTGAGGATGCGCGCGCGAGTGCGGCTGCTGAGGCTGGGGGTTCGATTGGGGTAGACGAGAGCGAGAAGGAGGGAATGGATCCGTTTGCGTTCTCTTTGCCGTGTTCTGTGACCGTCGCGGCTCTGACTTTTGGAGTTGTCTGGGGCGATGACGACGGGGTTGAGGAGGGTGAGGATGCGATGTTGAATACTGGAATCGTAGGGTTGGTATCGGCAAGTTTAGGAACTGCGTTCTCCACCTCTGGTGACGGCGAGCTCGGTGTTTTCGATGTAGAACTAAGACTCTGCTCGGCGACCTCGTCTTTTTCCTCGCCCTCTCTCGGAGGCGGATATTGTATGTTGGGAGACGGCCAACACAGGGTTATGAGGGTGTCGATGAGGGGCGGCCTTCGGATGGCGATGTAAACGACAGAAGCCAGTATGAGTGACCAACCTAACAGGGCCATCTCGCTGATATCACCTTATGCCGTCCGTTCAGATCCCGAACCAAGACAACGACAGCGACAGCCACGGTGTTGTGATTATGTTCTTTGAAGAGAAGAAAGTTGGTTGTCGAGTCGTGGTCAGCAAGCAAAGCAGGCGCTATTGGTGGGATGTTTAGCAAGTGGGCGCCGGTTCGCTCCGTTCGCCGCTGCCGACCTTTGACTGTTTCCTCACATCCAACACTGGAATTTCAAGCCTCTTTCCCCATCTCTCGAGTTGTAGGTCGTTCATATTGTCCCAATATAGAAATTCGAAATTGAGTTGGTCCCTGCCTAAGGATCTCCAGATTTCGTCTGGGTTGCTAGGCAGGTTTATACTTACTTGCATACTTTCTTCACTATTTATCCTATCCCTTCCTCACACACAGCTTCTTAAATACAATGGATTATATAAATGCTATACCAATTCTTGCTGTCACAGCGGCTGTCGAGTTGTGAAGCGAAGGTTGTGATTGTCTAATAAGCTTAGAGTCAAGTAGCGGACTATCCTCCAGACAACACATAGACAAATCAATCGCGATGAACACCAATCGGTCACGAGAAGCAAATATATAGTCGCTGTCGGACCCGAAAAGGAGTGTAGTAAAACTTCCTGAGCATGGCGGTATGGAAGCCTCATCAACGGCTTGCGCAAGCAAGGCTGAAATTAGAAGCGTACAATACTACTACCAAGGCATTTATCGATGATGCCGTGGCAACCTTCTTTCTAATTGTGTCTTATGTGCCACCGAGGGTCAAACGAATGATAAATAGAAAAGTGAATAGGAAAAAGAAGAAAAGAGCTATCAGTAATGCCTCACAGAGCAAGCTCCTATCCGAGCACATCAGAACAGACAGCCGCATGAGAGTACATTGACGTTCATTGTCTAGGAGGAACCTAAATCAAAGCAAAACCACTCATGGAATCTCTAAAGGCCCTACCAACCAAAGAATGATATAATCACTTTTTAAAATAGTAAACCATATTTATCGGAGAGTGCCTAGCGCTACCATCAGCTGATGCTAAATCGAGTTCCGGTTCAAGCCGTCGACCCCGAGGAAACATATGTTCAACTGTTCTGGCCTCACTCTTATATCTCACAAGACAGCTAATTCACCTTCGTCTTTCATTTCCCAAACTAGCAAGGTTCTCGCATTTATAGGATCATGACTCACTGTTATAAACCTTTGCAAGTGACAGCAACATGACCAAATGGTGAGTTGTTTTTCTGTTCGTGAAGCTCTGCTGCGGTGGGACCAGGTAGGTAAGTACCAGTATACATATAATCTCAGCCGCAGTAGTCGGATGCCAAGTGGGCTGATGTACTTAGGTATATACCGTATTGAGCGGAGACAGCGTCGGAAAACAGGAGGGAAAATAAAGATAGAATATATTTAAAAAAAACGATGAGCGCAATGCGGTACGTATGGCCGCTGTAGCTACTACACAGCGGGTTAGACGTCATTTAGCTAGATGATGCTGTAAAGTAATGAAAATGCGGTGTGCATAAAGATACAATCTCGTAGGTATTGATGCATACCAAGCAATGACCATCACCCCCACCTCCAATATGCTACTCACTTCTTATTCTGGTTTGTTTACACGGAAGAAACATTTCCATTTTCTGAGCCCACACAATTGGACAATTCATCGAGAAAAAAAATAAAACTACCTACCTATGCCCATTGCGTGCTTGTCTATGAGCCTGCCAACCACGTAGGGAACGAATTCCAGGAGCCCTGTAGTATATTACCAACATTCAACAGCAGAGCAACCGACCATTCGGAATCTGCATCTTGCCGTGGCCATCGATTCGCCTATAGCATCGACTCGAGTCATTGATTCAGGGGATTGATTGACCGATTGATCGAGTGAATGTCACAGGGAGGAGCCAAGGGGCTGGGTGAACAACGAACGGGACGGAACAGCGGAATACCCAGGGCAGGCTAGGGCCTGTCAGTGGCCAGCCAGTGGGTAACAGCAGCTACCTACCTCACATAGTGGACACGTCCAGCGCTCGCTGTCGCGACTCCGATAGGCCGATTGCCCGTGATGGGTTTCATGCGGCTTGGCAACCAGAACACGACACCACCAACAACAGCAGCGGCAACAACCCGTACCGGCACCAGCACCAGCACCAGCATCAGCGGTAACGGCAGTGGTAAGGTCAGCTCCAAGCCCCAAAATATTTTCGCGCCCAAAAAGAAAACAGTTGATCCTCCCACTCCAACAACCGCGTCGACAAGGAACAATACCAGCAGCAATAAAGACCACAGCACGACAACGACAACGAGAACGACGACGACGACGACGTCCACAGCAGCGAACAACCCGACTAGAATCACTAGAACGACTAGAGCGGTTTGGTCGACAGCCAGAGAGCGGGGACAAGCCATTATTCGCACCACCACTAGATCCCCTGCCAAGCAAAATCCCCATATTACCACAATCTCGACGACCCGTAGTAAAAGTAGCAATAATCGTAGTGCGAGTAGTCTGAGTGCTACTAGATCTACCACCGGCACCTCCTCCTCTCGAGCCCAACCGATAACAACAACAATAACGACAACCACCTCCTCGACGACGCCACAACCGCCTCGACCACCGCCATTGCTAATACTGTCACCACCACAGACCACAAATCCCTCGACCCACGATACGCCACCACCACTGCCATCCCCGTCACTACTGTCACCGAGACCGGGAACCGCAACGACATCGTCACAGTTGCAATCACGCCAACGCCCGCGTCCACGTCCACTGTCTCTTGCCGCCGCCCGTCGACCAGCTCTGGATCTTCGAGATCAAAATGCTGCTCCCGTGCTCGCGCCCATTTTGAAGGAAAACAAGAACATGGGCCACGAAACTTCTTTCAACCCCTCCACCACTACCAATTCCCGCCCACAAATGCCCTCTCTTAGTGCTACCGCCGCGAGGGGTATCAATCGGACGCCTTTAACCCCCAAGATAGCCTCGGCCTCCAGAACCCTTCAGTCCCAGACATCCAGCATCTCTACCGCTGCCCCTACCTCTAAAGCCAATGTTACTACTACACCTTTACCTAGACGTACACAACAGCGTCCCACGTCTTTCATAGCCACCGATAATGGCTCAAATCAAGCGCTGTACGATGACCCCAGCTCTGTCTCGGCAGCTGCCTTCAGCCCTCACCTAAACAGTAATGTTACGCCTCGCTCGGGGTCTAGACAGAACCGCGTCGACAGCGCAAGCAGCACCCCCACTGGTACCCCGATTCATGATCGCTCTGATGGCTTCCCATTCTCGCCGGATATGGGGCGGAGGCCAACGGTTACCTTCAACGCCGTCAGTCCAGATAGGAATATGCCCTTGAAACAAGATATTGCGAATTCCAAAGACTCCAAGTTCTTTCATGCTAGCGATGCAAAGATGGCACGGCCGACGAGTGCGTCCAAGATGGCGTCCCCGAAAAACCCAACCTTCTTCTATGCTAATGGCAATGGCATCGGATCCAAGCCAACTAGTCCCGCAACGCTATCACCACCGTTGTCACCTGGCTTGAATCGGAGTCAGGAGAGCAAATTCATGTATGCAAACGGCACGCCCGAGGTTCGGCCTTCACCCCAGCCTACGCTATCCCGTGGATCGGGTTCAAATGGGTCCATCTCTTCGAAAGGGCCTACTGTTCGTCCGACGATGCCCTCACGACCAGTCTCGCCCAGCAAACTACCATTGCATTCTCAATCATCTTACAGGAACAGTACGGGGTCGCAAAGTGCAACTATGCATGCCGCAGCTGCATCTACGGCCCGTGGTCAAGTTTCTCCGCCACTCATGTCACCAAACCCGGCACTGCGCCGTCCAGGTACTGCAACTTCGCGATCTAGCGGCCATTCACGTTCAGGTAGCTTGGTGAAAGGAGACGGCGCTGTTGAGTCGCTGGCACCCATGACACCCTCCCCTATGGGTCTCTTTCCTCCTGCAAACCTCTCCCCTACGAAAGCTCCGCCGCTGACGTTGGCCTCCATTATCCAAGCAGCTGAAGAATTTACAGAGAATGAGCCGGACCTCGACCACGAGGATGAGCACGAGCATGAGGACATTGCTTCACCTGGCGATCAATCAGTGCTGCAAAGCCCCACTAAGTCAACTGGGTCGTCAGCAGATCCTCTAACCGAGTTGATCGCTAACGCCCGAAGAGAACGGAAGGTTCAAGACTTGCAGATTAGGAATGCGTCCCTTGAGGCCATTAATCGCTCCCTGGAGCGCCAAATGCGGAAACAGACAGCCGAGTTGCGAAGATTCCGACGCCTTTCGCGCGCAGGTCACTTATCTTTGGCATCCACCACTTTGTCTAGCCGTGCACCGTCTGGGGCCATCTCAGAGCTGGATTGGGAGTCTTTAGGATTATCAGATCTTAGTGAAGAAGACCTATCTATGCGAGAGCTGGAAGATGAGTCACTGTCAGACACTGAATCTGTATCATCTGACTTGAGCGCTAGTGTCCTCGAAGCACGCGATGAAAAGCATCGTGAACGAGATGAGGAACGACTGAAACTTGATTTATCCAAACACCAGCAAATTCTCATTGATTCGCAAAAGATCAACCAGAGCATCAAGAGATGTCTTAACTGGACCGAAGAGCTTATCAATGAGGGCAAGAAAGCACTCGAATACCAGGTCAGAGTTAGTGAGATACGACTGGGCGGCAGAGTATTGGACCCGCTGGATGAGGAAGAAGAGAGTTCGAAGCTGCCTCTTCCTGATGACACGGCTCCATCTGAAGTCAAGCCCACAGAAGTAGCCGAGACCCCAGCAACTTGGGGAATAGAACCACAAGACCGAGACAGCGGTATAGAACTTCCTAGAGATGGGGGTTGAAAGGATTATTCCGAAGCTCGGCCAAAGTAATCGCCACTCCATACGAGAATTTCCTTGAAGTTATAGATGGTTGGGAATGGCGCATAGCATACACGACGGTAGCGATGGCGTTTTTATATACCTTGGGCGGCAAGCTTGATGCAGGCAAGCCTGGGATGTTTTCTTATCTTGGTTTACTTGAGACTACACAATTTTTGGTTTTCTATGTCACAACTGTACCACCACCACCACCACCACCACCAAAATACCCAGAACACAATCATGGATCGGAGTCGGGCAACCACAACCCCATCTCCCATCTCGCTCGTCTAATGTCTTTTTCCTAACTGTTTTTTTAATGATGATACCCCAGATATATAGCCCTCCCAGTAAGGACTTGGCTAAGCAACATATGGCGCCTGAATAGGGCAAGTTGCTAGAAGATTACCCCTGCGCCAACGCCAGGGAGAGATGTACATAGGCAGATGGTTGGACATACACATTTAACTACCTGGGGCAAAATGCCCTATGTTACAGTTATATGCCTATTATAGACCTCAATCCATGAAATAAATCATATGGCCTTAAAGTAACCAAAAAGGGGAATTCGAGTTTCGGTATATGCATAAGTGGCTCCAACGAAATATTGACCATCTTATTCTGTACTACTACAATCATCTTGATCGTATTTCAACTTGGACATGAATCTTGACATTACGATTGAGAAAGCCTTCCCCTTTCACATATTATAACTATGAGGCATTGTCATCATATCATCCTGGTGGGAATACCTTCGCTACATCGTCATCCCAAGCGAGATTACCCTGAACTACTTACTTACTGCATTGACTGATCCTATCCTGCTCCCATAGCGGATTCACAACATAATACTCCCCTCCTTACGTATTTACCCATACCCATACCCACTAACTAGTACTCACTCAGGCACAACAATCTCACCCTCAAACCCAGCGCTTTTCGCCACGACGCGCGCAGCAGCTACGACGATGGTCTTCCAAACTTGCCAGTCCTCATGACTACCACCCTTTCCCTCGTCCTCGCGCGGCGCGTAGAGAAGAACGTATCCCCACGGCAGCATCGTCCCGACCCCGGACATCCGATGTCTCTCGCCCCACCCCTTGCGCACGACCTCGGCGGCGTCGGGGAGACTCAGACATACGTGCGCGCTGCCCTCGGCGTGCACGTGGGCCGTCTCCCCGCGGGCGCGGGGAGGAAGCCATTTCGCCTGCTCGAGATCCACGTTCTCCGACGCGGACGATGAAGGAGACGGGGAAGGGGAAAGCCAGAGGGCTGTGAACTTGGGAGATTCCAACGCGCTCGGCTTGATGGCGAAGAGCGAGGGGTTGCTGCGCGCGAGGGAGGCGAGGTATGCGTTCTGTCGCGAGACGGTGCTGCTCGAGGCCGTCTCTGACGTCTGGCGTTGGGGGATCACGGTCCCTGGGACGAGGGGGCGCGGGGAGGAGCGCGGCGGGAGAGGTTTGAGGTGGGATTCTTTGGCGTAGGGCGTGTAGCGGCTTTCTTCGGTCGCGGAGAGGCTGAATGTTGTGGCGGAAGGGGAAGGGGTGCTTTTCTCGTAAGGGGCTGGGACGGCGCGCGGATCCCGCCGCGCGACCAGGTGCGCTAAGACGTTGAGAAGCCAACCCCGCGGCGAATGGGGGATCCCGCCCTCGCCGAGGGCGTGCCAGGCTACGTAGCAGTGGCGGCTGTATGCGAGGAGCGCGACGACTGCTGTTGCGGCTGTTGTCGTGTAGATCAGGCGGTGGGGGTTGGTGCCCACGTTGCGCAGCGCCGTTTGAAGATGGTCCATGGTGCTGTGGTGGTGATGGGGATTGATACAGAAAGTGTCTGTCTCTTTTGATAAATGGAAATTTGGGACTTTTGAAGGAGCTTCAAGTAGAATCTGGCGAAGTGCAGCTGACTGGGTAGGGTAGACGAATCAGCGAGCTTTGATATATGTGCCTTTTTATACCTTTAGAACTCATGTCTCCATGTGCTTGTTCCCCTCTGATTGCTTTTTTCACGAAGATCCGAACGCTGCATAACAGTACGTATAGTACTTTCGTGTTACCCTCGCTCTCCAAAGAATGCGAATGCGGCGGCCGAATCAAGCGGGGCTCGCTCCGGTCCGAACCGAGCTTGCCGCCTCCAGTGTCCCGGCGCTCGATTAAAGAGAGAGGGGTTGGTGATAAGTTAGAGTAGTCCTTTACCGGGACGGCGTCGGTCGAATCGGGTGGATTACTTGACGTCAATCCTCAATGTTACTAGTAAACTGATTGAACCTAATAATGTGGGTTGTGTGGATTAGATAGCTTGGGGGGTTATTCAGGTTATATATATGTTCTATTGTATTGTATTATACCTACCGGTATGCTGTTATTAATCGCTCCCCGCATCATACGACGCTGACAGCCAGTCGGTCCATGACCTGATGTCACCAAGGATAGGTGAAATAATTGATTCTCAACTACTTAAGACAAAACGCTAGTCTACCTGTTATACTAGTTCGGTGTCTTACAACCTCGGATCTGCGAGGATGAGAGTGTGAACGATCGGACCAATCCATGACAAGGCATCTCCCCTCAGCTCCGATAGCTCCGACCCAAGACCTCAGATCTGATAAGATCAATCAAGTCTTTGATGAAATGCATACTTACTGCAGTAATGGCTTGAATATATAACAGCTTCTACAGTAGCTGTACCTATATTCATGGCGAATTGTCTGTAATCCTATTCTCGTAAATACATAATCCTTCCATTATCATGATTCACTGAGCACACTACATATACCACTACTATATATATAGGTAGTCTCCCTGCTATCTTCATATTCATACCGGATGAGTTGACCCTCTCTCTACCTCCCTAGGTATTGTCTCGACAACTTGAGTTTGACTGACACACAGGCATATAAGTCACGTGGCGGCTAACACTAAACGTATACTGCCTGTCATAATCTTCAATGATTCCCCCAACGCCAATGAAAAACGTCATTAAAATTATGAATCTTCTTCTCATTCATCAATTCCAAAACATCCCACGAAGATCAAAGCGGCTTCGGCGCTAAACCAAGCTGCGTCTGACCACCGTGAAAAACAACAAACTGCGACTTCAGGAACACGTCGCCGTAAATCGCGAAGGGGAAACCGGGCGGGACGGCCTGTATCCCGCCAAAGCACGTGGTCGCGTCGGCGAAGGTGTTCCCGTCGACGGGGGCGAAGTTGATGAACTCCCCCGGGATCACGGCGAGATAGTCCCCGATGACGGCGGTGTAGCTCGGCAGGGTCGCCGCCGCCGAGCACGGGAACACGTAGCCGCCGGCCGTCTGCGCGGCGTTGACGGCCCCCGGGATCGCGGCGTAGTACGACGCTGCGATGGCGTCCGGCACGAGCATGAGGGTCGTCCCCGTGTCCGCGATGGCCTGGTGCGTCTGCGCGTTCATGACGTTCGAGTCACCGATCTTGTACCCCTGCGATGTGAATTCCCAGAACCCTTGGCTTGTATTCACCGGGATATAAGTGATCTGGCCCGTGAACTCCGTGGTATCTATGAAGCCGAAATTGTAGTTCCCAGCTATACGTTTGTAGGCATACCATTAGCGACGACTTTTTTATTTTTGATCCCGAGTGAGGAGTTTTTGGTGGGGGGGCGGAAGAAAAATCTTACGTTCAGACGCCCTCAGGTTCGCCGTGAACAATGGCGCGGCGAGATCGCGCATCGCGTTGTCGAAGAAAGTGGGTTGCTGGTTCGGCCTCACCGTGTTCAGCGTGCTGAAGGCGAGGCCGACAAGGCCATCCGTGTCGGGACGTTGTGTGAAGGCCAGTGAGACGTTAGTAGCGGACTCGACGGCCTGGTTCTCCACGGTGATCCCCCCAATCGAGACGGTGTCGAGATACACGTTGCCACCGGAGCTACTCCCATCGCCATAACTAATGCCCCAGGATTCCCCCGTTTGCAGCCTTGCAGTTGAGCTCTGGGGTATGTTGTAGACAGTCTGACCGCCGATCTGGCTTTGTGGCGTCTCGGTGCTGAAGACCCAGAGATCGGAGGAGCCCGTGTCGAAATCGAGATTCAGGGTTTGTGGGGGCGTGCCGATTTGTACAGGGCACAAGTATTCCGAGTCGAACATCTGAGGCGTAGCAGCGACCTCACCTGTTATTACAGTACGTCAACACCATAACTTTCGGTTTTCTGTGTCCAAAAAAAACAGCATATTCTCACCCTGTGGACTCGCCGAGGTCTGATTCCCAGCACCAGGCTGCTCCAGAAGACCCAATTCTTCCAATAACTGCTGAAGGTAGGATAGCAGGTCGTCGGGTATAGCAGCGCCGTATTTGGAATACGCTTTTGCCATGGCCATTGCTCCCCGGCCCTTTCGCGCGCCGTAGAACTTCTGATTGGGGACCTGGTTAATCTTGAAAGTCATCCCTCCGAGCGTCGATACTTCGAATAGAGGATCGAGGATTCCCCTTTTCTCCGTAGGCGCAGCCCAGACCAGGCCTCTCGCGACAAGGGCGGCCGCAGCGACGGAGCTGTGGCGGATTCTCATGATGGGCGGAATGTTAAGTTACCTACGACGAGGGGTGATGGTAGGAGGAGGGCAGGGGAGAGGAGGCGGGTTGTAAACAACGAAGAAAGGGTAGCGGCGGTGCCTGGCTAAGTATTCTATCATCTACTGTATCTTGGTTTATCCTGAGGAGGCACAACAACGTCTTATAGAAACGAGGGACGACACGTAATACACGATGGTGACCAATGTGTTGTTGGTCGGAGCAAATCGGCAAAACAAGATCCGGGCAACGAAGGAAAGACGATGATAATAATAATAATAGTAGTAGTAAGAATTTAATTAACTACAATGAGAATCAAGCGACTATCGACGAGGTCGGAGAAGGGAAGAGAAAATGAATGGTGAAGAGAGAAAGAGAGGGTGGCTAGGCGAAGGTGGTCATCGGCCTAGCGGCCTGAGGAAAGGCTTTTACATATAGCATCCGGTTTCATAAAGATCAGATTGGCAGCCGTACGAGCCTCAGCGGCAACCCAGCTAGGGGAGGAGGAAGGGACGGAAGTAAAGGCGGCCTACAAACGACCTGAGGCGGCTGAGATGGATGTATTGGGTGTGAGAACGGGGCGAAGGTATGCGGCTGCGGAATGGGCCAGGTAGGTAGAGAGAGGGAAGTACTAAGAAGCGGTTATTGTATGACACGATACCTACAAGCTAATAACAACTTCAGTACTCTCTACATGCAAGTATCTCTATTCCTGCCGTTGGGTTCTGCTTTTGTGTTGCGCCGCGTCGGCTGCCTGCGTTTGTGTTTGAGATATTAATGGAAGGTCAGGCTGGTGGCAGATCATCAATGCACAGGTCGCGGTTCTGTAAACATGTTATGCATGTACCAACAGCAAGTCGATCGCTGGGTTGCAAAAGTCAGTGCGCATGCCGGCGACGTTGTATGAATGATGCGGTACCTACTTAAGTATGTTTACACTGCACACATGAAAATGTGGTATGCGTGCCGTATTGCACCCGAGTCACGATGTGGCACGCAGCGAGGCCTGTGACGACAATACCAGAGCATACCTTATCTAGGGACCTGGGCTCACACACAATGCTGAGGTAGTAGTGTAGTTGCAACAAGGAATCGAAATACATTGCTAGCTATTTATCTTTGAGCGGGTAGAAATAGTTGCGACCATTTCAGAGAGATGCAGAGGCTCGCGAGAATATGCAAAACAAGAACCAAATTAGCTACCTAAAGGCATCGTGGTAGGTTGGCGCCTGGATGAACGAACCATGGGCCTGTGCATCGAATCTCAAGCCGCAGCAGGCCTGTCAACTAACTGCAAGGGACCAACATTGTTTTTTTTTTATTGGACATAAGCGCCTTGCAACAGACAGACCCCCGCGCTTAGGATCAACGTCTCATGCAAGATTGAAAGTTCCAACTTCCAACGTCTCCGAAAGGAGCGGACAAGAGAACAGGATACCTAGTCCATGAAGACCATTAGGTCAGGTTTTTTTTATTTATTAATCTAGGTATCCCACGGCCCTTATCTTGTTTGTACCACACACAGTAGGGATGCATCGTACAATCCAAACCAAGCAGATTGGATTCATGCCAAACTCATGCTGGTCGGTAAAGGATCGTACAGCTCACGAATGAGTGCGACATGCATTGGGGGGTGTTGTAGTGAAACCCTACCTGAAGAGCTACCAGTTTCACCTCGTCATGAAGGGCAAAGCACAGCAACACAGAGTCCCGCTCTTCCCGTAGCTCACACAGGGTGAACCTCGACAATAACCACTTCAATGTACGTTGTCAGACAAGAAAAAGCCGATAGGCTTGCACTCATCTTGGCTGGTCCCCCCCCCAAGAGGTCTCGTGGGCATGCAACTCATCTCACGAGCCACGCCTCCATCCAACAACATGACCTCGGGACATAGGTATCACGGCATACTCCACCTCATCAGACACAATGTAATCGCAAGTACAGTAGAGCCATTTTGGTATTACATACATTACTAGTCCACCTCTATTCTTTTATCCCCGGAGCCTTTGGACTTACTATGTATGTTGATTGATTGTGAACCCCTAGTTTTCACAACTACTACCCTGTCCCCCTTCCGCGCAGTCAAACATTGATAGCAAGAGCAGGAGGACTGGGTGTGTATTACATCACTCAAGCAATAACAAACAGCTCAGATCATCTTTTTCTTTTCTTTTCTTTTTCTTTTTTGCTTAGTTCTAGGACGCCGTCCCTTTTAATGCATTCATGTCGCAGAAACCACGACCCACCCCAGGATCTTCTAGGAATGCTGGTGTGAGTGATCGTGCTCGTGCTCGTGGCTATGAGCCGCCGAGTGACTAGATCGTCGGCTCGAGCCGGCCTTGGAACCTGGCCCAGTTGGCAATGTGCAGCAACCCTGATCCACACAATCGTCCACACAGTCTAGTAGACACCCATCACTTGGCTCGAGTTTGACATTGGTTGGGTTGGGCACCGGCGATTGTTGACCGTCCATCGTCACAGATCCCTCTTCCACATGGCTGCAGTTTTGATCCAGGCAAAATTCCGGTTGAATCGTGGCGCTATGAATTCCATAGGCATGAAGACATTTCCGCGCCTGTTTCGCAAGCTTCATGTACCTTGCCGCGCCCTCGTCGGTAATAGGAAAAGCAATCTGTATGTGCAATGAAGCCACCACCTTGGTGTCGGAAAGCTGCCAGACGTGCACATGGTGACAGCTGATGACCCCGGGCAATCCCTGGATATCATCCTTGATATCTTCAAGGTCGAGATGATCCGGTGTCGCTTGCAGGAGCACCTTGGACGTGGCCTTGGTGAGAGGAATGGCCGATTTTAGGATAATGAGAGTAATGAATAACGACACGGCTGGGTCGGCATAGTACCGTCCTGGCCAGTCAGTCAACCAAATAATTAACGCCGTGGCAATAACACCAACGTTGCCGAGCGCATCGCCTAGAACATGAAGGACCATGGCATTCATACCCATGTCCGCATGGTTGTGACCGTGACTATTCTTAGACTTGGACTTCGGTTTAGTATGGTGGTGATCGTCATGAACCCCGGAATCGCTCCTATGATGACCAACAGAGTGGCGGTCGCGCTGGCTCTTAGATACAACATCGGCGTTTTTCCCGTTGTCCTTCCCAATGAGCGGTGTGTTCTCGTCTGCGACTGGGTCGTCACGTACGGCAGTTTCCACCGTAGCATTGTCCTCCACTGAGCTGTCATCGGTCTCATCACTTTGGCTAGATCTATAGATAATATCCTGCCTGAAACTAGCAGGGTGAATATTGACTTCGTCGATGCTCGTAAAGCGGCTGCGCTTAAGGCTGCTGGCGCGTCGACGTTCCCACTTTCGCGAAGAGAAGTTTCGACTGGTATCCGAATGGCCTCCATTGTCTCCACTCTTAGTACCGTGAGACCGGATGTGGTTGGTCCTCTTAGATCCGTAATCCCCAGCCTGCACCCGGGCTACAACCACGTCGGGATAGACATCGGATACGGGTCCATTCTCGTCTGCAGGGTCGTATATAGCTCTGCCTTCCTCGGCAGCTGACACGTCGTCATGTTGGTGGACATGGTCATGGCTGTGATCCGCTCCGTGGTCATGACTGTGGCCGTGACCGTGATCATGTCCATGGCCGCCTAAGACGACGAAACCGACGAGGTTCGAGACAAGACCAAAACAGCCGACAATGAGGATTAACTTCGGGTTGGCGACTTCCTGAGGCTCCACAAACCGGGTCAATGCCTCAAGGATGATAGAAATACAAAGTGCAATTAGGAAAACGGCGTTGAAGAAGGCACCTAGGATCTCGGCTCGCACCCAGCCGTAAGAGAAGCGGTTTGTAGTGGCGCGTTTAACGACGGTGACAGCCCAGAGACCAATAATCAGTGATATGATGTCGTTGAGCATATGGAAAGCATCGGCCATCAGCGCCAGTGAATGAACCATAAAGCCCGATATTAACTCGATGAGGAAGAATGCAACATCAATGGCCAGCATGATGCTGATCCGGGTGGTTTTAGACCACGCCATCTTGGCGATTCTTGCAGTGTATTTGGTCGGCAGAAGGGTCAAGCGCGGGTGGAAATTGGTTCGTTTTCAGGTGGAAGCAGTGTCGTCGCCGATTGTCGAAGATGGAAGCTAGCGCAAAACGAAGGGGGGTGAAGAGGCAATTCGACGAGAGACGGCGCGGCTCGTCTGTGTCGGCGGACTAGTAAATATAAGTACGTTGTTGCAACGTAGAGGCTGGTGGCGATGGGACCAGGTGTCGAGCGTAGCAATAGAACTTGTGTTGAAGCTCTGGACACCCACCGACCAGGGACGGGGGTAGGAATGCCACAAAGTATTGTGTCTATGATAATGAGGTCTGTGCCTGGCTGGCTGGGGATGGGCCAAACAACACTAGAGGTTGTTAGAAACAAAAGAAAAGCGAGGCGATGAGGAGATTGTCGGCGGATAGCCCCGTTCAGGGAGAGTCGAACGGACACAAGGGCGGCGAAGGGCTAATGCAGCCGGGCTCGGCATCTGACTCGGGGAGGGGAAACGGACGATCGTGTCTGTGCGTTCGTTCTCATATCCTGGCCATCTACGTGACATACTCGGACATAGCAGAGGATAAAGAACCGATGACGGCGATGGGCTAGATGGCGACAGTAGGATAGAGAACGTTGGAAGGCTGTGGTAGAGTGTAGAACCATACCTATGTTGAAGTCTGTGATGGTGGCTGCCACTCGCGGCTTGTTGGTGTCAGCAATATTGTTACTATTACCTACAGGTAGCTAGGTAGTGTTGGGTGGTGTCGTCGCAGGCGTCGTCGTAGCGCCGTTAGTGCGCTGTTGCCGAATACGGGGTACCAGATGGAAATATTGATAGGAGCCAAAAGCTCTGATTCTCTAGGTACCGTATTCTACTTCTGCCAGTTACTTCTAGACAGAAGCTACCTACACTACCTACCTCATTAAGCAGCACTACATATTGCATACAACATCCCTTTGGCAACTCACACTTCTTTGTACATATGAAAGAAGCTATATGCACATACCATGCACCAGATCCTTCTGTACCTTGTTCAGGTGGCAGGCACGAGACACACCCATAAGGGGACGAAACAAGGGCAAAAAAACAAAAACAAAAAAAAAGGGGACCTTGAAAATTACCTCACGACGCTACCTAACTTGGCATCGTTATCAGATAAAATGTCAGATGATGGATGGCAGTCAAGTTCATGTGTATCCGGTAGGTACAAAGCTAGCTATGGTCATTATATAATCATTATCTAGACTCATCGATGCTGGTAGCTACCCACTTAGTCTCATCAGCTTTTTTTTTTTTTTTGCCCGGTCCTTACGCTAGACCTACTCTGACCTACTTATATAATACTATTGTATGTAGGTAGCCGAGTGGCTACTTGAGGTAAGTATCTACGTTGTAGACGGTCCAGGGAAGAAATCATACGATTGCCAGGTACCTACTTGTACGTGTGATATGTGATTCAATTTTGAAGCTGTCAGATTGACGTCACGATTTCTTACGTTATACCTATCTACTTGTGCATGCAGTTGAAGGAATTTCGCGGTGCTTGAAATCATGCTTCAAAAGTACTTGGATAGCTAAGTAATCTGACAGGTCAAGTTCAAGACCATGCGGGGAGATTTATGGTGTGCATAAGTAATGTATCACTAGCTTCCGGTGCTAACTAAGTAGCTAGCATTGCCGCGCTGAAGCCGCAGGATGGCACACCTGATTGATAACTAGCCGCCGTCTGCAGAGAAGAAGTTCGCATTTCCGTGCCTTTGTGCTTTTGGTGTTTTATGGTTAATATGCAGAGTACCTAATGTAGAGGTAATTAATGAGCTTATTTAATGAGCGGTATCCCGATTACGCGAGAGACTGGGTCTAGACCTGCGACCGATCAGACGATCAGAGACGATCAACATGTGCGAGGCGCCTCGCTTAAGGAGGAGAGAATAATCGCGCAAATGAACATCAGGTAGATTCAAGGATTATCTGAGAATAACTAACTGATCGAGGAAAAAAGGAAAGAAAAATAAATAAAGAAAAAGAAGAAGAAAAAGAAGAAGAAGTTGGAGGAGTCGTGGCGAATCTCACGGCTGACTGATAATTGGTGAATACCTACCAGGCACTCTAAACAACGGCACAACCCGCTGCAAGATGTCTACCTACGAACTAAGAGGGGATGGTTTAGAGGCAGAGCAAGCGACGAGAAACAATGTCCCATTGCCAAGACACGGCACGGGAAGCCACCGAGCCCTATCATCGGATTCTTCGCTGCTACTTTAACTCGATCGCCTCGACCACCCGTGCTTGTACGGGAGTATATGTGTAGCCATAGGTAGTCGACCGCACCTTATTTCTTTTATACTTCGTTATATATACCTTATATACACAACAGTCGATCGACATCACATTTCCTCGCTTCTGCTCGACACGACTCACTTCACCACGGCCAAGCCATTCATGCGCAAAGCTCGCCAGGCGACTCTGACCGTCGGATAGACGTGCCTATGTCCCATACCGGCCGCAACATGCTATTCCCGTGGCTACGCAAGTATGTACTAGGGAGGTTGGTAGAGAGACCCCGGTATGCTAATCAGAGTTCCGTTCGTCCCACTGGGCCCTGTCCCCTCCTAGGGTAGGTACCTAGGTAGGCTCGGTAGGTACAGCAATCTACCAAGTACCACCAGCAAGTAACATAGAAAAACTACGTCGACCCGGCGGGTAGATATCAAAACCTCTCGTCCAAGGTGTGAACAATGGTTCGCTCTAGGTCACTACCTCCTACTCCTACTCCTACTCCTACACAACCAACTGCAGGTATGGACCCGGTCTAGTCTTACAGCGGTAGCTTTGTCTTGTCTTAGATTACCTGCAGGGCATCACCTACCTACATACCTACAGTGTGAACTACGCCGTCGTATCGACAGGCACGCTGCAAATTCATACGTAGACTTGTATAGAGAGAGAGAGGGAGAGAGGGGGGGGGGGGGGGGGGTAGAAAGCCCGGTTACATTACTGCATGCAACATCGCAGAATATCGGTCAAGCATCGCAGTTTGTACCGAGAGCGGTGGCAGTTGCAATGCAGCCATTTTCGATCACACATTGTCGGAATTCGATCAAAGTAGCAACAGGTATCGAAGAGACGTTTGACGGATACATTGAAATTCTTATGTCTATAGACATAAGACAAGTAAGCCTAAGACAACTAATTATGATATACAAGCAAATTGGACAGCAATACGTAGTACAGCAGACCAGATTCGACCAGGTAGGTACCTAGGCCAGGAGTCAGCATGCCCTTCTTCCCAAGCCTCTATTTCTCTCTCTCCTGGCACAATCTCTCTACCTCCCAAATACCATATCGTCCTAATGAGCCGGGATGTCTTCAATGCCTCGAGGGCCAATATTCGGCCTCTTCTTGATCTCAGCCTCAGGGACACCACTCTCGAGCTTGCGAATGAGATCCTCAGGGTCAAAGTCGACACCGAGGGGGTTCTCGCGCATCTCGGGCCCCGTCAGGAACGCCGTGGTCTCCTCGTTGGTGTCGAAATTGTCCACCTGCGTCTCGAGACGATTGCCGTCCGGGTCGCGGTAGTAAAGGGACGTCGTGACACCGTGGTTCGTGCACCACACCGGGAGAATCCCAAACGCCTTGCGTTGCTTGTAGGCCGTGAACAAGGTCGATAGCGTGGGGTACGTGAAGGCGACGTGGTGCAGTCCTGCGCTCTTCTCGACTTTCCCCGGTAGGCCTGGCATTCCGATGATGGCGACACGGTGGTGCTCTTCGTCGTACGTGAGGAACGTCATGGAGTCCGTCTCGAAGCTGGCTTCGGCCCCGAGAAATGTCTTGTAGAACTTGGCCATGGTTGACACTTGTGGCGTTTGGAGCACCACGTGTGCGAGGGCCTTCGGGGATAGCACCTTGCTTGGCTTCGATTCGGTAGTCATTTTTTCAGAGGGTTGAATGTAGTAGATGATTTGGTATCGTCCAATGTGAGACTTGGTAGGTGATATGTTCTATAATAACGGTAGAAGGCGTGGTGTTGTCTTTAGTATCTTGTAAGTGATGAGCTCAGATGGCATTCATCTTGTCGCCAGCCATGCTTTATATATGCATTTCTCATCTCTGTAACTCCGAACGATCAATCAATTGGCCAATCTACCATGCTATCCACAGTGTTCTTCATCCTTCCGCTCAACCTGCTCTGTTCTCACGAATGCTGTCGCGAGCAGCGCGGTAGCTTAGGTAATTCGCGCGCGGGCTTGGGGTCCGTCCCCGGCAACTACAGTAGGTCCACATTGGCCCGAAGCTCGATCTCCGATGTTATCGCCAATGATTGATAGATCCACCGTCCGACCGTCCTTACAGTGAGTACCTAGGTAAGAGACGATAAGTTTACCTAATCTTGGCGTTGTCATTCAAAAGCCACAAGACGGTAGCTTTTCGTAAGCCGCGCGGATGGCATCAATCCTCACTCGTTATTACGGTAGTAAGGATCAGTGTAGCTATGGATACGCCGATGATTAAACGCTTTCTTAGATGACCAGTAAAATAGAAATTTCGGCGGTTATCGCGAATGATGATCCCGGTCGACTGTAAAGCTTTTGCAAATATCACTGGGTCTTTTCCGTGAATCCGTACAGACGTCATTGGTATAGCCCTTCAGCAAACACTCGGCGCTTCGGAGATGGACTAATACGCGAGGCAGCATGCATGGGCTCACCAGCAAGTCAAGATTTACCAAATACATGTTCTGGCGAAGAGATGTAAGTAAGCGTGTCTGATAGCCGGGTAAGTAAAAAATTATTGGCCCAGAAAGCCACACTGAGAGAAATCGGACAGGGCCGCATTGAGGTCAAAGTTGGAGTAACGATGGTCTTTAATGCTATCGCGTATTTGAGTCATGGTGATTCGTGCTTGGTCAACATGCATGATGAGATTGGAGAGTCTTCACCGCTGTCAGCCAAGTCAAATCCGAATACCTATTACTATCACGGAATGCCACCCTGCGGTTTTTTCTTTCTTTTTTTCGGAGACGGGGGAATCATGTTGGCTCCGGCTTCAATTCAGAGATTACAGACGCGGACGGTTCCCAATTCCACATCGCTGCTTGAGGCCTATGCATATTTAGCATTGACAAAGACAATTGCAATCATTTGAGCCCAAGCGAGTTCCAGAACCACACGGCGTCCTCTAGTGATCTTGTGCTGGGTTCCTGTACATCCCCATCGGAGCCGGATAGGTCAGAGCTCGGACAAGCAAATACGTACGAATTTTCTTCCAGATATGGAAACTGGTCTAGAAAACCCCTGGCCTCATACGAGCCAATACGGCTACCTGTACTTGTATGATGCTTTCAGAGCCTCTCGGAACAATCTTAGAGAGTCCTCCGCTGTCCCGACGCAGCTGTATTCAGAGCTTTCCGTGATCTCTTTCGTGCCGAAGAGGGTCGCATAGCTGGATGGGTCATTTCTTGGCTCAAGGTGTACACTGAAATTGGCTTAGCGGTAAGTAACGTGGAGGTATAGCAGATTGGTTAGAATGACGCCTTCCGTGTTGCCACAGCCATGAGATGTAATATGCATGCATCCCATGCAGTGGTAGGCTAGGGGTATAAACTCCGAGACGTTAAATTCTCCGAACGGCTGGAAGGCAATGAATTCAATGATAGCTTGAATTTTAATGTTTCTGTCTTTGGTGTCGACTGGTTAGCTTTCCCTTCTTGTATGAAATACTTATATATAAAGTCGCAGGTTGTTGCCGAGCAAAATGTGGTCAGTTATTAGCCTTACCCGCAAGAGGGACAATCAAAGTAACGTTCACGATTCCCCATCCGAGCATCTGGAAAGGAGATAACGGGGCAGTCTCCCAATGGGGTTCGGAGCCGACCTTCTGGCCACGTTACTCGGTAGCTTCGACTGGACTCGGCATGCGCGTACCATACGAGCTAGAATCTCCATGTCGCATGCTGGCGAAGATTTAAGATCCATTTCAGTAGCCGCCAAGGGATTCGTACCCAGATATGACTGTTCTTCGAAGCATCGGTGCATGCCCAGAGGGCACATCTCCACAGCACTCGGGCGGAGCGGTTGCGTATAGCTGGGGCTCGAAGTAAGGTCTGAGACTGGAGGATAAATTGTATGTTGCGAGATGGTAGGACTGCATACGCTGGTCTTTCTATCACGATGGGATGCATAATGACTGAGATGGTGCAATATCAGACATATCTAATAGTAATTAGGTAGTAAGTAATACTGGGATCATTAGGCTTATAGATGACACCAAACATCTGCGGTTCCGGTCATATAGAGATATTCGTCGTACAACATGAAGTTCTTGAGTTGGTACTCGGCGTGTTATGACTATGATGCGTGTTCTCAGATGGCGTTTGATGTCCAAAGTTGTATGGTGAACTGTTTCATCGACGATATCTCTGGGTACCAACCAACGCTCTGATTCATGGAAAGACTTTGCAGTCACGTCCGTGGTTCAAGCAACGACAGCCCGCAGTGAGCTGGCGGGGGCTTACTGTACAGCCGACTCGAACAATACAATGTGGATTGCTTCACTGGCCTCGACTTCATAGTTCAAGTTAGGAGACGCGTTACAACCTTGGAAGCATTAACCTACTTAGTAAGTATGTTGATAGTTGGCCTTACAGTTGGTACGTAACCGGACTGCCTCACCCGGTGTGGGTGGGTTGTTGATGGAGATGTGACAGGATGAAGATGTTACCTACCGAACCCACCTAGCTTACCCTACCTCCTAATGTACTATGGCACCATGTACTATGGTACTATGTAGGTAGGCGGATTCTGCAGACGTTGCATGGCAGATCAGATCTCTCTCCTCTGCTCTCTCTCCATACCTACCAATGCCTCCGTATCATGTATTTCCTACTCTTTACCTACTACTAGTACGTCCTGCTCCAATAAAATGATGTACGTTTACATTTCGAGTAGGGAGGTACCGTGCACAGCGCGATACTCACATATATCTACCTACAAATCTACATACAGTAACACTCTCAGTTACGTATGGACGTGAGCAATTTGGTGTGGGTGATATCATAGTGCCAGATACAGTACATCAATATTTACGCACTGTATTTTCTAGTGACCCTCCACGCTGCATTAGTGAGCGCTAGTGAGTGCCAGTGAGTGCCTAGGGCAGAATAGGTTGCCTAAATGAGAATCCGGTACCCAATCAGCGACTTCTCGGGCCGTGTTGCCGGGTCTAAAGGGTTCCTACCATAGATTTGCCAGGCATCGTAATTCAGCTTGCTTGGCGATAAGGTATTCCATTCGACCTGCCCGCCTCAGCTACAATCCCAAGGCTTCCTCGACGCCATCCCCATCATACATACCCCATCTTGGGTGCTCTGTACATACTCAATACCTCCTCAGTACACATGTAGGTAGATACTTACCAACGTGATCCGTCCACTCGGTGCTCGGGACATGGCTCCTCACAGCTTCACAGCATCTCACATGACATATTACCCAGATTGATCTTCAACTGGCTCGTTGACCATGTCGAATGAGGACCGCTGAGTGCCGAAAGCAGTCTTCTGCCCAACATGGAATGAATCCTTTGGATTTGCCGCTAGCCGAGCGTGATTGATGATAACGCCTTGCTTGGAAAAGACGCGTGCCTATAGGTGTAGATAGGCATGCTACTACTGCACTCAGTACGTAGTCGCATGAGACGAAATCTGTTACTGGCGGCCCATTCGGATGTTTCGCCTATCTCCAGCACGTTATGCAGGGATTCCAAGTCATCGATGGCTAGCTCAACCAGGTCCGGCATTGCTACGTTTCAGTAGCACTACTACGCATGTCCTTTCTCCATCCCACTCGGAACTTGCCAGGAACTGCTACTAAGTACCATCGTTAAGTGTCCTACTTATGGTGTGAATGCTGGTTGACACATTTGGCATGATCATGAGGGAAGCGACATCATCATAGGCTGCTTAACCCCAGCGACGAACCCGTTGAAATATGCTCTCACACACAGACTCTGTGCGAAGGCATAGCCATAGCCCGTCCAGCCCAATAGAACGAGTCCTCGTATTACTCTAATTAGTAATTATATGTCCTTTAACTCCTCATTCACACTTTGAAGCCTGCCCTACCTTTACTAACAAATACTATCCCTAGGCCTTATCCACTTGTAGCGACAGTAGAAGAAGAGGTTCTCTTCTACTACCTAGGTAGCTGAAACGTTCGCCGCTTACCTACGCAGAGGTCTCTTGCCATGGCCGAATCAACAGCTACTATGGTATCATTTTTGAACTCTCAGCCTAATGAACGCTCCACGTTTGCCGAAGGAACCCCCCACTCTATGTATGTACATGGACGCGCTCATATGTCCCAGGACCAGAGTCAACCTCCACCCGGTCCGTCAACGCCGTGGCTATAACCTGGCATGGGTGTTAATATATATCTCTTATCGGCTTCATCGCCCTCACTTTTCTGCGAGCCTAGCTTGGATTTGAGCCCTATCTTGTCCATCCTCCTCCACATCACGGTGTCTTTTCGGCCCCCTCTACTCTGACCAGTCTACAAGTGCAGATCATGGTCAGGTTTCCTCCTCCAAGTCAGCCTCTCATGAGCGGTGAGTTTCCTATCGAGATAACTCCATCGTCTCTGCAACCCTCAACCTCGCCCGGCGCTGTATCGCCCCAAGATCTCACAGCACGCCACCCCCAACTACTTTCGTAATTTGTGACATCTAGAAACTCTTCGGGTCTATGTTCACGTCACGCCTCGGGTCATACTATAGCGGAGTCTTTGCCCACCTTGGCAGATGCCCGCAAACTCACCAGGTGTTTTGGTTATATAGTAGTCATATGTTTCTCTTCGTCTATTCACATTGATATCATTCTAGTACTATAATACCCTATTCAAGCCTCTACTTTGTTTGGAGACCAAGTTGCTCCTGTTGAGCTTTCCTATAAGTGACGCCTGCCTACCGCCTTTTCTGGTTCATTCTTCGCCATAACAGCGTATAATATCATTGAAGTAGGGCATCTATTGCAGCCTTGTTGACTTGGTGGAACTCTTTAAAATGTCGTCCATGACAATGGAGCCCCTTGACGACCAACAATATGAGGCATCATATCCTCTCGCCTCACCCTCTGATATTAGTGGATCCAACGCAACTCCAGACACCGAATACTCGCCTCCTGACAGCCCGTTTCCTAAGCAACAGCTCTTGAATGACAGCCGATCAGTAGCGAGGAAAAAGTTGGAGTCTCTAACGACTAAGGAAAAGGTATGAGTTATGAGCAACTCACCTCAGTATCGCAAGCTAATTGTGCTGCAGGTTTCTCTTCTTACCGCTGCAGACTTCTGGAGGACTAAGGCTATCTCTGAGAAGGGCATACCGGCAATCAAAACTAGCGATGGACCAAACGGGGCTCGCGGTGGCATCTTTGTTGGAGGCACAAAGGTTAATACGACTACATCTTCATCATAAAATCAGTATTGTTAACACTGTTGAACGTAGGCAGCTCTATTTCCATGTGGCATATCCCTAGCAGCAACCTGGAATAAAGACCTACTGTACCAGGTTGGCCAGCATCTGGCTCGTGAAGTTCATGCAAGATCAGCTCAGGTTCTCCTTGCCCCGACTGTTTGCATGCACCGACACCCGTTAGGCGGCAGGAATTTCGAATCATTCTCAGAAGACCCTTTGCTCACTGGAAAGCTAGCCTCTCAGTACATCAAGGGGCTTCAGTCGAAAGGGGTTGCTGCCACTATCAAACGTCTGCTCATGTTCATCCCAAAAGTCGCCGGACATAGGCTAACCTAGTGCAGATTTCGTCACGAACGAACAGGAGACACATCGCCTGACTATCGACTCGTTAGTAATGGAGCGGCCTTTAAGAGAGCTGTATCTACGTCCTTTTGAGATCGCTGTACGGGATGCAAATCCATGGGCTGTCATGTCATCTTACAACCTTATCAATGGTGTTCATGCCGATATGAATCATCATACACTGAAAGAAATCCTGCGAGGGGAGTGGGGCTATGATGGGTATGTATCAATCTACGAGGTTCGAGCTTTTCATTAAGAGACTTTCCCAGGACGGTCATTTCGGATTGGGGAGGCACCAACTCAACAGTAGAATCAATCAAGGCAGGATGCGATATCGAGTTCCCCTACTCGACTAAATGGCGCTTCGATAAAGTCTTGAAGGCTATTGAGACCGGAGAGCTCACTTTAGGGGAGGTTAATGCAGCTGCAGAGAACGTGCTCACACTGGTCGAGCGGACGAAGGGCGGCGACATGTCGGCCGAAGAGCCAGAAAGGGAAGATGATAGAGATGACACCCGTGCACTTATCCGCTCAGCTGGTGCTGAAGGCCTGACGTTGCTGAAGAACAAAGGCGCAATACTACCCATTGATCCGGAGACATCCAAGATTGCTGTTATTGGGCCCAATGCTAACAGGGCTATTGCAGGCGGTGGTGGTAGTGCTAGTCTCAACCCTTATTACAACACGCTTCCTCTGGATAGCATCAAGCAAGCTGCAAATGGGGAGGTGATATATGCTCAAGGATGTCATATTTACAAATGGCTCCCAGTAGCATCACCCTTCTGCACCGATAAGGCCGGCAAGCCTGGTGTGACGTTAGAATGGTTTAGCGGCGACAAATTCCGTGGCGATGTTATTGTCACGCAACGCAGGATCAATACAGATCTTTTTCTATGGGATTCAGCCCCGCTGGATCAACTAGGACCCGAATGGTCAGCTATTGCAACAACGTACCTCACACCTACTTCTTCGGGGAAGCATACCATCAGTTTCATGAGCGTCGGTCCCGGCAAGTTATATCTTGACGGGAAATTGGCGCTCGATCTATGGAACTGGACTGAGGAAGGCGAGGCAATGTTTGACGGCTCTATTGATTATATGGTCGACGTTGATATGACTGCCGGCACGGCCGTTGAGTTGCGGGTGGAGATGACGAACGAGCTTCGTCCCGTCTCGAAGCAAAAACAGTTCAACATGACGCACAAGTATGGTGGATGTCGTATTGGATTCAAGGAAGAAGACCAGGTCGACTACCTTCAAGAAGCTGTGAACGCCGCCAAGGAAGCCGATATCGCCGTTGTTATCGTCGGTCTTGATGCCGAGTGGGAGTCGGAAGGTTACGATCGGAAGACGATGGATCTACCCTCCGATGGGAGCCAAGACAGACTTGTACGGGCCGTTCTCAAAGCTAACCCCCGGACGGTCGTCGTTAACCAGTCTGGTTCTCCGGTGACTATGCCTTGGGCAGACGACGTTCCTGCTATCATCCAAGCCTGGTACCAGGGCCAGGAAGCTGGCAATGCTTTGGCTGATGTCCTATTTGGTCTACGCAATCCAAGCGGCAAGCTTCCGGTAAGACTCTCATTTTGTTTCGTGTCAACCCCTTTACAACACCGCCTTACTAATCCCAACAGTCAACTTTCCCTCGTAGACTCGAAGACACCCCAGCGTATCATAATTGGCCCGGGGAGAATCTCCGCGTGCTATACGGAGAAGGGCTCTACATCGGGTACCGACATTACGACAAGGTGAAAATCGGCCCACTCTTCCCCTTCGGCCATGGCCTCTCATACACGACCTTCGAGTACGGCCGCCCATCCCTCAGCCACAAAGTCCTGACGTCGTCGGCCTCGATCCATCTCGTCATGGCGGTTACCAACACGGGACCTGTCGCAGGTGCAGAGGCAGTGCAGATTTACGTCCAGGATGAGAAGTCGACGCTCCCTCGTCCCGAGAAGGAACTTGCGGCGTTCGAAAAAGTCTCCCTCCAACCTGATGAGACCAAGCATATCACGGTGCCCCTGGATAAGTACTCTGTGGGATATTATGACCCGGCCAAGGCGGCGTGGATTGCTGAAGAGGGCACTTTCAAGGTGCTTATTGGTTCTTCTGCTGCGGATATTAGGTCAGCTCCCCACCCCAACCCTCTCTTCACTTTCCTCCACCTTCTTTAACTTACTTCACCCCCTTTTCAATTGTATTCAGCCAAGCGCAATAAGTCAGAGGTTTGGGGTTGCTAACGCGTCTCATGTTTCTTAGACATTCCATCTCGTTCGAAGTTAATGAGTCGTTCACCTGGGTATTCTAATCGAATCCATATGAGGCTGTCATTGTCCCCCTTCTCTCTATATATTTCCGAAATTCAAGTATATGATTCTGGTGACGTCGAGATCTTGGGGTCTGGCCCTGGGGATTTAATTAGAGAAGGCAAGGAGCAGATGAATGGAGAATAATTCTGATCAAAGAAGAACGAGCTGTCACCTGTTGTGTTGTGGTATAGCTTGGATGTTTAATACCCTCCTTTTTTTATATCCTTGTTTTTGGTGTCTTTTGTTGGTAGCTAGGTTGCATGGCTATGGTGGAGTGGTATGATTGAATGGAACTGGGCACAACTTTGGCAGATTGGTTTATCGTTGGCTATCATATGGCGATGGCGAAGAGTTTATACTACCCAATATAACCCCTCCTGAACCGAAGTTAGAAGTTAGCAACCAAGACAATAACGCAGAACCTCAATGGGGTATAATGTCGGAGCCGTCGCCTATGACTACACACATTTCATCTTGATCGTAAGCTTTCGAAGTCTCGCATCATAATTCTTCTTTGGTTCTATTCTTGCCCTCACTTCCACTCTTGATTATCAATTTCATTGTTAGATACATGTCAGTTGCTATGCTCACAGACTAGTTGGACGTAAGTATTAGTAGCTAATGGCTGTATAGATTCAATTCTCATAGCACGTGTTGCATAGTAAGTGTATGATAACTGGTATCTAACTAGCTTCATTAGTCCAAGGGGTTAAGGAAGGAAATGTGAATAGAACATGGTTTTTCCTAACTCCCAGATACGCAGACTCTGTAACTGAATTCGACGCTACAGGAATGGCGGCGACCCCCTATTTTGCTAATTCACTGAAATAAGCAAACCAGCGTTCTGTAACAGTGTGTTAACCTGGGCCTAGCTAATACTGATACTGAGCAGAGTGATGTCTCATGGCCGCCTATGAATATCTTAAATCAAGTTTAGATTTGAGTTTGGTATATTAGAGAAAGCTCTATTTGTTGGGATATCATTAGAATTTTGAAATAATGCTGTGAGGGTTGTGAGTGAGGTAAGGGGAAGGAGCAGAAAATACCTTCATGGGCTACTTAAAGCTCATCCGTTGTTCGACAAGGTGAATGTTTTATGTTTTAGGGATATTACTATCGAGAACAGAGCGGAATTCTTAGATGAATTTGAAAGAGTATATATATATAACATGATTTTTTCTAGAGAAACGACTTGTATTTTTATCATCTTGCTGTGAGACACCAAAGCCACTGTAGGTGCTGTAGGCACACTGTGGATACAGTGGATATAGTGGATGAAGACAGGAGCTGAAGCCTAGCCTGGCCCAGCTCAACCCAGCCAACGCATCGTCATCCACTTCGAGTTAATACTATGTACCTGGGTATGTACCTAGGCATGTACATGGATGTTACCTGTCAAAGCTGATATAGCTTCTTCTACCAGATCTACCTTACTGCAGTTCCCGGGGCGCATGAACTGACCATATGCCTAGGCTTCTTAATATAACAAAAATCCCTAACAAGCAAATTCTCACCTGGCCCGGCCAATTGATCCCCGTCCGTCGCACCCGGAAAGAATCCGCTCCCTATCGATCGATTCGCCATACTCCACATCATCCCTTCCTAGGCGCCTTATCACATTGATGGCTGCCCAGTCGGGACGTAATGGCCCGGCCATCATATAGGACCTACGGGTCTCCCGCCTACTCTGCCGCACACCACGACCCCGGCGCTTCCATCTGGGACGAGATTATGGCAGCCGGAACGAGTCTCGTGCGACGGCTGCGGGCCTACGGGAATGGCCGTGGGAGGCATTCGGCCTGGAAACTCGCCGTCAGGGGAGGCCACCAGCTGCGACGCAACTTGGTGCGCCGCCGTCTCCTCAGCTTCCCGCATCTACTGGTCGCGCTATGGGTCTTCGTTCTGCTCTGGGGCGAGAGGTGGACGTTTGCGAGTAAGGTGAACAGCTGCGACTGGGACCATTGGGAAGATTGGGTAAGTTGAATTGTCTCTCTTCTGCACCTCCTGACTACGACGTCCTATCGTGCCTTGGGGAGGAAAGGGCCGAGATATAGGAAGAGGAAATCGTAGTTGCGGCCACTTGGCACTGTCGGATCCTAGCTAACCAGGACACGACGGATAGCCACCCAGTGCAACACCCCATCGACTGGTTTTCGTCGCCGATCCTCAGATCATCGATCCTCATTCATACCCAGGGCGGCCATGGCCACTTAACCCTCTTACAATGCGCATTACCGACAACTACATGAGCAGGTCCTACACGCAAGTACAGAAGATCTTACATCCGGACACAGTCATGTTTCTAGGTGATTTATTCGATGGCGGGAGGGAGTGGAAGACGGCACATGGAGACTTTGCCGACCCGGAATGGGCCAAGGACCATCGGCCCGCCGACGAGAAGAAGTACGTGAAGCAGTGGAATAGAAAGTACGGCGAAAAATACTGGTTGAAAGAGTACGCAAGGTTCGGCCGGATATTTTTCGATAAGTGGATATGGGGAGGGACTACATCTGGTCCGCACCAGCGAGGCCGTAAACTTATTGCAAGCTTACCTGGCAACCACGACCTGGGCTTTGGGGCTGAAGTCAAGCTGCCGGTGAGGCATCGATTTAATGCTTATTTTGGTGAGACAAACAGGGTCGATGTGATTGGAAACCACACGTTTGTATCCGTCGATACAGTTTCTTTAAGTGCCGATACTTCCAACATGAAGAACCAAGTCGACTTGGGCCAAATCTACGGTCCAGTAAATGATTTCCTCGACGAGGTCAAAGCAAGAAAACGCCGTGCTGTGCAGAAGGAACTGCGGTTCTGGCGGGGAGATGTCGAGGAAGTGGTTCTTGAACACAAGGTCGAAGAACTGGAAGACGCAGATTACAGCAACTTACCAACCATGGACCCAGGCGAGGGTGCATCTGACTTCCCTACGATTCTGTTAACTCATGTCCCATTATATCGTGAGCGTGGCACTCCATGTGGTCCGATGCGCGAACATTGGCCGCCCACCAACCCCCCCAAGGGACAAACGGGTCCCGTGATCCCAGACCATCGAAACGCCATCAGCGTATCGGGCGGGTATCAATACCAAAACGTCCTTAGCGACGAAGATTCAATCAAGCTGATCAAGAGCATCGGCAACGTCATTCATGTTTTCTCAGGCGACGACCACGACTACTGCGAAGTTGTTCACTCACCAGAAAAAGAAAACGTGCGCGAAATTACTGTTAAGAGCTTCAGCATGGCCATGGGGGTACCAACTCCTGGCTTCCAGATGGTCTCGCTGTACAACCCGGTCGATGACCAAGGGAAGCCCCTCCCCAGCTCCACAGGCCGGACAATGCAGACGCACCTCTGCCTCCTCCCTAACCAGCTCTCCATGTTCCTTACCTATGCTATCCTTGGAGTCCTAACTATTCTGGTGCTCGTAGCCAGAGCGTTTCTCGTGCCGCTCCTCAATCTGCAGCCTTTCGCCCTCGAACCGATGCATCACCCCCCTTCGGCTGTGCTCCCCGTGTTTAAGGCTAAGATGGACGCAGACGACGACTACGACGCCCTCCACAACGATTCGACGTCGTCCTCAGGCACGGCGTCGAATAATCTACCGCTAGCCCGCTTCTCGTCAACGCGGACGCGGGACCAGTGGCAAGGGCAGCAGGCGAGAAACGGAACGCCACCGACGACGAAGAACGGCGGTGGCGGCAACAAAAAGACAGGAGCAACAGGTGGGAAATGGGGCTGGGCCCAGAATAAAGGCCCTAAGATCCAGATCCGTAGAGATAACACGTACTTTGATGGTGACGATGACAAGATGGCGTGGAGACCGGCTTCTTCTTATTCGGGGTTATCCGGGAGGAGAAGACGGAATACTACCGCTGCGTTCAGGGTCGTCCTGGCCGAGATGTGGACTACGTGTTGGCGGACGGCGTGGATGGTACTTTTGTTTTATGCATGGCTTACTTGGCGTGGATAAAAACAAAATGGAAATATATCTCACTTTTCTACTTCTGATATCTGTTTGCCTTTGTTTCTGGCCCCCTCTCCCCCTCCCTTTCTTTTCTATCTTTTTTTTTTTCCCGAGTCTTAATGTATAAGAAACGCTGGGATGGATATACTATGTAATACGGATACGAAACAAAAAAAGGGTGTTTGGTCTACTTGCCTACCTATCTACTTGTATAGCTAAGGGGAAGAATTTAATAGCGGAATAAAGAGACGGGGGAAACAGGAAAACTTGTATCATTATATCATCGAATTATTGCTGAAGTCAGTCAGTCAGTTAGTTAGTTATTGCTCGTTCTATTTGGCGAGGCATGGCATAACGTAACGTAACATAGGAGAGAGAAAGGGGAGAGAGGAGAGGAGGACGCGCGCAGGGCACTTACTTGGCTTGATTTTCATTCATGTGCATAGATACGCAGATAGATGTGCATGGGAAATGGAGTAAAGTTCTTATCATTACTATTTCGTTTATTTTGTTCTTTATGCTTGCTGTTGTGTTGTGTTGGTATTGGTGTTTTGTTTTTGAATTTGATATCTTGATAGTAGGGATTGAGTCATTGATACTGAATTCATCTAGAGAAGACATTCCGTCAATAAAAATAAAGGACTATATTCATATCTGCGCTTCGAGTCCTACCCACGCGGCATATCTTAAAGCAATGCCTAAAAAAATTTTTTTAAACGTAGCGAGCCAAGGCATTGTCCGTATAGATGAGTACGATCTAAGGCGCTCTCCTTTAACTTCATCCTGTGCAATAGCTTCGTCCCTTTTGTCTAGTTTGGTTGGCAACTCAGAGAGCGCACCTGGACATAAACATGGGCGTAGAGATGGAAGTGCGAGGGATCACGGACAGTGAGGGCATTGTCTTTTAATTTGGGTGGGGATTGTGATTGCCACGAGAGTATCCCCGGGGTCTAGGAGGGTATCCGCCACGGAATCCTCCCAAGTAACTGAGATTATACAATCAGGCGGAGAGAAGAGACGCCAGAAACTAGATCTATCTGTAATACCAAAGGCATTGCGTTGCAAAGCAATCATGAAAAAATATCTTACCGGTTTAAATCAGAGCTCAAATGACCTATCTAGTAGACACACTTAGAACTCATCATCGATTATACTAAGAAGTCCGTCATTCACCTAGCTATTCGCACCCGAGTCAATGTCAAATCAAAACAAGACGATAACACCACGTTGGATTCAATATTCAATGGTTGATTCTATTCGACTAATGTAATATCAACATTGATAATGACGACGACAAGACTAGAACAGCCCAGAGATCTCTACCCAAGTCATGCCATGATACAGTTATATAAGACTTTCCCTCTAGGCAGGATGAACAAACAGGTAGGGAGGTAGATTCTGACACCTGGTTGTTTTAAACGTAAAAAGCCAGCTTTGTGGCCATGTAGATTGTGTCGCGCTGTACCGACTAATGATGAAACGGTGACCGACGTGGACTGTTACCACTGCGCGATGGAGGACGAGCCTCGACCTTAAAAAAATAAACTCCGAATAGAGATGGCCTTGCTGGCCTTTGGTTTCCCTGTGAACTTGGCCGCCCAGCCAAAAAAAAACCCCCCAGCCTAGTGTCCAGTTGAATAATGTCCCCGCCTTGAACCCTTGTGCCCCGTAATTCCAATGTACTCCGACCTGTCCAACTCCGGCGCTGATAAATTGATAAGTGTATTTTATAAAAGACAAAACATATGCCGGATTATAAAGGTATATCGGGTAACGATAAAAGTATTGTCAAACATTTGGACAAAGTAACGTGAATAATCGCCAAGAATGCAAGTCGTAAGAAGTCGAGAGGCCACATCAATAGCTAAAGTCGACGTTGCTCAGTCCTAACTCGCGAACTGCTTTATCCTCTTCCGATTCGCTGTTTTCCGTGTGATGCCCTGTCGTTTGTATCGTTTGTATACTCGAATCAGTCGCTGTTGAACCTGTTCTCGAAGGTTCCAGCTCATGCTCCGTCGGTGGAATACCGCTATCAGCGAACCCTTCGTCACGCAGTTGTTGAAAGCTCCAGCTTGGTTCAAAACCCTTACTCTTCCACGCAAGGTGTACCCGTTCATACATCTCGTCGATCTGTTCAAGACTGATCTTGCTAGTTTCGAAAACCATACAATAAACGAAGATGGCCCCTAGGACACAGAAGGCCCCCCAAAGAAAAAAGACCTTGGAACCGAGAGAGGCATATCCAGTTCCTTCTTCAACTAAGAATGGCGTCCCGTATGCGATGCCAAAATTGAGTAGCCAATTGGAAGCCGTGGAAATGGACATGGATTTGGCTCGAACCTTGAGGGGATAAATCTCTGAAGTGACCACCCAGGCGACTGGGCCCCAAGATGCGGCGTAGAAGAAAACGAAAAAGGAGAGGAAAACAATAAGTAGTTTCGCAACCAGCCCCTTCATATCGGAAGCCACAGTCGAGAAGATGGCAATAACTAGTTGACATATGGCCATTCCAATCGAGCCGACGATTAAAAGCTTCCGACGGCCCCAGCTTTCGACAACGAACAGGCCGGGAACAGTAGAGACGACGTTGATGACGTTCAAGACAAGAGAAATCGTGAAGGGGTTATTAACGCCGGCACCGAGAAAGAATGTGGTCCCATAATACATAATGAAGTTGATACCAGTGAGTTGCTGGAGCATCTGAAGCCCGCAACCTGTGAGAATTCGGCGGCCAAGGTGTGGAGATCCCGTAAAGACGTCGCGGTATGATGCGCTGCCGAGAGCGAGTTCGTATTCATGGTTGGCTTCAATCTCAGCAAGCTCCTCCTGAAGGGCTGGATGTGTAATATCAAGACGTCTTAAACGACTAAGAGCGAGACCAGCTGCGAGTTTATCACCACGTTTGATGAGATATCGCGGTGTCTCTGGCAAGATGAGCAGACCAAGACTTAAGACTACGGCCCATGTGAGTTGAAGGCCGAAAGGAATCTGATAGGCAGCAGCGCCTGGTATTTGATATGTTAATTGGTTCACAATCGAAGCGGCCAATAGACCAATGGTGATGGAGAACTGATATGCGCAAACTAGTGTCCCGCGAATCCATTTGGGAGCCATCTCGGACTGATAGAGCGGAACAAGCACAGACACGGCGCCGACTCCAACGCCGGCGAAGAATCTAGATGGTTCATGTGAATACAAGGACCTTCAATATAGACATGCCTTAGTCCGAGTAGAGTACATACCTCCCGGCCAATAATAACGGAAGAGCATCGGCGGTAACCTGAAATATCACACCAAGAATGAAGACGCCGATGGAGGCAATGATGGATAAACGGCGACCTATCCAATCGCCAAAGGGAGCGGAGATCAAGGCGCCAGCAAAAGTTCCGGCACTGAGGATGGCTACGGTGATGGCGATCTGGTCGGGTCGGAGATCGAGCTCGCCGTCCTCGTCGACAGAACCGGTGCTGAATTGATCCCTAAACGATGTCATGGCGAGGATGCCATTGATGGTGCTTGTACGGGAAACAGTGTCAGCAGCGCATGGCGACACGAGAGAGAAGGGACGCAGCATGATGGAGGACAAAGCGGATGAAAGAGGAAATGTATGCTCACCCCGTATCATAGCCGAACAGAACACCGCCGGTAGCGACGAAGAGACCGACCATGATGGCGGGCGCAGAGGACCCGGCGACATTGTCGGGTTTGTGCCAGCCCATGGCAATAGCCATGGTGAATGGTGTTGGAACGTCAAGCCAGCGTAGTGGGTGATGTGACGGCGTGATCTCAGGGGTTGAGGAAGGGAGAGGAACGGGGTCCGGGTTGAGGTCGAGGTCGAGGTCGAGAACTCGGGTGGAATTGACGGGCTCGCATGGACGTCGGGTCGACTCGGTAGAAGTAGAGGTTGAGGTGGAGGTTAAGGTGGAGGTTGAAGTTGAAGTTGAGTTGGTAGTGTCGAAGAGATGTGGGTATAACACGGCGAAGGGAGAGAAACCTGGAGAGAACCTAGTGTGAGGCCTCGAGTGGTCGGGTGGAGAAGTCGACAGTTAGGACGTGGAGTTTGGATGGGTGGATGGGATGGGATGGGATGGGATGGGTTGGGTTGGTGGGTGGGCGCTGGGCGAGAGAAAAGGCGGGAGATGTCGAGGATGTGAGAGGAGCGGGCGAGCGACAGCAGAGGCCCGCCTAGAGCAGCAGCAGCAGCAGCAGCGGCGGCGGCGGAGGGCGGCACACACAAGGTCAGTCGGTCAGCAAAGACGGCCAAGAGCAAGGATCCGCCAGGATCAGCCAGCACCAGCAGCACCCACGCTATGTACTTACGCTCCCTGTCCTGTCCTGTCTGCTGATACCTACTTTAGCTAGTAGGTAGGTAGGTAGGTCTGCCCTGTAAAGCACCTCCTGTAGGTACCTGCTAGGTACATCTGTAGGTATGTAAGGTACCTAGGTATTGGAACTTGAACTGGTCGATAGCGTGCTACAGGTGCCTAGACTAGGGACAGATAGTTGGGTGCATACCTAGCGCAGCGTACTGGCTGGGTACATACATACATAGGAGGTACTGTAGGTACCATCGACTCGCCAAGATCCCTAATGCCATGCTTTGATTGGCTCTAGGGAACAAAGACGGCGTCTTTATACTTACCTAAGAACTTAAGCGAATGAGCCTAGCGAGCCAGGTAGGAAATACTCTGCCTGTTCAAGCAAGTATCTTGCATCGAGTAGAATGGACAGTGGACAGATACAACACCACAGCTGATTCAGACTGACTTAAGCAGCATCTTAGGTATCATAAAATCACGAGGCTTCGTCAGAAAGATAAATGATAGGTAGGGAACTATGTATGTCTAGAGGACGTGTAGTGACCCTAATGACTTACCTACTTCAACACTTACATAGTAGGTACATATTTACATGTACCTAAGTAGGCTGGCGGATGGTGATGGTGATGGGGATGGTGATGGGGATGGGGATGGGGATGGGGAAAAAGAATCGCCAAACACAGATCCCCAGGACTGCCCAGGCGAGCCCAGGCTACTCTATCCCCCAGCTATCCCCAGCTATCCCCATCTATCCCATCTATCCCATCTATCCCATCTATCCCATCTATCCCATCTATCCCATCTATCCCATCTATCCCGCTAAACCCAATTGCCCTTGTCTGCCCTGCCCCCAAGATTGACCTACCTGCCTGCCTCCCAAAAGGCCCTGTGCAGAAATGTTCCCCGTCCTCGCCGTCATCTCATTCGCTACCAGCAGGAATACCTGCAGTGTCTTGTATGTGTCAACCCACCCATGATCCCCCTATTCGGGGCTAGTCGCCTCCCCATTCGAGTCTTTGGTGGTGGTGGTGGTAATAAGTAGATACTTACATTTATAGTACATGTACCTATTTCGACGGCGTAGTGTATATGCTGTGAAACATAAAGTAGAGCTGGGCTCGGTGGCTTGGGATTAAACATGCCACTGGCAGGCTCACACTAAAATATACATATTTTTCATTGCCAATTCTCGTTTAATTACCATCATTGTCAGCATTCATTTCTTTCCATCTCCCCTATTGCGGCCGCCAAAGTCCGTAAGTAGTTCCTTAATAGAAGTAGTTGAGTCGATATGGTATTACATGATGAACTTACTATAGGACCCATATATAAACACAGAATATCTACATTGCCTGCCAACTTCCCCCCAACATACACGAGGTAGGTATATCAGTATGAACAATACTGAAGTGTTCAACGGTGAGGCTTTGTAAACTACCGCATCCTAGAGCGCCTAGCATAGACTACCTGGCACCATGAAGCTGGGAACTTTATGAGCCGTTCCCCAAATTGGTAGTGTGCTGTGCCATGTAATGGCGTCGTCTATTCATACTTATGTGGTGTCTACATGGTACAGTAGGCATTTATGTAATAGCCTCATTGTGCTAGTATTGTAGTATCCTACGCTATTCGCCTACGGTGCCGTGCTACCCATCTAGGTAATAAATGGAATCGATAATCCTGAATTCAGCATAGTTGAAGTAGAGGCAGGTAGATAGGTACAGAATAGGTAGTCTTCCTTCTGCTTACAATACAACCTCACAGGCATGAGTATGGTAGGGATACCGTATCCAAGATAGGTAGCGTGCTCCGAATTCTTGGTACGACGACAAATCATCCTCCTCTGAGTGCTCGGTGTCCGGCACATGAGGCTAAACAATACCTACCTGCAGTGGTATGTATAGTCTATCCAGTCAATGTACTTGATCGTGTTGTTGTTGACCGGATGATGACGGCAAGGACTACTTAAGAGAAGGACTAACCCCGTCAATCAACCAACGGCGGTATATAAAGAACGTCTGTGCACGACGTGGGACATATTAATAGAGGGCCAGAGCCATGGGAAAGCAGTCTACGGAGGTGCTATTCATTCGCTAGTACAGTGCGTATGTATCTATCTAGGTAGCTGGCTTGTCTCTTCCTGATTCGGATGAGACCAACATGCTAACATACCTACCGGTATCACAAGAGTCAGGCCTTTCTCCCACACTCGACTACAACAGTACCCTATCAAAGTGCGGGAGAAAATGAGAGACAGAAATATACAATACCTAAGTAGGAGCACAGGCTACGTACATACATCGCACCTGTAAGGCAGCGCGTGTGTGCCATGGGGCCCCCAAGGCTTCAGACGTCGTGATACCGTACCACAAGAAACGTTGCAAAGCGACGTGCACACACACACGCTCTCTCACACGCTCTCACGCTCTCACACATTACACACAGAGCTAACATTAGGTACCTACCTAGGTAGCCCATTTCCATACAGCAGCAGCAGCATGCATAGTACGGTGGCGCGACACTAGTGAAGTAGGGTGGCGCGCAGGAAGCGCCGACAAGGTACGAAATGGAACAAAGACGACGCCATGTCGCGGCGCATACATCACCTGTCTCAGCTCGCGTGTGACACCAGTCCAGCTTTCCGGGGACCAAGTGGCATTTTGCCCAGCACCCCAGTGCCCATGGGGTCTTGTCAAGGCACTAAATAAGACAGGGGAGAGAGAGAGAAGTATGTATCCTTTTCTGAAGCCCGAGCAGAACAAGTGCTGAGCTAGGCACCTACGTGTACATACTTACATAGTAGGTATGGATGTAAGTATAGGTATGTAGTAAAGGGCCATCTCGGCTAGATCAGACAGCCCCACGAGCCAGCCAGAGAGCTTATGTCCGTACCTAACGGTCGACCATTTCTCTACCTTCCGGGATACCTACTGTACCTTGGTCATCTTCGGTATTCTCCAGATATGAGTTCGAGAAAAGGGTAATGTATCTAAGGCGCTATATTAGGTAATACACTAACGCTCAGCTAAATGCCACACAAATTGCAGTACACAGTAGATCAAGCCGGATCCGGGATAGCTGAGCTTTCTTAGCGAGCAGGCCGGCGCAACGGGCGTACGGTAGGACGTCCTTTAGTTGTTCGCGGGGAAAGCGCTAGGTATTCACATGCAGACCAACAGAGAGAGAGTCTGTGTGTCCCAACCGGCCGTGGATCGGAAGAAGAGTAGAATACCTGAAGGAAAGAATGGGGGATGGAAATAGGGAAAATTACTGCGTCCCGTTGTCGTGGTCGCGCAGTGTGATGTGACTACCTACATACATCTACAAGTACACGATGCCCTTCAAGTTGTGTGACATCTTAGGCCTACCTATTATTGTACGTCCTATTAGATAGATATTGTATTATATTAGACATTACCTACTCACTACATATAAGTATAGGTATACCTACTAAACCTATATCCAGGGGCAAAGTAGGTACGCAATAGGTAATATGTAATATCTGCCAAGTAACACATCCTACTCTGCTTAGATGGATGGAGGTCGACAACCCCAACGGTTTTGAACCTAAAGTGCTAGCTTGGTCCGACATTCAACCCAGACAATGACATACCATCGTGATACTTCAACAACACACACGTTTCATCTTCGACTTTTGCTACCTATTTCCCCCCTTCCTATTTCTGATTCTCCCATCGTGACGCCCAGAGTTATCCGATACCTACCTATCTACCTAATCATAGGCAACACCATGCCATCAGGAACCCAAGCTAGCATCACCGGATCTCCGGTCGGCCACAGTGCTTAAACATACACACCCACCGACTTTTGACTACTTACATCGTTTAAGTAAGAGGGGGAAACAAAAAAAAAACAGCCACCGGCCTCCGCTAGGAGATTGTGCCAAGTCATCCAGCCAACCAAGAACCTCGCCTATGACATTTTCACGCGAGGTAAAGTAGCGCATGGACGCGGTCTACGCCTCTCTGCCTGGATCTCGCAGCATACCTACTTAACTAGCAACGCTCATGATCCAGCATCAATCAGTACCGCTGGCTAGGTACTTTATACAAATCGTACTTCAGTGTGTGTGTGTGTGTCTGTGTCTGTGTGTCTGTATGTATGTATGTATGTATCTTCGAGTTGTCGTGTGTATGACAAGAATAAGCAGAAAATCTGACTTGCAATCCCAGCTTTTCTTTGACTCACTATGAATGCAACGAACGGGCTTACCGTTAGCCTGCCTGCGTCGTCGTCGTATGACACTCTTCTACTCATCTCACATACACCATCACAACATATACACACATTACGCCTTCTGGGGAATCAAGGGGCACCCACCCCCTTCCCTTTCCATGTAGTTTCACCAAACACCCCTTGTCCGTCTTCGTTCTAGCGTCTTAGTACCATCATCCATCTACACAGATGGTCATTCTCATTACAAATTTGGGCGGCACAGCTCATCTTCTCTCACCAATGTGCTTGCTTGCTCTGTCTACTAATAATGGTTTTTTTCTTTCGGTCCTGGATCCGCGTCCAACCGACACGCTCGCCAAGGAACATTGGCAGAATTGGCGGTCGTGTCAGCTGTCAGAGTTTTTTTTTTCTCCTACTGCTTTCCTTGCTTTCTTGCATTAGGTTCTCAGCATCGACAAATGTGAGTTCTTCAAGTGTTTTCAACGTCATACTGGGCAAGGACCTTTACCGTATAGATACTAGGCAGGCCGTTTTTTGAAGTGCAGGAAACACGAGCAAAGCACATGACAGGCCATTACAGACTCCTATTCGTCGCGGGACGGATTATGTTACCAATCTGTCTCACTATGAATGAAAGTGTGTGGTATAGTAGGTAGCAAGTGAAGCAGGACGGGGTTAGGTTGTCTATAATTACCTTGCCCGACTTTGTCACACCCACACACTACACCACACTACCTCTCATCCATGGGAACCGGTTGTGACCATCGACGCATGGAGTGGTTATATTCCGTCCCATTGGGCCTTATTCGCTCATCAGGGGCTGCGATTTTCGGTTTTCCAGCACCATGCCCTGGTGTTGGTAATTACTCCAGTACCTACATAAACTGTTGACTTGATTGAACATGGAGAATGACGCACGGTCTTGAGAGAACAGGGCAATGTACTGCGCTCGACATCAAGAACGGCCAAAATTACCCAGACCGTTTGAATAGGGATTCGTGACAGGTACCTACACTTCTTGGGTAGGTCTCGTAAGAACTTTCTGAGATTACGGAGGTTGGGGTCCAAAATATCCATCACCGTTAGTATTGGCTTATAGTGCCAAGCCTGATGGAAATCTGCGACCACAACCTACGTACGTAGTTCCCATGCAGGAAGCCTACCTAGGTATTGTTATAGGTACACTGCGGGTTCTAGAATTAAATCGAACGATGCGCATCTGCACGAGGCGCAGCCGTACGTTACACAAGATAAGGGCTTTGTACGCCGCAGCCTGATAGGAAGCAGCGGATACGCAGCTCTCTCTAGCTTCTTCATGGGTTTGGTGCACGCGTAAGTAAGGGAATTACTATAGTTAAGTATATCAATCAGCCCACGGATCCTTTAGGATCACTTTACAAAGAAATTACACTAGCAACGGCTATTGCCGTGCATTTATCGGCACACACACACACACACACACATACCTAGAGTACATGATCTCTAAATAGGGTACTTACGGTAGTAGGATGGTTCTCTTGGGCCTCGTGAAGCATTGCTGCACTAACCCCCCGCCAACGCCTCAGGATCCCTTTGGGCCTCTTGGAGGACTGTTATCATGCGATCGTAAAGTGTCGGATCTGGGACCCTAGGCCGGTCACCACCATCTGGAAATAGCTCCTTCCGCAGTGCTTCGACACATGGGATCAATGGCTGGTAATACGATGTGAAATGTTTTGTTGCCCTCTCCTTAAACGTAAACGGACCACTAATAATGCTCTTTTTGGTTTCAAAATAACAAAACATCGTTGCTGTAGTTCCAGTAGTCGAACGGACTTTCCTTGATGGGTTTACCTCCAGCTTCATAGTAGACGCAGATCCAGAAAAGCACCCCAGAAAAATGACTCGAGATCGTGCATATAGCTATGCTGCTCGTCCCTAAGTAGTCCAATTGCCATAAAAGCTCTTGTGCCAGTTCTGCCTTTTACTCCCGAGGGGCCTTCTCGGTCTTCTTTACTAGCGAGGTCGAGGTCAATTAGAAATGAAAACGGAGAAGTACTGTCCTTATCCTCATTAATTATGACATTGTTTATCGAGATGTCTCGTGGAGGATGCCTGCTCCTCTAAGACACCTGTGTCCGTGAATGCAGCCCTCCAGGGCTTTAAGCAAGGCCGCTCGAGAGCTACCTGTAGCTTCATAGATTGGTGTCCCGTAGTCACAAAGAACAACACGCCGATGTTCACGATTTGACGGGCCAGTGCTGTCATGTATCGTTTGAGAACCGAAACAAGGTCGCTTATTGGGCGGCATAGGAGCATTGATTTGACTAGCTGGTCGCTTTCGGTTGGTAGCATTGCTGGCCTTGCTGCTGGCCTTGCTATTATTCATCTTGCGGGTATTGGACTCTCCCGTGTGCTTATCAACGGTTGTTTTTAGCCACGATTTCGCATCTTGAATATTCAGGCCCCCTCGAATATTGTTGTGAACATCGTCGGCCTGACTACGGATAGCCACAGTTTCGTGGTGGTAGTAACGAGCTATGTTATCTACACCTTATTCAGTGGCAAGGCTCAACAACGCGCCTTCTTCTTCTTCTCGTGCCGTGTCTTGCCAGGAGTCCTTAATCACGAACGAAGGTTGCGGGCCATTTGCGCGATAAGTCTTCCAACACGTAGTTGCTCAACCAGCAATACAGCTAGTCCGTAGCATCAATTTATCGATAATAAACTGTTCTGGTTGGCCGTTCCGTGTGATTGTAATAAGTCGTTGGCCATCTTTTTCAGTAACCGTAGGGTCGAAGCCAAGGTCTTCTTTACTCATCCAGAGGAACCCAAGAATGATGTATACGAACTGTTCCCCATTTTTGTTGATGTCGAACCCATCAGATGATATTCCTCCCACCCGGTCGAACTCCCATACTCTGAAACGAGATCCACAAAGAGTGAAGCCTAAAACAAATCGACGTGTATCTTGAGCGATAAGCACTTCTCTAACGTACCTGTCCATGTCATACCACGTAGATTTTTCAGCATCGGCCATTGGATTGCTTTTCAGCTCTCCAGGTACAAGGATCTGTGACCAGTCTGGGAGTTTTCCGAGCTCGTTGTCGGAATTGCGTGCGAAGCCAACGTCTAGCTTGCGGTCTGCTGGAGAGCCCCCTTTTAAAGGTGTGTCAGGCCCCGCCACCAGTACCCGTCGGTCCATCGGGGTCGTCTCGTACTCTTCTGCGAATATAGATAAGTCTTTAACCACGCCCGCAAACCATTCCAGTACCAGATATTGGTTTGGTGATTGTGGCTATCCCCTCTACCCTTTATCGTCAAAAAGTGGATTGGGACCTTGCATGCATTTCTTGAACACGGACTTATGCGCCGCGTCGAGACCTGGCACGCGACTGAAATACGTATTGCAGAAACCAGGGACCTCGAAACGCATATCGCCAAGGTCACTTTTCAGCAAACTGTCCATATCATCGCGATGCTCCAACGAATTCGCAACGGCTCTAGAATTGCGAGAATGTGGGGGCGTTGTTAGAGGCGGCGTCGTCGGAGTTGATTCGACGACAGCACCAGAGGTGGCGTCGCTAGAGGCGGCATCATCTGTACGCCAGTTAGAGTGCTCTGACAACATCGGATAGTTGATCCCTACCCTCACTTGCGTCTGACGAGGGACGGCTATCTCTGCGAACAGCGTTAAGTGCGTTCCCAATGGGATAGGTGTTAAAGATATCAGACTGATTCACCATGGTCAATGTAATCTTTGTTGAATAGCTTCAGGTGTGTATGGAAGTGGAATAGGTTAAGTTTCGGTAGCATTTAGGTAAAGACGCGTTTTAAGTACTAGAATCTCGACCGAGCGCTGAGACAACGGTTACACTGGAGATACATTCGACCTGAGCATTCACTAGCGTACAGCATTACCCCTGCAGACCCTTGGTGATAATAAACAAATACCGGTACTGTAATCTTTCTGAATGGATAATTGATGTTGCTCAGGGAATGGTGTAATTGACATGAGCCGCCTGGGCGGGTATGCTCTTGGCTACATTACTAGTTTGGCTGGAGTAAAAGCAGACTTCACTAAGCTGTTGGTCATCACAACCGCCCACTTCTTGCCCATGTGGATAATAATTCTTCGGCTCCAAACTGTCGGGTCCAACATGCCAAAAAGTAATACCGGACACTTAGCTTTAAGGTGCCCGGCAGTCTTCGTATGCAAGGGTAGGATGCCCATAATAGACTAGGAAGTCTTCCTTGACGCACTTTCCAAGCATGCTACAATTATCAATCAAAGACTTCTTTCAAGTTATTTGGTTTAGAAATCTGTTTCTGCGGTTGGTAGGAACAAAAGAGCAATCTTAAGCCTCGGCGCTTAATGGATGAATAGAAAACACATCCATCGCTGTACTGGTCCCAGCTGCACTGATGTGTACTGTTGGGAAATCGTTCCTTGCCTTATTTGCAAGATGAACTCTATCATCTATCCCTGTGGGTTGACAGCCTTGTTACAAGAACTTCTTCATACTTACTTGTACGTGATAGGCAGTTACGTGATGTTCATATCCACAGAAGTGAGAGGGAAGGGCAAGAGATCAGAACCTTTATTCGCCTTACGCAATCTGGTGCCTCAAATGAGCAAGGCTCTTACTTGCTGAGCCCCGACTTGGGTTGCAAAAGTCCTTGTATATTTAGTGAGAAGGTGAGGAGAGTAGATTCCCTAGTTAAGCGAGGGACTTCTGAGCCTCATTAATCAAGCATATACCCATAAAATATTATGTATATACTGGCACCGACTGATATGTACCTACCTAGTAGCTAATCGAAAGCCTCGCTCTATACTAGAATCGACGAGCCTACCAACACCTACAGGGTGGAGAAAGGTAAATTGATTGATGCCTACCCAGGTAAACATGGTCCTTTCAGTTGCAGAGGTATCTACATTTCCCCTACATACCAATCAATGCGAACCGAACGCAGCGATACAGCCCGTGGTATAGGTATGTATATAGATATAGAACGCCTAGGTTTGCATAGACAGAATCACTTCATCGAAGGATCCCTCAAGGTAATCAGTAGACGAGATGTTAATGGGAGGCATGCTATTATTTGTCCGCATCCAGGAGAAACAGAGATGGCTTGCTCTCGTAGCTTGACTTTAGACCTGTTGGAACAAAATAGAGACCCTCGATCGATGCCGTAAGTTTCAGATATGGGGAGTGGGAGGGAATCATGTCTGCCACCAAGCTCTCAACTACGCCCCTTGATCTTCAACATTGATCAGTCTGTAAGATTTTCTCTTACCACTTTGTATTGATCGGCGAGCAGATCCCTGCGAAAGTGGAGAGCATAACCAAGAGATATCAATGATAATGTATATTGGTCATCGAACTGTGCTGTACGTACAGACGCTTGATATCGAGATGTCGCCGCTCCACGGCTGGGCTAGAGTAGCCGAAGACTATAGTACCGAGGGGCAAACAGCTCGTATTTCTACCCTCATAGCCAAAACATGTGATGACTTGCGTAAGTGTTCTCAAACCAGCGCAGAATTCTCGAGGTAGAGAAAAACGAGGCTTCCAGGGATGCTTCTCCTGAGTGTGACCACATGTTTCTTGGATCGTATAAACGCAGCACGAGAAGTCTAAAACAGTCTATTAACAGGTCGTCTTTTGAAAGGCATGCCCAAGTGATGCTCGTCGTCATTTTATACATACACCTAGGGGGAATGCTTTGCCTCTTGTTCACCTATGGTTTAAACGTCTCGTGATACTCTTGACGGCGACCCCCAAGTTATGTATGGAACCTTCCATTCAAATACCTGTGATATATACAAGAAACTAGACATTAGGATTCGGGAGAGCACGAGGATCTTGGGCGGCCTTCTCATACCGCCATATGAAAGATGGAGTCCAGGCCATATTCATGTGGTCTGGTAACCAGGCAAGGTCGCGTTTTTGTGGGCTATGTTGAAGGCAGTTGGCTAGTCCTTGAATATCGGGTTTGCGCCTTACATTCTGGCAGCCCAATCTTCGGAATCTTATACGCGACCCGGCTGCTTCAGAGGAAATGAGACTGTCCATGGCCAAAGTCGAGTCTTTGGCACTGGCCAAATGTCGGGACGATGTGTGGAGGTATTGGCTCTTTGTCAATCGCATACAGTGCAGCCCCGCGTGGACACGATCTCAATCCTTCTGTTTCTTGCCAGACCGACGGCGGTCCAGACGTACGCCTTCAGCAGTCAAAGCTCGCAGTACTGTTGTTCGAGAAATCGAAGGAGCGTCAGGGTTTTCACTGTTGAACTTATCGGCTAACTTCTGGGAAGAGAATTGACGGCAGGCCTTATCCGAAGTCAAAGTTGCAATGATCTTGTCCTTCCGATCTTGGGTCAACTTAGGTGGGCGGCCTTTTCGAGGCTCGGATTCAACGTATTCGCGTAAGACGGGGCCTTCACCAGGCTGGTAACCTCGCTTTTTGGCCTTTTGTATTAGGCTGGACAGGCCTCCGGCTGAATAGCCCGTTTTTTGTACTATAGCGGCTCTTGAATAGCCTTCTGAGTGAAGGACAAGTGCCTGGATTCGGGTACCAAGGTCGAATTCTTGAGACATTATAATTATTGCGTGATTTATTAAGTATTGATTCGAGTACCTCGTTTTGTCAGTAATTCGGTTGCTTTATATCAAGTTTGCTGGGAAGCTGTTGAACCGAATAAGGAGAAGGAAGATCTAAATGCTTATTTACGCGGGAGATTGGCATCAACTGTACGGAGGCTGGGATCAAAAATACCCATCATCCTTGGCAACGTAGCATAGTGTAAATCATAGTGCAAATAGTAAGAACTGCGCACCGGTTGGAAGCAGTCTGGTGGCGGTCTGTTGACGGTCCGTTAACGGTATGGATCTGTGCTATTTACACTGTATCTCGCTGCCAAGGATCATCGAGACTTTTGGCCGGAATTCCGTAAGTTGGTCGGAATTCGAGGACCACTTGCAGCATGCCGACATACTGAATGCCTACAAGCTGCTAGGCTGCACGCTAACTTCTTTCATAAGCGGCATGAGGCCATGGCATGAGCCTCATCACCGCATTATCGCGACGATGCTAGACAAGCCACGGGCTATACCCATCACGCGAGCGATACTTGAGGCTCGTCGAAGGATCGAGCGATGAACTCCGACAAATCCCCAGAAGAGTTCTCACGGGTCTCAAGAGGATTCTTGGTCTTCTCAAAACTCCTTTTAGCAAGACGGAATCGAATCTCTTCTATCCTTAATACTGGGTTCTCTCCCAGCTGATCGGAAATGCCTTATTGGAGGGTTACGAGCCCTGCAAACCGAACGAAGACAGGGAAAGGAGTTCTAGAGTACGTGATGAATATCGTCGCTATATCGCAACAAAATGTTAATTAAGGCAGATTCATACGAGGGTAAAAAGATGTCTCATGTGAAGCTAGCTTCTACACTGCGCTTAAATGGCTCAGAAATATGTAGGGGTTTCATTAAATGCCATTGATGCTTGCTTTAATAAAATGGCTAGTTCATCTCTATCTGCGACGCACGCTTTTTCTTCCTCAAAATCGATTTATATGTAAACCAGGTCCCTATAGCAGTAGCTATGAATCCCGCAATACCGACAACAATACCAATGATGTCCCCGATACCGAGCGAGTTGCCGCCTCCGCTGCTGCTGCTGTTGCTACCACCAGACGTAGGGTCGGTAGGTTCCGGAGTAGGATCTTCTTGTGAGCTGGTCGAAACACTAGGGTCTTTTGCCGAATTAGACGCTTTCGGCGAGGAAGCTGGAGATGTTCGGGATGATCCTTGAGACGTAACGGTAGACAGAGACGGAGGTATTGGGGGCAGCGTTGACGGTGTAGTGGAAGAATCTGCTTTGGACGCACATCATATCAACTCCCGCCCCCCTATTTCATGCGGAAACTTGCGAGGAATTCTGCCAGGGCACCAAATCGCGAGGCGAACCGTCTTTGGGCAGACGAGACCTTCACAGTCGCCGTCACCGTGACAGTGGCAACGGAAGGGAAGTCGTCCGTACCTGAAGCTGGCGTCGCTAGCACATCGCGCATATAGCCGGCGCTGGTGCAGTAGGCGTCGTAGATGGAGACGGCGCTGTTGGTGTCTTTGGAGTTTTGGTCGCACCCGCGGTCAACACAAGTCTGCAGGAACGCATCTGCATCGGCCTGGAGATCTGACCGACAAAAGCATTCGTTTTGCGGAACATCGCTGTCGCATCCTACATGCAATGTATTAATAATACTCGACACATGTTTGAGATGGCTTCTACGTATAGACACTTACCAATTTCATTTGCAACTCTTTCAGGCCCTGCATTAGTGTTATAGGCGAAGCAGCGCTGGGCGCAGGGGCGTTGGGACGCGTAGACCGGTAATTGTGTGATACTAACTTTCTGAGAGGCAGCTGAGTGAAGCAGCGCCAGGACGAGGGCGGTGGTTTCAAGTAGCATGATGATCAACGAATCGTTATGATGTGTAATTTAGTACCCAAGGGCATCTCATCGTGAGAGGAAAGTCTTCTGAATATAAACCATGACATTTAGGGGCTCACCCCGGTAGATAGTGTTAGGTATTCTGTTCTACAACCATGACTATAATCATTTCATCAAAGTGGAAATGACATACAGCCACAGCTGAAGTCTTGTTTCATTTACACAGGCGCCGAAGATGCAGGTATCAGCTACTGTCTTTCTCGAGCACCATGAAGTCATACCAATCCCTTCTCATTGGCCATAGTAGCAAGGGTGAATTCCATTTTTGCCTTCTCGCCGACTGACGCGTGACAGATCACACTGTTCACCGTTGATTCTTCTACCTAGCATGCTATATATAGGAGAAGCTTTTGAACCTAGGCGTGTACTCCGTAGGCGCACCTGTTAAATTTTCTCGCCAATGATGGTGGCGCACCGCCACCTGCTTCCTCTTTCTTAACACGGTGCCGTGCCCTGGCCTGAACCGGTGCCGCTCGGGATGCATGCGGCTCAGCGGCCGAGTTCTACGCTTAGCGTAAGTAGCACGACAGGATGGGCGGCTACTGATACACATGAATTCGATGACTTGAAGAGCCTGGAGACTTTTGCCAGTATGGTGCACCCCCGATAATTTCCAAACTAGATTGTATTCATGAATGCAGCAGGTCAGTAGGGTGAATAGCTTCTGGATGATAGAATAACATAGATAAGTAAACATGACAAAATATATAACTTCGGGGGAAAAATTAAACCTACGGGTTGGGTATCTAGGTTTGGCTTTTGGTGAACGGCTCGGAAGCAGATCACCAATAGCTGGGCAACCAGCCGGCGTGTATCAGCTGACTAAGCGAGGGAATCTGGCTATCTAATCAAAATATAACATTGCGATGGCTAGAAAGCGACCTTGACGTAATGTATTTCTGCGTGGTGCTCTAGGTAGATTCCCAAGCGAAGTGATTCAATCCAGCGTGGGTAAACGACAAGAGTGACAATAAAGGCTCACCTTCTGGCTCTTGAATGTTTATATACGTATTTTTACGACCGTGAGATATACTTTACCTCATTACACTTGGCATACTATAACCTGGGTACCGCAAAATCATAGATGGATACGTAAGTAGATAGAGGAATAAATATACAAAGAGGATCGACGTGCCCCTACGTTCTACGAAGATAGACAACCACTTCACGAAAGTGCGCTTGATCCAGGCGCGCACAACGAGCTTCTCGCTTCATGTAAGAAAGCAGCAGATAGACAAAATCAACGCGAAACCAAGTGCTTGATTGCCCAAGAGACGCTCGAGAAGGATGCGGCAAGTATTAAATGAGCCCGTAAGGACCTAAATTACAAAATCACCGATCCCCCTTGCCACACCAGGTATTCGCAAAGTTTCCCGCGTATGAGTTGTGATACAATTGGGAACGGCGTGATGATTCGCGAAGCTGCCAGAGAGGATATCACAGACACGACGCTCAAGAGCATAGTACAATCCATCTTCAACAACACATGAACTACGATCTAACCTGCCCAACACCTAAATTATCAAATATTGCGATGCCATTAAGAATCTACAGTTCCTTCTCGTAATTTGGAAAGACCACAACACGAGTTCATACCTTTTAAGGCGTTCGGGGTAGTTCCACAATACACCTAACATCTAATACAAACTTGACCACGAGATTTCATCACTTCATTTCTGTTCATCTTAACTATCCAATCATAAATAGGCCCTTACTTAATTAATTGCCTCGCTGATATTCCACATGAATACATAACAACTATCACTCACTCTACTTATAACATAGACAGTAATTAGAGATACAATCCCCTCACTCACAACAATTAAGCAACAGGGTCTTTACACAAACGTTAACTAAACATGCGAGGTAAGCGTATTAATAGACAGATAGTGCTGCGCTCGTTGTATAAATGAGTGATCTTATCAGATATTTTAAGCCACAAGAGCTACACCTAAAAGAACAGAATTACGTCGATGACACATGGGAAGAATTCCGATTATAAGTCAGCAGTACTTATATGAAAAGCCTTATTTTATAATTCCCGATTCTCTGCTATACATGAGCTACAATGCAATGGATTCATGCTAAAATAGAAAATGAAAATGAAAAAAAAAAGTCCCAAGATATCAATACAATTCCATGCTAGGACAATGCACCACCTATGAAGCGCCGCCCAAACCAAGGCCTACTGGCATTTGATGCCCGCTTGCCTTAGTATATGTATATGTGGTATATATGTACCTAAGCTCTACACCGCCCTGAATCAAGGAAAGCGCCAGGTGTTGCTTGAACTGTGTCATCATCTTTATCGCTCCCTGCTTCACGCTCGAGATTTTTATACCCTCTAGAGACGCGGTGGGGTTGCAAGCCTCTAGATCTCTAGAGTGACATCCTGGCCCTTGACGCGTCCTATCACTTGCTCGGGGGCGTACTTGGGAATGACTTCATCGTCGTGGAGCATTTCAAATTCCTCGGTAGCATCACGACCCATGAAGTTCATAATAGCCTGAGGACCGCCTGGATGCTCGTCTAACCAGTTAGTCAGATCCATGACGACACCCTTGACGACGACCCATAAGTCATCCTTCTTGTTGTGCTTTGCAACTTCCTCGAGTGTGAATTCCTTTTCAGGAATCTCAAACTTCTTGACAGGCTTAGATGACTTAGTATTTTCAGCGGGTGTAGCAGCTGTCGGCTGGCTAGCAGATGAGACTGGGCCGGCACTACCATTGGCCCACTCGACGGAGACCTTACCCGGCTGGGAGGGGTCGATGTGAAGGGAGATTTGACCAAGACGTTGAGCAGCGCCAGCACTGCCGGAGAGCGCCTGCTGGAACAAATAGTTGCTGGCAGAGTCACCGGCAACCCGACCATAGACGACACAGCCGAGCAGTGAGGAACCTCCGAGACGGTTGGCACCGTGAACACCACCAGCAAGCTCACCACAGGCGTATAAACCCTCGAAAGGTTGCTTAGATTGATTTAAGACTTGAGCCTTGTCGTTGATCTCGATACCACCCATTGTAAAGTGAAGCACGGGCTCCATGACGGAGACATGGAAAGTGTCGTTGATGTCAAGGGGTAAATTATGGAAAAACTTCTTGCCCCAAGGGTCCTTTTGCTTGCCCTCGGCAATGGCATTATAGGTTGTGAAGGTCTTCTGTAAGTGGTCGGGCTTGCACCCAATCTCCTTGGCAAGCTCCTGGCCACTCATCTTCTTCATCAGGCCACGGCCAGAGTAGTGGCGAGTGTGGAAATCCAGTGTGTTGGAGGCCTTGGAGTTCAGGATCAAGCGGATAGGGAACTTGCCCTTGTCCTTCTCCTTCCACATCATACCAGAGACATAATCTCTGTGACCGAGCTCGTCGCAAAACCTGTCACCATCGGCGTTGAGCAACAGACCACCCTCACCACGCAAGGCTTCAGCAGCCAAGAACTTCCACTTGGACCCGGGATCTTTGGGATCCACGAGACCTGTGGGGTGGACTTGAACCTTGTCCATATCAATACCGTTTCCGCCAATGGCCATGACCATCTTCTGGCCATCGCCAGTGGCGTGCGAGCCGTTGGTGGTAGCAAGCCCAAAGGTATCAGGCCTGTGCTCCTTCAGAAGAGAGGTGTCGCTGAAGTCGGCAGCATAACCACCAGTGGCCAGGACGACGGGGCCTTCGGCGGTTGCAGTCTCACCGTTCAGTTCATACTGAACACCGGTGATCTTGTTACCCTCCTTGCTCAGGCCAGTGACGCGGGCCTTCTTGACAATCTGAACTCGTTCTGGTTCGGTCTCGGCGAGCTCCTCTAGCCGTTGCATCAATGCATATGTGATAGCCATACCAGGGAACTTGGCATCGTGGCCTCTGTGTGTTCGGGGCTGGGAGTGACCACTGAAGCGTCGTTAGCCAAAGTTTTGCATAGTCACCATAGTGACAATTACTGCGTCTGCTTACCCAAGTCGTGAGACCAGCGTCAGGTCGAGGTTGAAAACATCCTGTAGCCACTCGACAGCAGCAGCGGACTTGTAGGTGAGGACCTTGATGAGGTCAGGTCTGGCCTTGTCACGGGCTGACTTTAGTGTATCTTCGTAGAACTGCTTGACGCTGTCTTGAATCTGGTGGTCGACCTGGGTTCGGGTTAGGGCACCGTTGATACCGGATGTGGCCTTGGTGGAGTTGCCACCAAAGAAACCTGTGCGCTTCTTGTTAGTGAACAATGACACGAGAGTCGGGGTCCTCTCAAACAGCCGCTTACCCTGCTTGTCAAGGACGAGAACATTGCCACCAGCGAGATAGATGGTATGAGCAGCGCTGAGACCGGACACTAAGAAAGCATTATAATCAGCGCCTCCATTCCAATTGAACCAATGTCATTGGGATCCCTTACAGCCACCACCGACAACAACCACACGAGGGGCCATTTTGCACTTATTACCGGCAAGTAATGCGAACAGGAGCGAGGGGTATCAATATGAGAAAGAAAACAAAGAAACGGGCAATGGACGAGGAGGAGTAGGAGGAGGAGAGAGAAAGAGTAGGGCGGGAGAGGATGATGATGATGATGGTGAATGAAGAGAAGAAAGAAAGAAGGAAATCAGAAATAGTAGTTTAGGGAGAGGGAGGCAAGATAGCTACTTAATCAGAGAGGAATGTGTCGAGCTCACAAGGTATTCCAAGGTATTCCAAGTTCGGCGCGAACAAGTGACGAAGCGACTGGCTTGTGCTTGCGCGGGTGTAGCGCAGAGGTACATTCCCAGGTAATGTAGGTACTACACATGGGGAACGGTAGCGTACCTGTACATCAGTCAGTGAGCCGAATTGCTGACACGCTGATTCGTGCACAGGTCGATGAGCCGAGGTCCTCTGGCGCCAGTATCTCCACCCCCGTCATGTCTTGATGCAGTACGTAAACACTCCACAGCGCGCCACAGCAGCGACAATTGCATCGTCGAATCTTTTTCAAGTTATAGATCTTGGGTACGATTATCTAGTTATACTTACTAAGAAAGAGGCGCTTCTTTAGGTACCTACGCGAGACTCCCATGGATGTTGAGCGGTGTACCTGAGTGTACTGTGTATATATAAGAAGGTACCTGGCGGGTTAGTGTAGGTAGTGCGCTAACCTAGGTGGACTGGTAGCGTAGTCCAAACCCCAGACTCTGCCAGCGAAGCCCCAACTTTGCCCCCACGAGCCCCCCGCCTACTGCCCCCAGCCGCTACTTATACCGAGTACAAAGAACTCCGACTCTGCAAAGTCGAGCAGAGCTGGAATTCGATTTCCAGTCGCGAGGCAAATTATACTAGTGGCATATATACATAGCAATTGCTTGACTGCCAACTGAGTTGCGATCACGGTCACCTTTGTAAGTACCTTTGTAGTAAATAGGTATATGTGTAGGTATGGCGTCACTTACCCTAGGCGCAAGTAAGCACTGCTGCTGCTACTTACATGTACATAGTACCTACCACCTACTTACTTACTCGTACGAGCTGGAGAGAAAATTGCCGAGGCTTATTCCCAAACCGATCACTACCGAGCCCCACCAATCAATCGTCAGTCAATACATCCAAATGCTCTACATAGTACACAATTGAATATGTTGTTGTTGTTGTCTTCTGGATCGTCTACATACAAAGGGGCTCGAATATTTCATGGCGCAAGGAAGCATTCTTTTCAATATATGAATATATTTCATATATGAGGTAAGTAGTGAGCGCCAGCTATCGCTCGTAGCAGCTCGTGGGTAGCTACTGAGAACCATTATAGAGTATGGTAGCACGGCCAGACACGGCACATAGGGCAACTGGAAAGAAGACATAAACATGTGAATATCAAGGCGCGTCATATTGCATAAGTAGGTATCATAGGCAATGAATTGGCTTGTGCGGACAGGTACCATGCCTAACCATACCTAACCTAGGCTTTCAGAGTCGCCCCAGGTTCCCCAGACTCATTCTGAATCGTCCTTCCATCCCCAGTTCACCACTTGCACTGCAGGCTGTCATCTGACTTGACTTGTTCAAGGGGGTCAGGCTGTGGGGAAGAAGGGGTGCCTGACTCTATTACACGTCTCCAAATGAAGGCTGTACATATCCTAGTCCGTATTTAGCCCAAACCGAGTCCTAGGTCCTGGCAGCTGACCCGCTGTGATTTTAAGCCGCTTGTTGTTACCTAAGTACAAACGTGCCTCAAGTTGGAAGAATGGCTGACATGTGAAAGTCTTCTAACGTTAGCAATGTTTGCGCAGTGGCGGCCATTATGGCAGGTATCTAGCTTGTCAGTCGGCAGCCAAACTGCCAAGGCATGAAGACTATATTACATAGTATCATGTATAACCTGACTGACCTGGCCCTTTTAGCGGCCAGTGCCTCGTCCGGGTCCCTTGGGTTAACTTCCATGACCACTATTGCGTTGTCTTAAGTCTTGCTAGTTGGGCCGTTGCCTACGCTTTTCATCCATCTCGTAGTCAACTCATCCTCATCTTCAATGACAATAGGGATTTGCGGAATTGACCCCCGGATTTGTATGAATGGCGCATACCAGCGTTCAATCAACTCACATCTTTTCACTAGTTCTTGCCGTACTACATAGTCATTTATTAGTAGTTATATCTCCGAGCGGTTTAATGTCATTGTGATTCTCAAGACGAACTGTTGTATCGAGCCAGCCCCGGCCGGGGAGCTTTGTTCCCACAACCACGCCAGGGGCTGAAAGAGGCGAAGGAGCTCGGTGTCTTGTCTATTTTTTCATCTAGCTTACCATGTTTGTCCCTTGTTTATCACGCCGCAACATACCCTGTTACCGGACTTAGTTATTCGCAGACTCTCTCATCATCATCTTGTAGTTTTGGTTTGCGGACAGCTATTCACGCCATGGCTGCACCCCTGAATACTCCACGGCAGAGGTTTGGCGATCTAACTAAGACTGTCGACTGATTAGACTCTTCTCTCATCAAAGATTTCGACTTTGAGGACCTGGGAAGTAACAATCGAACTGCTAATGAATTCCTAGTGGCATATAGAGGCATTATGACACGCTTGATGAAATAACGCAAGAGAAATATAAGGACGGCGTTGACGAGAACCTTGAGAATGATCTAAACAGGCTTTTCGAACGCACTGTTTAGCTCCTTCCAAAGGCCGCCAAGCATGTTAACAGATTATATGTCAAACTTGTTCCGCTATACACAAAGAGTTACTTGAAGCCACGCTCCGACTTTGTAAGAGGGCTGATTGCAGTGGTGACATGGCCACATACGCCTTAACAATGAGCACCGAATTGGAAGGAATAAGACCTCCACCAAGAGGGGCGTGGAATGAGGATGCCACTGACTTCAAACCGAGCGAAGAATTTGTAGGTATCTTTGAGGAATTCAACAAGTTGAAGAAAACCCCGAACAATGGATAACAGCAACTCGAGCTTTATGCTACTAGAGCAGCCGGGTTGTTACAGTCCGCACTGTATGCACTACGCCTACCAGAATAATTTATGGAACCCGAGGATGACCTCGAGGAGGAAACATTCTTCGCTAATGAAACAAGACCGATATATGTTGAATACCTCTATGGGAGCGAAGAATTCATCTACAGGAAGGGAAGTCGCCCAAGAATCCTCAGTGTCAAGTAAAAATTAGGCGCGCCACTTACGAAGGAGGAACAGAGCAGAGTAGATAAAACGACAAAGAGGACTGGGCCAACGCCCCTCAATACAGGAAAGGCAAAAGAGGCGGGACGGTCGAAAGCATCCAAGGAATGCCCGTCACCAAACGAAGGGCAAAAGAGACCGCACGATGGCTTCAAAAAACAAGTATGGGCGAAAACCCCTAGAACGCCTCTGAAACGCCCATCGAGCCAGACTCGAGAACAAGCCCGCAAAAGACCTCGAAGGAGATGGAGCTATTCAATGGGAACTGTTAATGATTCAGCCGATGTCCTGGATATCCTGCGCGATAGCAAGTTTGTGACTGCGAGGGATCGAGATCCCGGACGGCCGGACAGCGGCAAGCTCGTGACGCCAACCGTGGAAACCCGTAGAGATCTGCCGGTTAGGTACCGTGACGACTACATCTACATCATGACGAGATCTACAAGCGCCGCTTCGACACCCCTAGCACCGCATCGTATCTCCTCCAGACGGACGTCGTGCGCAATGCCTGACTGGAGACGGGGGATAAAGAGGTCGCGAAGGCGCGCGACAACGTGAAATCACTCATTGAAACAGCCACGACAAACTCCAAGGCGAAACAGCTCCGCCTGGAGGCCTACAGACTCAAGCTCTCCCGCGCCATGTATACTCTGGGCCTGTTCTCAGGGAAACCGGAGGCCTCAAAGGCAGAGATCAAAGCGGGGCTGAAGGCCCGACTTGAGGATTGGATCCTGTATGAGCTGGCGTGGAATGCCTCGGAGATGGTCAATCTTGAACGCGTGGGTGTCTCGGATGAGCTGAAGAAAAAGATTATTGAGAACGTCAAGACGCGCGAGTACAATATTGAGAAGTGGCGGGAGATGTGGGACGAGGTTGACGATGACGAATCTGATAAGGATAAAGATGGAGACGAAGCTGAGGACAAAGAAGGCGAGGAAGGGTATGAGGACGAAGAGGGGTACGAGAAAGAGGAGGAATAAGAAGAGGAAGAAGAGGACGTGGATGCGCTGGACATAGACTCAGACCCGGATGTAGTAAATGTTGAGAGCGCGCCCAAGAACAACAACATAGCAGCACAAGGGATAATCCTCACGGAAGATGAGATATTGATATAATAATCACGGGGATGAGGTGTACTGAGATTGTCTGAAATTAATGAATCTCTGAGGTTAACAATTAGACGTTCGCGGTGGTGGGTGAATGAACGATGTCTTAGTTAAAAGCACTGATGGATTAGTGTATGGTATTGTCTATTCGCACGCAGTGCGAAATTTGGGATAGATGAGAAGAAAATCTTTTGGCTAAATCCATGGATGTTGGATCATGATCCTTTAGATGTAGTTTCAACTCTTGGTTTTGTGACCTTAAACTAACTGGTCTAGTAATATCGAGACTAGGCACCGAGAACCGGAATGAAACTAAGACTAGTTGATGACAATACTTTGTGTCCTCTGAGAAATGGCTGGGAAACCTGGGCCGCTTCTGATCGATGGAGATACTACTAAAGGTGCCGCAATTCACACTTGGGATTTGTTGAAAACTGGTAAGTTGAAGCTTTGTAATGAGGTCTGGTAGGTATTGCTTTTATGGAACGCGTATACACCTGAGTGTCTTAGCTGGAATCGTAATTTATTGATCGGGATTCGCGTTATTCTTTTATTAAAATTGAAATTGATTTTCATTTAACTCTCCTCTTTTGTCGCTTTATTCTTGCATTTTATATTGGGCGAGAAGATTTAGAAGCCCTCAACGTTTTCAGACTGTTCTTGTGATACCTAGTCTCATTCCTTGACCATTTTTAGCACAACAGCTGGTGACAACTGTCTGAGCTGTCGCGGCGTGTTAAAGTGATGTCATCAGGCGGCTCAGCGGCTTCCCAGGCATCATCAGACAACGCCTCAGGTACTGCACATATGAAAACAACCATTAATTTAGAAGTTGTAACCTCACCAAAATGAGGTTCCTATCAACTTATATACTCTTTATGCTCACGGCGCCCACTTCGGCCTATCGTCCTTCATTTGACAAGTTCTTCGCCCTAGATACAGACAGCCAAATACCCCTCGACCCCACCATGCCGGACAAGCCGCAGACGCTATCGCAACCAGGTGTCCTGATATCGGATGTCATGGGCCGCGACCGCAGCATCAACGTCTTCGCGGGATTTGCGCGGGATGTCGAGGCCGTGGCGAGCCGTCTCGACGATTCCTCTGTCAACAGTACCGTCCTGGCCCCGCTCAACTCCGCCATCGACAAGTTGCCCGGAAAGCCCTGGGAGGACCAGAATGACTATAACGACTTCGGCGCCACGGCGTATAATGGAGACGATGGCCAGGAGAGGGCCCGCAGGAATATCAAGAGGTTTGTGCAGGCACACATTGTCCCGACGAGTCCGTGGAAAGAGAATGAGCGGAGCAGGTCGTTGCTCGATGGCGATAAGGAGATTTGGTGGGAGATGAAGGATGGTGCTATGATGGTAAGTGTATCATTGTCACTTTGATTCCTGCGTGATTTGTGGGCGCACCGTTACTTACTTGTAATATTAGCTGCAACCTGATGGTATTGAGGTCCAGAACATTGCGAGCAAGGTTGGGAATGGCGAGGTCTGGATCATTAAGTCGGTGCGGAATTACACGTAGTTGGCTTTTTACGCAGCGACAATGAGATTTTCGGTTTGGGATTATACATGATACCCCTTTCTTCCCCTAACTAGGCTGGAGAGAATTGTGCCATATGATAATGGTTTAAGAATTTTATTGATTTTAAATGGGAGACTGAACCTCCTGGAGCAGTTATTCTGGGTTCTACATGAACTTTCTCCTGTAGTATAATTCACATTATTAGAACACTCTCCTAGCTTGTTTCATCACCTCCGCGTAATTTTCACGGACATTTGCGATGTTTGCAGCTGCAAGAAAATTATCTGGTTGATCACGTTTTGCACTTGTGTCTTTCTCCCGGACTTGTCATATTGGCTGCTCAATACTGCCAAGTTGCGGCTTGACAAGCTTAAGATCGTTAGCTTGTACGCTGTTGGGTTTGTTTTTACACTGATTTGAACTCTTCTTTTCCCTTGTCGTCCATGTCGTAAAGCATGCTATTTGGATCTCTCACTGTATTCAGCAGCCCTGTCATACCATCGACCACTTATACCAATGTATTTCGTACATTTCGTACAGTGCCTACCTAGGTAGGGAGATGGATACCTGGGTAGATAGAAAACATTCTTGCATCCCCACTGTACTCAACGAGTCTCCTGGTAGGTCGAACAGGTCGAATTTATAAAGTTGTTCGGTTTGTGATTATATTCGCAAACTCACATATTGATCAAACATGACCCAATCCTAAATGGAAGCTCGGACTTACCGAGCCCCTGAGTGGCTGGTCCAGCGGTCGATTGGACGATGACCACACCAGCCCTGTTTGTCCCGTACCTCTCTGCCGCATGAGGTTAGTGCCTACCCAGGTACGTGTAGCTTGACAGCTAATCTGGGACAGACTGGGACAGAGCCGAGAGCGGTGGCAGCGTGGTGGACACTGCGGGCTTTCTCCGAACCCTGCCGCCCCTCACCGCCCACGCGGTGCCCACTCGCCGCCCACTCGGCCTTATCGCAGCAGGATCACAGGTCAGACAGGTCAGACAGGTCCATGCTAGGCATTGGTAGCTGCTTATCGCGCTATCAGCTTATCGTTGGAGTGCTTCAGGAGATGACCATGGTCCATACCTATGGTCAGGATCCGTGCGACAGCTCAATCAATACTTGCGTCGCCAGATGTCCTCGTTTACCCACAGCCCTCATTCTCGTCAGCCTGTATCATCTTCTTTTCTTGTCTTAAAGTGTATGCGATCCTTACTTAGAGAAGCCATATTTTCCATGTAGAGGGTGAGTATTCCATATAACTTGCTTTTTCGATGCCTCTTTTGTTGTCGCCGGGGCTCTTGGCCCCCGTCACGATCGCGTGCGACAACAACGTTGTCGGGCCCGGCATCGTCGAGAATGCTATCGACACAAATCGCGCCGCTCTGTTTGCGCCAGTCTTTATGCCATGTAAATAGTACCTCTGCTAATAATCATCTGGTTGTGAGCAGTTCCTTGAGCCGAGGAGCAATGAACTCTCACGCAGACGACGTCTCGCACCGAGATCGCGAGTCCGCCGAGCGGCACCATCGTGAGCCCTACCCAGCGGGCACGCCTCATCATAGCAATACCGCGTCCCTCCAAATCCACCAACCCGTTGCGTCGCGTATTTCTGGTGTCATTCATAGTCCGAATGGTCTTCTAGCAAATCATGGCGCCTCTGGCCCTCCCATCCCTCTCGGCGCACCACCGGGATCGGTGAATGCCTTTGGAGGGCCGCTACCAAACGACGCGAATCGACCCCACCAACATAATGCCCAGAATGCCTCAAATCAAATGTTTGGTGCCATCGGCGGCCCTGCTTCCGGCCCTTCGGGGCCTGCCAGTGGTGGTCCGGTCTTCGGTGGTCCGCTACAACAAGAGAGCGGTCGCCCAGGCCAGAGCATACCCTTTGGAGCTGGCGGCGGCGGCAGCGGCGGTGGTGGTGCGGCGGCAGCCATGGCCACCTCGAACCCGTCTATCACCGCTGGTAACGCTGGCACCAACAACGGTGCAATGCAACAACAGGGACAACAGCCCATTCTTAATGTAAGCTTAAACACTGCACTGGGTGTATTGGACCTGCATCATCACGGGATAGCCTGGGTGATATGACTCTCCCCTACATCTGCACTACTCTCCCCGGTGACTCCTGCATCGATTTCTTCTCCTTTTTAATAACGTAGTTGGAATAACTCGGGTGTCGCGGCCTTGCGCGCCCAAGCATCTAGCTTGAGCGCGATGCTGTCGAGCGGAGGATAGAGTTAGTTAACCTTTTCGATATAGGATGCTCTTAGCTACCTTGACCAGGTCAAAGTACAGTTTGCCGATCAGCCAGACGTGTACAATAGGTTTTTAGATATCATGAAAGATTTCAAAAGTCAGACGTAAGGCATACCCCATTTATCTTCCCCACCACACGCCCAAGTCTGATGTCTCTTTTTTTTCTGTCTAGCATTGACACGCCGGGCGTAATCAATCGCGTCTCCGAGCTTTTCGCTGGCCACCCCACTCTCATCCAAGGCTTCAACACATTTCTGCCGCCCGGTTACAGAATCGAATGCGGTGCTGGAAACGACCCCAATACCATCCGAGTCACCACGCCAATGGGCACTACCGTCCAGTCCATTACAGGCAGAGCAAATCAAGCCGACGGCACGCACGGGCAGTCTGGCCCAAGTGCATTCTTCAACCACAGAAACAATAACTGGCAGCAGTCCCAACCGCACAATAGCATCGAAAGCCCCGAAGCCCAGTTTAGCGCCCCAGCAACGAATGGAGCAAACATTGTTGGATCTGCCCACCGCGAGCCTATTCCCTTCGATACGCCTGCCGCAAGTGCAGTGCAACACCAACAGCGACCGAGTGCACAAGTACAGAACAACGCAACGACTCCAAACCAGCAGCCAACCGGCCGTAACGCCTTGACGCCTACACCGATTCCATCCGGTGCGCAAAACGGAAACAACAACCAGCAGGCCAACATGGAAAAGCGCGGGCCAGTCGAGTTCAACCATGCCATTAGCTATGTAAACAAAATCAAGGTGAGATACCTTGCCCCCACTTCTGCTACGATTTCAAGACTTTTTTGTACGAGGATAAATAACTACCTGCACCCATTTTGCTTGCTTTCGCTCTAACTCATTCTTCCACACAGAACCGTTACCAGGACAAGCCCGAAATCTACAAACAATTCCTTGAAATCCTCCAGACCTACCAACGCGAGTCCAAACCAATCCAAGAGGTCTACGCTCAGGTGACCAGCCTCTTTAACGCAGCTCCCGATCTGCTTGAAGACTTCAAGCAGTTTCTCCCCGAGTCGGCCGCATCGAATAAGAATGGTACACGAGCTGACGAGATGCTCGCCATGACCGGTCTCACGCAGACCACGCCTCAGCCTGCGCATACCACCAAAGACAACCAGAAGATGCCTCCCGTAGGAAATTTTGCACCTCCTCCGAGTGCTACCAAGGACAATAAGAAACGGCCTCGGAACGACAAATTGCCACAACCGAACACTTCCACCACGGTGATCGACAGCCCAGCTCTCGCAACTCGTTCAATTCCACCCGTTGGTCCTGCCACCAAGCGCGCCAAACTAAACCACAAACCGCTTGCAACTGACGTTCCCACCATTGAACCAACTCTGACTCCTATCCTTCCTAGCCCGCTTCCTCCAACATCCTCGGCAAATGCTACACAGGAAGAGATTGGCTTCTTCGATAAGGTAAAAAAGTACATCGGTAATAGATCGACAATGAACGAGTTCTTGAAGCTGTGTAATATGTATTCCCAAAGCCTTATTGACACAAATGATCTCGTCCACAAGGCGAGCCAGTTTATCGGCGGCAACCCGGAACTCATGAGCTTCTTCAAGACCTTTGTTGGGTACGAAGGCCTTGAAGAGCTGATAGAGAATCGTCCCCGTCCTCCTTCAGGCAAAGTCTCTTTGAGCAACTGTCGTGGAGTGGGACCTAGTTACCGCTTGCTCCCCAGACGAGTAGGTCTCCCTTCCAAATCTGAACTATGAAAGTCACCACTAACAAAGGCCTCTTCAGGAAAAACTCAAACCTTGTGGTGGCAGGGATGAGATGTGCAATGCAGTTCTCAACGATGAATGGGCTTCTCACCCAACCTGGGCATCTGAAGACTCAGGTTTTGTCGCTCACCGTAAAAATGCGTTTGAAGAGGGTCTTCATCGCATTGAAGAAGAAAGACATGACTATGACTTTCACATTGAGGCGAATACCAAGTGCATTCAGCTCCTTGAGCCTATCGCTCAGCAAATGTTGAACCTTACGCCCCATGAGCGAGAAGCATTCCAGATGCCGCCAGGCCTCGGAGGCTCTAGCACTTCAATTTACAAGCGTGTGCTCAAGAAGATTTACGGACCAGAAAAAGGTGCCGAAGTCGTCAACGAAATGTTCAATGACCCTTTCGCTGTTGTGCCTGTGGTCTTGGCTCGACTCAAACAGAAAGACGAAGAGTGGAGGTTTACTCAACGTGAATGGGAGAAGGTTTGGCAAACTCAGACCGAAGTCATGCACCTCAAAAGTCTTGACCACATGGGTATTCAAGTCAAACAGAACGACAAGCGAAGTTTGTCCGCGAAGCATCTCGTAGATATTATTAAGACGAAGCATGAAGAGCAAAGGCGACTACGGAGCACCAAGGACCAAGTCCCGCGATATCAGTATGCATATGATCTCAGCGACGAGGATGTTCTGCTTTCTTTGGTACGCTTTATGGTGCTCTACGGTATGAACAACGGACACCATAGCACTGCTGAGAAGGAACGGATTGTTGACTTTTTTGAGTCCTTCATTCCGCAATTCTTCGAGCTTTCTGAAGAGAAAGTGCAAGATCGTCTGAGTGATATCGATCGCGATTCTGGAGAAGAGGATGTCGAGGATCAGCTTCCTGCTGAACTGACTAACGGTCGTTCTCGGCGGAATGGCAAGAGGTCGGATCTACTTCGTGGAGTCTTGGATCCTGGTCGTAACGCAACCAAACCACGTGCTCGGAAGGAAGAGAGTGCAGCTTCTGGCAGCAAAGAGACGACTCCCGATGTTGGCTCAGCTAATGAGGAGGAAATGGTAGACGCACCAGAAGACACTGCGCCTTCAGATCTATCAAATGAGCGATGGCTCCCCACGATCCCCCGCGCGACAGTCATCAAGGGTGATAGTTCCTTGCTTGATGCCGATGGTGACTTGAAGGCCGACGGCTTTTTCCCGCGCCCTTGGTATAACTTCTTTTGCAATCAAACCATCTATGTCTTCTTTAGCGTCTTCCAGACTATATACAAACGTCTCAAGGAAGTCAAGGAGAGCAAAGAAAGCGTTTTGACGGCCATCACTCGCTTGAAGAGTAAGAAGCCTGCAAAAGAGCTAGGAATTACCGTGAATGAGCTCAACTATTTCGACGAGAATGACCAGACTTCTTTCTGGCCAAAAACTGTTGAGCTGATCGAAGATTACATCACCGGCGATATTGACGAGAACCGGTATCAAGAAGTCTTACGTCATTACTACCTTAAGAAGGGTTGGAAGCTGTATACGATTCTTGACCTTCTCAAGACCCTTTGTCGCCTCTCCCTTACTTGCACAAGTTCTGATGCTAAAGAGAAGACGCCAGACCTCATTCAACAATTCCTGAACAGCCGCCAACAGGAAGAAACCAGCTACCAGACAGAGATCAGTGCCCGAAAGTTCGCTGAAAAGTGTATCAAGGACGGAGATATGTTCGTCATCTGTTGGGTATGTGTCTTACTATCGGTCTCGTGTAATTGTATTAACTAACACTTTTTTTTAAGTTTCCCAACAAACGGGAGGCTACAGTCCGCTGGTTGCAGAAGGACGAGACTACCTTTTACATGGACGAAATGGAGCGCCGTGAGAGATGGCAGTACTACATTTCTTCGTATATCCGAGTTGAACCTACCGAGGGCGTCCCCAGGAACCGCCTGCGGAAGACGGTTCTTGCTCGTAACCTACCATCAAGTGATGCAGATTCCGACGATGGCAATGCACCGAAACCCTTGAAGTATGACGAAGGGTTAATCTTGCGCATCTGCCTCAATTCGAACAAGATAGTGTGGGAGAAGGACACTTCCGAGCACTTCATCTACAATCTCTCACCCGAGAACGAAGAAGAGAAGAAGAAAGCAGAGGAACGGGCACAAGCGGTCACGGAACACCGAAAGCAGCTCTTCCGAGAGAAGATGTTCATGAACAACGCTTGGATGCGTGGACTGAGACAAGACGAAGTCCAGAAAGTCAACGAAAAGTTCTCGAAGTGGTTCAATGACGGTGTGTCGCCCACTTCGAATGTTCGAGGAGGAGGAGGGGAGGCGGATGAGATGCAAGGCGCGTGAATGATACCCCCATGCTGTTACATCAAACAACCTCTCTCTTGAGATGATGCTAGCTAGCCATGCTCGGGCTAGAATTACCTACCTGGTCCTTGTCATCTTTGCACATCAAAGAGTTGTTTATGTTTCTAAAGTTTCCTGTGAAAAAATGGAGCTCTGGACTTCGGCGTTGGGGGTGTTATGTTCCGCCTTTTTCTTTTTTCTCTCTTCATTTCTTTCTTTTCCCTTTTTATTTGCCTGCTTCCTTTTACACGCGCACACACATTCCACACGAAGGGAGAATGGGCGGGCGGAAAAGAATGGTTCTTGTTCTTGTTGTCTAATCATGAAACTGAGAGAGAGAGCCACTGCATAGCGATATAAACCATAGGAAGAACGTCATAACTACAGGAAGAACGTCGTTTTGTTTTTGTTTTCGTTTGTTTTTTTCCCCATCATCACTGATTTGATTTGATTTGATTTGATTTGTTGCGTGGTTTCGTCCTTACTTTCGGGGGTAATCTACGTTACTGTCAACAGAGGGATGGGGGAGAGGGCATACGAACGTACCTAAGGCCTGTATGTTGTTGCATGGCCTGCGAGGAGGGAGAGAAGAGAGGTTCAAGCTAGCTCGTTTGGCTGGCTGTCTCTGTTTTTTTTTTTTCCCCTTTTGTTGTATGTATATTAAAACTACCTGAGTAGTTAGTTTACTGCTCGACCTAGGTGCTACGTAGATAGTGCCTCCTTACGTGCCTCACTGCGATGAATACATTATACGAACTTTGCCTAACTGTTACTTTTACTTTGGGTTGGGCTAATTATACTACCTGGATTTGATGGTGCTGACTTAATGAAAAATGTAGACAGCCTCTTAATGATGAAGTGTAGGGGAAAGAGGGTAGTATAAATGGATTCACATGAGTTGGGCAAATCATGGCTGGTATTCTTCATTTATTCATTCATTTGACGAGAGACGAGACGCGGCCTATCTATCCGACTTATTAATCTATCTCGCCCGCGGATGTCTCTTGCATACGCATTCTTTATATTGTCGAAGCACTAGCGAGAGCTAAATTCAGACCAATGTGTTCGTTCACCTCGTATTCATATGGGGTAGGTGGTGTCGCAGGGTTGATAGGCTGACACTTAGACTCTGACTGGTTGGTCGAGGTTTTTTACATCCTTCTATACCAACCTGTGTAGTTTCATGCTCTGGTGTATGCACCGATCTCTGTTCTTTTTATCTAGCCAAAACAATGACGCTGTGGTGGGGTATAGGTGCGCGGTGGATAGATAGGATAGGGTGGATTTATAGTAGGGATGGTAAGAGGTGGGAGGTGGGAATTCATTCTAAGCTCTCGATGACAATGGCGCTGGCACCACCGCCACCATTGCAAATACCGGCGCAGCCAATCTTGGCCTTCTTCTCGCGCAGGACGGTGGTGAGGGTGGTGACGATACGAGCACCAGAGCAGCCGAGAGGGTGGCCGATGGCGACGGAGCCACCGAAGACGTTAACCTTGTCCGCACTCAAGTTGAGAAGCTTCATGTTGGCGAGGGCTACGACGGAAAAGGCCTCATTGATCTCGTAAAAGTCAACGTCCTTGTCTGTGATACCGGCGTGCTTGAGAGCCTTGGGGATGGCAAGGGCCGGAGCGGTTGTGAAGCGTTCGGGCTCACGAGCGGCGTCACCCCAGCCGAGAATCTTGGCAATTGGGGTCACTCCGAGCTCCTTGACCTTAGCCTCGGACATGAGCACAACGGCGGCCGCACCGTCATTGAGAGGAGCAGCGTTGGCTGCCGTGACAGAGCCGTCCTTGGGCTTGAAGACAGGCTTAACAGTCTTCAGCTTGTCAATGTTAAGGTTCTTGACCTCCTCGTCGGTAGTGATCTGAACCGGGGGCTTGCCACGGCCGCCGCTGACCTCGACAGGGACGATCTCCTTGGTGAAAATGCCGTCGGCGGTGGCCTTCTGGGCGCGCTGGTAGGTCGCAATCGCGTAAGCATCTTGCTCCTCGCGCGAGATGCTGTGGTCGTCGCTGCAGAGCTCAGCAGCGAGACCCATGTGCTCCTTCTTATAGGCGTCGGTAAGACCATCCTTCAACATACCGTCCACGAGGCTCTGGTCGCCGAACTTGGCGCCGTTGCGTAGGACGGGGAGGTAGTGAGGGGTGTTGGACATGGACTCGGCGCCACCGGCGACAACGATTGAGGCATTGCCGGTTATGATGGTCTGAGCACCGAGGATGATAGCCTTCATACCCGAGGCGCACACCTTGTTGACACCGGTGCAGGGGACAGTGTTGGAGAGGCCGGCACCAATGGCGCACTGGCGAGCGGGGGCTTGGCCGAGACTATCACACCGCCGGTCAGCATCAATTAGCCATTCTTGTCCCGCCTTTTCCAGTACCGATGTGTCTGGCGATTGAGGGGATTGAGTGATGCTTACTTGGCTGACAAGACATTGCCGAAGAAGACCTCTTCAACATCTTCGGGCTTGATCTGGGGAACACGCTCAACAGCAGCTATCATCCAGCAAGTCTAGTGTTAGTGGTGACGAGAGCAGGGGCATAGTCGAGGGATAATTAGGGAATACGAATACGAGTGGGAGAAACATACCCTTGATGGCAGTGGAACCTAGCTGGGTGGCGCTGAGGCTCGAAAGAGTGCTACGAGAATCATGGTAAGCCCGGGTTTCTTTTTCGTCTGCTCGGCTTTCCCTCTCCTCTTCCTCTTCTATATGCTCGTAGACGCCCAGATAGATATAAAGGGCCAATGGAGGGGTAAGCAGAGAATGGAAACATACCCAAGGAACGACCCGACGGGTGTTCTGGCAGCGGAGACGATGTAGACGGGAGGAAGACCGGACATGTTGGCCAATTGTTTGCTAGATTTGGTATTACTGTATAGAATTGGGTATCGTTAAAGGAGAGAAGGAGAGATGAAGCAAGAGAGGCGGCAATGGTGACGGTGGAAGAATGGTGTTTTATGTATGGGAAATGCCGAAGCGGCCAGCCCCGGTTTTTATATCTACACCAATGAAGCAGGCCGACGCGGACTCGCCCTAGACGCCAGAGGAAGGAATGGACAGCTCGAGTGGCCTGTATTCCTATTGCTATTTGTCAAGACAAGGCCGCGGTAAGCAGTCAGGATGCCGGCGTCAGTCTAGGATTGCCAGAGTCTGCCAGAGACTGTCAGAGACTCACAGTCCCCTTGCACTACCTAGCTCTAGCTCTCCGGCGAAGGAGGGGTCTTGGACAATACTACAGTAGAAATAGAATTATAGCGGGGGACTGCTGTAATCGGCAAGTGGGCTGCCCAGCGCTCCCCAGCAAGTCAGCAAGTCAGCCCGATAACGCCTTTGCCTGCTGGCCTGGGCCGTTTGTCTGTCTGTCGTCTGTCGCGCTTCCACGGAACCTCCACTAGATCTCCACCAAACCTCGACGGCGGGCTTATCGCCTCTCCGAATCGGCAACTACCTAAACAGGACCCGCCGAATCGCCCTACCTACAGCTCCCGAGTCTGTCTGGCCAGAGCTAGGTAGCACCGCTAATATCACACACACAGCAAGTAAGTGTCGTGTCGACCTGCATGCAGTAAGATACGGTGCAGATATAAGTGGCATTCTGACGCTCACTGCAGTCTGCAGATACCTTATAGAGGGACAGAGAACTTATAATTAAAAGCTATGTTGATTAATATGCTCCGCCGTATGGGCTACCCACATAAAGTAGTGTGTCTGTCCAATGGCCTTCCTTAGGTAAGCGATAGGTACATGAGATATGTACTCATCTACCTAGGTAGTCACTCGAGTCACTCTACCTACCTACTTACCTAGGTACCTAGATAGGTAGCCTCGCGTGTCTACCTACCCTGTCTTTTAAGTAGAGGTAAGGTAACTTCAGGTAAGTACCCACAGCCACCGCGCCTTGCATCACCGCGTCCAAGCAATTCTCCAGCCTTGCTATCGCCGCCTCGTCATTTTTTTTTTGGACTGCGAGCTTCACATGTTGTCGCAGTCGCCAACGACGCCAATTCGAACAACCCCGAAGCATTTCAGACGCCATGGATGACCTCTATGATGAGTATGTACCCAACAACCAGATTACCATATTGCCACATGTTTTTTTTTGGTTCTATTTCTTCCATCTATCAGTTCTTACCCATCTTCTTGCATATCCAGGAACCCGTCACACTGACTGTGATGCAACAGGTTCGGCAATTTCATCGGGGAGGATGCCGACGCATCGGAGGAAGAGTCCCAGCATGGCGTGGATGCGGGCGCATACCTCGACGACGATGCATATCCCGAGGACGTGCCCGAGAGGACAGGCCAGGAATTGATGGAGCTGGACGACGAGGGTCCATCCAATGCAGTCGTCCTCCATGAGGACAAGCAGTACTACCCCACCGCACAACAAGTCTACGGAGCCGATGTCGAGACGCTTGTACAGGAGGAAGATGCACAGCCCCTAACCCAGCCCATCATCGCTCCTGTCGAGGTCAAGAAGTTCTCCGTCGAGGAAGCCGACCTGCCGCCCGTACACTTCGATCGCAACTTCATGTCAGACCTCATGAATTTTCCCGATCAGACACGGAACATCGCGCTAGCTGGCCATCTGCACCACGGTAAAACTGCCTTTATGGACATGCTGGTACTCGAGACCCACGATATCACCGATAGATTAGACAAGCGAATGGGAAAGAAGAGAGACGTGCAATTGCGATATACCGATACACATATCATGGAGAGGGACAGGGGCTTGTCCGTCAAGGCGGCGCCCATGAGCCTTGTGCTGCAGAGCACCAAGGGCAAGTCACATCTGTTGAACATCATCGACACTCCGGGGCATGTGAACTTCGTCGACGAGGTAGCCGCGAGCTTGCGCCTAGTCGATGGTCTTGCACTCGTTGTGGATGTGGTTGAAGGTGTACAGGTCAACACTGAGCAGATTATCAAGCACGCCGTGCTCGAAGATATCCCCATGACACTCATAATCAATAAGATGGATCGTCTGGTATTAGAACTAAGGCTTCCTCCCAGCGACGCCTATTTCAAGTTAAAACACGTGGTCGAAGAAGTCAACACGATTATAGAGAATACCCGGCCAGGCTCCGGCGAAACAAAGCGCTTAAGTCCTGAAAAAGGAAACGTCCTATTCGCATGTAGCGAAATGGGATGGTGTTTTACGCTCCAGTCCTTCTCTAAGATGTATGCCGATAGCTTCCCCGGAGTAAATACTGAGGAGCTGGCGAAGCGTCTCTGGGGTGACATCTACTTTAACCCTAAGAAAAGGACTTTCAGTCGAAAACCCTTGCCTGGCGAGCAAAGCGCAAAAAGATCATTCATTCATTTCGTTCTCGAGCCCATTTACAAATTATTTTCTCACACAATTAGTCAAAGCGCTGAGGAGTTGGGCCCCATTTTGTCATCGCTGGGCATACAGCTCAAGCCCTCCCAGTACAAGCTGGACGCCAAAATGCTTCTCAAGCTTGTCTGCGAACAATTCTTTGGTCCGTCAACCGGCTTTGTGGACATGGTTGTCCAACATATCCCATCGCCCGTGGAAGCAGCGGAGACTAAACTGGAACGATACTATACCGGCCCCTTAGACACCAAAGTTGCGGAATCAATGAAGAATTGCGATCAAGATGGCCCATTAATAGTCCATGTGACCAAACTCTTTAACACGGCTGACGCGAAAAGCTTCTACTCCTTCGGGCGCGTTATGAGCGGTATCGCGCGGCCCGGTATGCAGATACGTGTACTTGGAGAGGGATACTCTATCGATGATGAAGAAGATATGGCCATGGCAACTATAGGTAGCGTCTACATTGCCGAGACGCGCTACAACGTCGAGACAGATGGCATACCCGCCGGCAGCCTGGTGTTGCTAAGTGGCATCGATAACTCCATAGTCAAATCAGCGACGCTTGTTCCACCCAAGCTCGAGGACGACGAAGATGCGTACATCTTCAAACCAGTTTCACATTTCACAGAGTCTGTGTTCAAAGTGGCTGTTGAGCCCATTAACCCGTCTGAACTGCCTAAAATGTTGGACGGGCTTAGAAAAATAAACAAGAGCTATCCCTTAGTAACAACAAAAGTTGAGGAATCAGGCGAACACATAATTCTCGGCACTGGCGAGCTATATATGGACTGTGTTCTTCATGACCTTCGAAAATTATACGCAGACATGGAGATCAAGGTTTCCGACCCTGTAACTCGTTTCTGCGAGACAGTCGAAGAAATGTCGGCTACGAAGTGCTACGCTGAAACACCAAACAAGAGAAATAAAATCACCATGATTGCGGAACCGCTCGACAACGGTATCGCCGAAGATATCGAGAGCGGTCGCGTGAACATGCGGGATGGTGCACGAAAGGTCGGCAAGTTCTTCCAGGATCGGTACGACTGGGATATACTGGCTGCACGGAGCATCTGGGCTTTTGGCCCAGACGAAATGGGCCCTAACATACTACAAGATGACACATTAGCCGAGGTAAGCCGAGTCAAATGCTTGTCCTACCCTCCTCTCGTTCACTATTTCATCAGAGGCGCTCGATGTCTTACTACACAAGTTCTGATGGGATGGTTGCCGCGCGTACAAGCACACAGCAGTCCCCTCAGACTTCCAACCCTGGCTTGAAAGCTTACCAGCTTGCGAATGGTACCTAATGTTTTCGGCAGGTGGATAAATCGCTGCTAAGAAGTGTGCGAGAGACGATCCGTCAAGGCTTTAGCTGGGCAACTCGGGAAGGCCCGCTATGTGAAGAGCGTAAGTCAACCCCCATTTCATCATATCATCATGTCTTACCGCTTCTCTATCTCTGGCTCTCCCCACGTTCTAGATGAGGTACACACACATCCACTGAAACCCTTCCCTCTCTGTGGATTGGTCTCCGAACGTGGTCAAGGCCTCGAACAGATCTGCAGTATCACCCCCGAGTGACCCCGTCTTGGGTTTTGTTCTCAGCACAGGCATGCCGAGGAATCCGGTTATGAGGCAAGAGTATAGCCTTCCTTCTTCAGGGGTGCTCAAGAGGGGACAACGCGTGCCATACTGGTGAGCGGGTAGGGAGGGGTGGGGCCAGAGTCCTCGATGTGTCGAGCTCAAAGTACACCCTCCGTTTCTATGAGTAGTGGAGGGACGCTAGTGGCATCCCTGCTCTCATTCCCTGTAGTCTGCCCTCCCATTCTCTCCTAGTCGGGCCTGCTCTTCGTCGTGGAATATTCCGTGCTTCATCCCCACTCACTGGCCTATCTGTGCGGTCAGGGTCTTGAGAGACGAGATCAGGTTGGGGTTACCACAGGGCTGCGTTCGCCTTGGCCCCAGACGGACTTATTACCAATTGTTTCCGTCAGTGCACTAGCTCATGCACTGGCCGATGAGAATCAAGATGTGCTAGTGTGGGATGTCGCTGCGGAGCCCCCTGACTCCCAGATTGCTGATTCAATTTAATGATTTCCTTTTCTTCGCGAATTTCCATAGTACGCTATACTAATGAATGCGTCAGCTATCCGAAATACCAAATTCCGCATCACTGATGCTGTTTTAGCCCAAGAGGCTATATTCCGAGGTGGCGGTCAGATTATTCCCACGGCACGCCGCGCGTGCTACAGCTCGTTCCTGATGGCGTCCCCTCGCCTTATGGAGCCTGTATACTCATGTTCAATGATTGGTCCACAGGACGCTGTGCCCATGCTTTACACGGTACTCTCCAGGCGGCGAGGGCATGTCCTCGCTGACGGCCCCATCGCCGGCACCCCGTTGTACCGCGTTCATGGCCTTATCCCTGTCATCGACTCGTTCGGCTTCGAGACAGATCTGCGGATCCAGACCGAGGGACAAGCCATGGTCAGCCTCGTGTTCGACAAGTGGCAGCTTGTGCCGGGCGACCCCCTCGATAAGGAGGTCGTGTTGCGCCCACTTCAACCTGCTGACGCGCAGGCTACAGCGCGTGACTTCGTGCTGAAGACGAGGAGACGCAAGGGTCTCAGCGAGGATGTCAGCGTCGCCAAGTTCCTTGAGCCCGAGTTCTATCAGAGTTTGATGGAAAGTGGGACTCTGGGGAGTCCTTAGCTTGGGTGTAGAAGAATTCGTTGGATGGGTAGGGTAGGGTATATGTATTAGGGTTGTCCTTTTCGATTGCTGGTATGTATGTGTATATATTTGGGCCGACGGTAGCTATATAGGTTGGAGAAAGTCGGTATTATTGAATTGCGCGTACGGAGATAAGGAAGTAATCAAGTAGGTTGGTAGGTAGGTAGGCAAGGAGGTCAGCAAAGGAAGTATAAAATTGAAACAAATAGCCGATCATTGATTTTTTTTTATATTCACTGCTTGACTGAGTACCTTACCTGGGTGGATTATATGAGAAAAGTAAATATCACGCATACTTACCTTAAGGTCTAGGTTAGCATGGCTTTAATGTTTATAAGGAAGAAGTATGTGTACCCATATATATATCTTGGTACACGATGGCGATGATGTAGAGTGAGTGAGTGGTATATAGTCTAAAGAAGTAGGCTTTAGAGTAAGACTTCTCTTTTGGTCGGTAATCGTTAAATAGACATGGTTTTATGTCTGCTAACGTAAAATGGTGTACAGCGTGTAGGAAAGATGATGTGGATTAGGGATATATGTGTGCAACGTGGGAGAAGATAATCGTATTGTTATTATGATGCTTGTGTTGGTATATACTCTACTCTGTTGGGCTGTATGCTTACTTACTTTGATTTAAACTGAAGTCGATATTCTTTGTGTTCTCCCTGCTCAACTCGCAAGGTCTTCTAGAGGAAGGTTGTTTGGGCTTGGACTGGCAGTAGCGTATATGTAAGGGCTGTGATTTGGTAATATAGTTGGTTAGGTAGGGAAGTAAGTCAGTGTGGTTTTACAAGGTAAGTACTTGTGAAAGGAGAGAGAGAGGGGGGGGGGAGTATGCTTGTATATATGACAGGCAGTAGAGAAAGGTTTTCTCAATCAAAGGAAGGATTTGCTCAAGGGTAAGGAATGGTGAATGAAGCCGTGAACGAAGCTGAGGTAGGTAGGGAACGCGAGAACATCACCGATATAAAGTGAAAACATAGCGTTACCCATGGTTTCCTGTGTAAACATGATTACATACAGGGACAGATATTGAAAGTGCTTTAATATGGGATTATTATTCCTACCTGGGAGGGGAAAGTAAAGATTTTCTCCCACCATTTCAGCTATGTCTAAATATTGATAGGAATAATTCTAGGTTACCTATGTAGTATATTGGTATTGATTTATATCTACTGAGATAAGCAGCAAGGTTTCAGTATACTTTAAGGTTGGTTAATACATATTATACAGCTAGGTCAGTACTTTAAGAGATAGAGCTTACCTGTATATATATATATATATATATACTAATTATTTGATCTGATTAGATATATCCATGTATTCAATACTATTGCAATGAACTGGAAGCCTATGAGTAATAGTATCGAGGTGAAGAGATAGACATAGATACGCGACAAAAAAAGGCGCGAGAGATTTACGGCAGATCCCGTTCGTTAACCGGAGAAGTAGTGTCGATATAGCTTATGCGTATCTATAGATTTTGATAACTATGATCTCTAATAGTAGTTATCTAGTACTCGGTCCTAGTAACAACCAAAATCACGCCATGTTTATAGAATGTATTGCAAAGATCTGGGACATGCATTAATATAGGTATTATCCAAATGCAATCTATCTTATTGCTAGTAGTAGTAGTAACACTAGTAACAAGGAATTGGAGAAATGGCATGGATAAAGCACATCTTAGGCTCCGATGCAGAATACCCGTACCTACACTGATATGCAGTGTAAAGCGCAATGCAGGAACCCGAATATCCTGGTTGCAAATGACGTGCGCTATATTGGGTCTTTCGGCCGGAGTGTTCAGAAACGGCGTTTACTCCGATAGTAACCCCTGGTCTGCTCCGGCATTGTCTACAATACAGGATACGTAGTGTACACTAGGTAAGTAATGCGGGAAAAAAAAAAGTATCATCTCTTCTCAAAAGATCGTATAACGAACATCTTATTAGTATGGTTATTGATCTTATGGCATTGATAGGCATAATAAGCCTGACGGAAAACACATAAATCTTCTTGGCGCTATACTAGAAGCTCGTACTTGCATGCGCACGTTCTTGATTATGGTGGAATTGAATCTCATGCAGCTTGATTAGTATACCTTAGTAAGCCTTGAGCATTGCGCGGGCACAACGCCAGCATGAATGCGAGAATTATTGGGCGGGCCCATATTGAGTATGAACTGGTTCTCTCATACATAGCATGGCATGTATACTGGGTGTCCAATTCGCGACGCCGCTGTCGAGGTTGTTTTGAGCAAGAATTCCGCGATTTGCGGAGCTGTAAGTATGGATATACCAAGCCAATTTGCATAGGCCTTTTCGCATGACCTGTTTCTAAGCTAATTTTAGAGCTGAGATGCTCACGATAGACCTAGCGTAGAGATGATGAGATGACGAGGTTCCGTGCAGTTGGGTCGAATTGCATGTCCGTGCGGTTTGTGTCAGCAGCTGAAGGAATCAAGCAACCTCGAAGTTCGGTAATCTCGGGCGGTCTGGCAGTCGCTGAATAGGGCATATAATGCCTGCTGTAGATAGCGCTCTGGCATAGAGTGCTTCGTAACAGTGCATAAAAGCACAACGGGGCTACGATGGTTGACTTGGGGCGGAACATCTTAGACGCAGGTTTCTAGCATTTTGTCAAGTACTCCTTTGAGAGTGGCATTTTCCAGAGCAGCGGCAACTCTCTCCTTGTCAGCCAATTGCTTGTTTACCTGGTCATCTTGGCTGTGGGTGCCCTCCTTAATCATAACATCGACACGGTAGTTGGGAGGCAGCGCCTGTTCGAGACGAACTCTGATACCAAGCCCAATGACAGTGGCGAGGGAACAGTGGGTAATAGTCGGCGTGATCTTGACAAGAACTTGGGTCAGGGTGTTGGGATCTGCAGGCGCAGAAGGAGAAGGGGTAATGTGGATATCAGGCAGGTTCACTACCGCAAGCTGACCGAGCGACAGTGGGTGCTCCGGATCAGAAATGGTCGAAATGAGGTCTGCGAAACGTCAGCCGTCTGATTTCCACAAGGGGGAGTGTAGCATCGAACCCGCTGCCGGGAAATTGACGACTAGGGGAAAAAAACAGCCACTCATGAGATGACAGAATGTAGCCTGGAATTCGCTGAGAATAGCGGATTTTTCACGAGCTAGAAGGTTGCAGCCAGCTATATTGGATATTTCGGTGTAGGCGCCAGGGGTCGGATGTTGTAGTAGTTATCATGACACCGGGCCGTCCAATGATGAAGAAAGGCAGTACTTAATCTTCAAGGCATGACGTGTTTCAAGATGGACAGAAAGAGAAGAAACGCGCAAGAACAGACGAAGACAGGACAAGACGAGAGAGAGGATGGGGGGAATAGAGACGGAATAAACCCACCGTAGATCTCCTGCTCATCGATGGGCTCAATGGTAAAGCCGTCGTCGCTGTCGGTGTCATCGGAAGCCCAAGGCACCTCGCAAAAGGGCGCAGAGAGGTATTCGGGCCGTCTCAAGACAATGTCTAAGTCGGACTCGGCATCCTTGCCGGGGGTAGCGGCGGGAGCCTTCTTTTTGTTTTGCCTCGTGGGAAGTTCCGAGACGTTCAGAATGGTAGGGTTGGCGTTGTCCTTATTATCCATCTCGGGGTGATGATCAATGATGTCCAATGCTGACGATTCAATGAGTTGACTGTGGGATAGTGTTCGACAAGGAGGTGATTACAAGTATAACAGAGACACGGCGTCTGACGGGGGTATTTTGTGTGTAAATAATGGACATATCCGTAGATGCATTCATGAATCAGTCATCTCGAGGAGGTGGATTCTCATGAGCTTGAGACCAGTGGCGGCGGGGTAAGCTTGTACCACCACCAGCTGGCGGTGGTACCGACGCAGCTGACTAGCCACAGATGCGTCTGGTACTTCGACTGCCTCCTCACATTTGTACTATCATTTGTACTATCATTTGTACTATCTTCTTACATGTGACCAAGCAACCCTCATTGATATACCTACCTAACACTAAGTATGTAGGTAGTACTTAGTAGAATCTTGTAGGTACTTGAGCTGCAATTATCGTTGTTTCTTTACCCCGAAGACCCGCCGATCGTGACATGCGTTGGTGTTTTGCAGGATCAATTATTCCACCAAAAGCGATACCTTCTAGAGTATGTGTATGTACTGTACGTGTCGTCCTCGCAGCTTGTGCCCTTCTGGAGAATTTGGCTGACTCCTGTTACACAGCGTCCCGACGACGTGTTTGGCAGCTCCTCGGACAGACTCGGATTAGCAAGATACGTAATTCAAAGAAAGGGCCTGCAGCGGGCCTTGCTGAGTGATGCTGGTCTCTGCTTAACTGCAGCCCACCAGCTGGGTACAGTTCACGAACTAGTCAATGGCACAACCTGATTTCAAAAGTGTGTTTTGCGAGCTGCGATCGGGGGCTGGACCATTATGGAACTGGTATTGGTAGTGCAAGCGAAATGGCACCACCCTCACGATAGACGAGATATTAGTGTCCGTCAGAATCTGGTAGCTGCGCCAGTGGAGCGTAAGTATACTACACTACCGACTACCTCGTAACCTCGGATGCCTACCTAGTGTAGATAGTCTCTGTATTGGATCTGGTTGGTAAGAGATTGAAATGCTTACATCCCACCCAACTACAACAGTACGTACGTTGTATACACTACCAATATATATCACCGTATCACCGACTGGATGAGACCTGACTGAGTACTGTACCTAGCCCACCTATAGCTTGTCTCACGCCCCTGCGTCTCATCTGCACTTCAGGCACATGTGGGTTTACCTTGTGGGAGAGTTTGCGTAGAATACTTAAAGTACTGGCATGTAGTAGGTGGTATGAATAACCGCACTCGATCTATGTTAAATGCCGAAATCTTAGAATACTGTTGAGCACCCATGATAGGGATGGCAACGATAACGGCGCCATTGACAACGGTAATGATGATGATGACGACGACGATGATGATGATAGTGGTCTACTATGTAGTAATCATCAGTATCAGCTAACGGTGGTTCGCATGTGGTGGAAAAGAGGTTAAGTATTCCTATTCTACTAATTACCTAGTACACGCAGGTTGGTGCAGACAGAGTACCGGCATCCAAGACAAAGCGTGGCGAGCGTGGCGCTGGCACCTGCAGCACATAGGTACTACCTAACGTACATAGGTATACCTACTACGTATACAGATGAGATGGTATGAGCCAAGAATGGCACTTCTTCAGCGCGGGCCAACGGCGTGAGGCTTGCGCTTCTAGCTTGCGAGCCCTGCAATGTGATGCGGCAATTCCCTGCGTCAAGTTTAAGCGAGCGTACAAAGTATCCAAGTACTATAGTAAGTACCTGCTACATACCTTTTCCACCACTACTACATGTACAGCCCTATGTACTTATATATGTAAACTCCAATGGCAGATCATAGGTATATATCTTAATCCCTATCAACTAGGAGTAGTTGCTAGTTAGGGGCAGAGGCGGCCTGGAACTTCGTAGTATCGACGGGCGGTGATCTCTATTTCATCTATCGCCCAGATATCGCCGAAAGGAATAAGCCGTTGTTGTTCACCGACGCGCGTGCTCGGCACGGGGAAAGGTTGCCTTGGTGTCTATTTTAGTGTAGCCCCTGGAATACCTACCTGCTCGCCTGCTTCACGTGTCGTGACGCCAAGTAAAGACCCGCCTCGTGGGAGGAGGGACCAGGTTGTATATCTAGCGTTGACCAAACCAAGGCGTCTCCCTAGTGTAGTGCAAATACCTTGCAGACACCTTGGAAATATTTGTAGTTAGTAGAAGTACTAAGTAGTAGAAGCACTACTACTGTAAGTATGTCAGGATTCATCAAGATCTTAATCGCCTGTTCAAGAAGCATTATCAGCCATTGGTAATACCTGCGTACGGGATCTAGAGACGACGGAGACGTGTAGCCAAAAAAAAAAAATCTTTACAAACATACTTAAACGGCGACTGGGCTGGTTTTCACTGTCTTCTCACTGTGCAGTACCGTCAGCTCGGGTACGCCAACTCGCATCGCACAAAAACAAAAGTCCCTAACCACCAAGCTGTCTACCATGCCATGCTACAATCTCTTTTCGCACAGCGCTTCGGTCTGTGTAACACTACCTTACATAGGTAGGCTCTCGTGAGCTGCGTAACGCGAGACGCACAATGAGTTACATACATACACCAGTGGTAGGTAATTCCATGAGCAAACTTTGAACATTGGCATGGTGTCGGAGTTACGGAGAAAATAGCGGCATGACCAACCTATCTACACCCCCCTTCCCATGGACCTGCAGTCGAAACGAACCCCTGGTCTGGTCGAGTCACTTTTAGCGAGGTGTCCCACACCGGGCAAGTATCTACCTAGGGGGGTCCATGGGAGTTATTACGTGTAGTGTACACTCTCCCTCGATCATGCATGCATGCATGGCTCGTGAGGCGTGCTTATCCACGTATTTAAGATACTTGGTAGGTATGAAAGTTTACCCTTCAAGATGCGTGGAGGGTGTACACCTAGCTTCCTACCTCATCTGTACTTATGTGCTTACAGACCTACTGTAGATAGCACTTACATTGTATAACTACCTCCGTACAGATCCAAGGTAGGAAGTAGAGACAGAGTCACAAGATATGAACTCATGTGTGAGCCGAGACGGCGAATGGCAGTAGAGGAGCTGACGTTGTAGTAGTAAACACTGTAGCAAATCTCATGGACACATAGCGCACAACAACAAGGACTGTATTTGCTATCTACTATAAGTATGGGGGGAGGGGGTGCTGCGATGATTATTTGTGCGCTTGGAAGTGGTTGAAACAAAACCTGAGACCATATCTAACATATCTAACAACCTATAAACGCCAAGCCCTTGCATTTCAAGGAGCAAGCAGCTGGGCGAGAGGACACGCGCTCGTAACACATCCGGTTTCCTAATTACTCGGTGTGCGAGTACCTATTATACCTACCGTACTATGTACTCTAGGTTACAGCAGCAATGCAGTACATGTACATTCGAGTTGGCTGTCAAGAACAACAAGGCTGGTTTTCGCGAAGGATCCCGCAGGTTGCAGACGCATGTCGCAGGCAGGTCAGGCAGGTCGCCGGTTATCGAAAACGCAGGTCAAATCCGGGGAAAGCTCGAATTTGCCCATGGTTTTTATTTTTTATTTTTATCACGATTGCCATACTGTAGATAGTATTCTTCAAAGTACTACTGTATCGCGCAACATCTAAACATCTGCCTTGTCCAGAGAGAGCTCCCCTTGACGGATAGGATCTATTATACAAGACAAGGAGCCGCATCAGCGAGCCAATGCATCGACGCGGTCCAGACCAACTCAAAGGCGGCCAGTGAGGATTGAGCAATAGTCTGGATTCGGTCAGTGCAGAGCAGAACGCGACTACTACTGCTGTTAGTTACTTTTATGCTAAAGTATGACGGCGACAGGGTCGAATGGAGAGCAATGCGCCGGTCGTGCGGCCAGTTTCGGTACAGAGAGCGGAACAATGTCAACTCGCTCGGTTTGCCGCTCGCCCACTTCCTGACCTCCTATTTACCTATAGTAGTAAGTAGGTATGTACCTAATAATCTCTCTACTTATGCTGTACATATGTATGTAAGTATGTAGGATAGTTGTGCCGCGCAACACTGCGCCTACATATACATACACGTGCTCGTCGTACATGCGCAGGTCCCCGGTCGTTTGCCACGAGATAACAGATGACACCGAGCATGATATTTACTCACTTATAATACCTAATAACCGATTTATGGGGTTTGGAGATGCGCATTCAAACTGAGCCCGAAGCCCGGCCAAAGACGCATAGTGACGTGCGAAGTATTAAATTGAATCATGGTGCCAGGGGGGTAGAGTAGGTATGTGTAGTAGTAATAGGTACACGAGATGGCACAGCACATGCAATCTATTTCGTAGTTGTAGATACCTACCATATGTAAAAGCGGTAGACGAGTGCTCGATAGAAGGGCGGTAGAATAACGACTCAAGTCTTCCAACTAACTACTACCTAGGTAGGTAGGTAGGTAGGTAGGTACTGCAAAGCAACCTCTCCCTCTCCATTCCGCCGCCTACTTACCTCTATATGTTATGTTTTATGTCTCGGGGTCGTTGGTAAGGTAGGTATGCAGATTACTTCTTAGTGTTCGAATGTTATAAGGCGCCATCTCCCCACATGGTATTCAGCTCGTTATCTCCGCTGCGCCAATCCAACACGGAAAGAAGGTTTAACGGTAACAAGCTTTAGGACAGGCTTCAATTGATAGCTCTAAGTCTTAAATCATATTCCAAGGCAATGGCGTTTTCAATGTAGGGTGTGGTGGATTATTCCGCTTTCTCTCCCTTCTCAGCTCAAACTTGTTGTTTGTTGCTTGTTGCTGGAAAGAGGTGAGGATGACGAATTGGCGTTGAGATCTGCTCTAATAAGCTCTGAGTACGATAAAGTACAATAGAATATAATACATGAGAGAATCTATAATAGAAATCTACGGAGAGAAGACACCAGAGAGAGAAAGAGAGAGGAAAGAGCTTGAACCATGTTTTCACGAGTCATGTTATATATGCAGGCATCGTGAAATTATAGCTCGAGGCTGGGGAATCGGAAGATATAGCTACCTAGTTTGTTTACGAGGGTAGAGGCAGAAACCCGATGTGAACAGAAGTAATTTCCTTACCTACACACTTCCGTATTTTCCCATCATCGGCGAATATAGATGGCTCACATTCTAAATGTTTGTCGAGTTGTGCAATCAAATTGGCTCGGTACACAACTCGACTGGCTGGGATACGACATCCATGATCTACCTACCTACCTACCTACCTACCTACCTACATAAGTAAGTATACGTGTACCTGCCGGGTAACACTGCGACACAGCTTGCAACGCAGCTTGATCCCACGTTGTGTTGGTACTGAACAGCTGCAGCCAGAGTCGCGAACATGGTCGAGGTTGAGTGGATGGGCGGGCAGCGAAGACAGGGGATATGTTAAAGCCAACCCACACACATCAACCTTACATGGACGCCCACCCCTCTCCTGACCATCTGCGTTATCCTACACTACTTACGCAGTCAGTAAATCAGTAAATTCATTGTACTCGTGTTTGAATGCTTGGCAGCTTTTAAATCAGTGTAAAGACTTACCAATCTATGTGCCGTTTCCATATCCTACCTACCTCTTAGTATACTCTTAGTATACCTAGATATGGTGCTATTATATGTACATGCATGTCAATACTTAGGTGCGTAGGTACACTGAGGTGGGTGCAGCCCCAGGCCAAGTCCCTGTGCTCTGCGCTAAGCAGGTGGGTTTTGGTTCCAAATGCCCTACTAGCTAGCTTGTACTGCACTAGATGAACAACATTGAAGCTACTAAAGGTACCGTGCTGCACAGGGACCCACCAGGCAAGTAATGGCGGCATGACATACCTACCTCTATGTACCTAAGTGTGTACCTAGGCATCTGTCAAGCGCTTGGACTAGGTGCAGTAAGTAGGTATGTATGTAGGTACCTAGGTACTAAGTACGCTACGGTACATCTCTATTGCGCTGGTGCACAGCACTCGAATGCCCTAGAGTGCACTAAGTATGCGTGCTAGGTAGAGGTAGGTAGGTACCATATGCAGATACTATAGATACCTTACAAGAGGTACTGTAGGTACTTACCTCAAGGTAGTGAATAGATTTACACTGCCGGTATCTGCCGTCACTGAGCACCGCGCCTAACCTAGTAGCAAGCAGTACAGTACTGGGTACCTGCCCACTTGCTAGGCCAGGCCGTCCCAGACGCCTCTTACCCCCCCTCCCCCCAAATTCGGTCTCAGTAATAAGAAGGGCATACCTATCCCCTCATCCCATCGCAAACCCCGAAAGCCGGGTCCTTCCCTGGCGCCGGTATGTGTAGACGACATCCTAACTCATCTAGTCCTCGTTTTGGTCCCAGCTTAGTTTCACTTAACTTGACTACATACGAGATTGACCGCGGCACGTTTCGATCCATAGTAGCCGCCAGTTCATTCTTCGGGCGAACTTGGCCTGGAATTGGGGCAAAAGAAAGCGAGAGAGGGCCTGAAATATTGAGGCATTCGTGAACTTGGAATCCTCGGTCGCGCGCGAGCGAGCGCCGAACAGAACCCGTCATCTCATCTTGCGACCATCGTGAACACACCAGCGCAACGCATCATTGTCGCTACCTGCGCATAGTGGCAGGCTAACTGCCTCTGTCTCTTGTCCCTCGTGCGCTGACAATTCGCCGGCTATATGACCTATGCTATATTATTATAGCCTGGATCGCCACGATCGCCCGCCCGACGATTTGACCAGCAAACAGTTACGACTCAAACTTGCGACGAAAGCGGAATTACCATACATCGAAAGGATTGCTTGATTTTATACGGAGTCGCTCGGTATCGCCTTGGTTCGACTAGCAGGCCAGTTTCACAACCGCCTGTCGCATGACTAAAGTTTAGGGTTGTGCGCGACGAAAGCCCGAGGGCTGTTGTAATAGTCGGTCTACCAGCGAGAGAGCTGGCCAGCGCAGCCAGTCGATCTATCCCGTCTGTATTTCTATTTAGCCCGACTGTAACGACAAGTGAGCCCATGTCGTCCAACGATCCCGCCGCAGCGCGTCGGCTGCTGCCACAAAGTGCACATGTGAACTCGTTCTCTTTCGTGCCACCGACATACCAACCTCCAAGGGAGACCCAAAAGAGTTCGCTCTCCGAAATGGCCCCTACTGATCTGAGTCTGGATGTCCTAACATGTTTACTTTAGACTATGTTTTCGTAGACGAGCACAATCGACACAAGCGGCTGAAGGGTATGGATCTTTTTATCTTCTTACCGTTACCGTCTCCCATGGCTCTGTGCACTTATAGCTGACGCATATGCGACCTGATAGTCATGAGAGCTTGTGAGGGTTGTCGGAGGAGGAAAATTAAATGCGATGCCGCCACCACAAATACATGGCCTTGTTCGGCCTGTATTCGTCTGAAGCTTCACTGTGTGCGCCCCAATGCTCAGTATGAAGGGTCGCCAGAGGAAAGTCAACCATACGAGCCCACGAGAGCCGAGTTCGAGGCTGGCCAAGAGAGTTTTAGGCAAATGGCGATGCAGCAACCTTCACCACAACACATGATGGCCAGTGGCCACCCTAAGCCGACTCTGTACGCCTCGCAACCCGGCCCGTATTCTAACCATCAAGCACTATATCCCCTCACACAATACGGCGACGCAACCCCGGTACAGCAGCACATACCATATGGATCGGTACCACCGCCTCCCGTCGGCGTTTTAGATCAATCTTATGCGCCACCCAATGTCTTTCCAACACCACCATTGCCAGAGATATCTGCTTCCCACTCTGGCTCGTCGCCCGAATCTTATCACGCTGATCAATATGGGCAGCATGACTTGGCAGATCTCCTTGGCCCGTTGAAGCTCGATGAGAGGGGTACAGGTGAGTTGGTCGTTCATCAACACGAGCCAGCCACGAGCGCTAACTTGAAGCAAAGCACCTTATCTGAATAACAAACAAGCTTTAGCTACACAAGAGGAAGAACCCGCTGTTGAAGATGCTGACGATTATAAGAATGCCTTACCACCTGTGCTTACTAGACCCGGATCTAAGATAAGGATACCGCCAGAGCTCATGCCAGATGAAGACACGATTCTGCGTTATTTCGATCTCTATTTTACCCATGTGCACCCATATGTACCCGTTCTCAACAAGGCGCAGTTATACCGTCAGTGGAGTACGAATCGAGACTCCCTCTCACCTTTATTATTAGAAGCAATATTTGCCGTCGCCGAACGGCTTGCCGATGAACCTGCACAAGGCCAGCAGTGGATAGCTCTCGCCTCAAGTAAGCCTTGCCAAATACCTCGAGCTCGTTGTAGGCTAGTCGCGCCAGATACTGATATTCCTATGCTGTAGAGCATGCCGACTTCTTCATGGACGTGCCCCGCTTGAGTACTCTCCAAGCACTTCTCATCATCCTCAAGGCCCGGGAGGCTGTTCCAAAACGTGGCTACTATTATCGGTCCTGGATGTCTATAGTTCATTGCGTCGCCATGGCGAGGGATCTTGGTCTCGACGAGCACTGCCAGAATCACAAAGCCGGAAAGCCGTGCGGTTCAGCGCCAGCTGATTGCCTAACGAAAACACGTGTATGGCAGACGATATTCATCTGCGAGACCATGATCGCTGCGCCCCAAGGTAAGTTTTTTTTTTTTTTTTTTTTTTTCACTGTCATCACTTTGGACATGATTTTCTAAGTAGACATATCTAGGTCGAAATGACTTGTCTGTTGAGCTAGAAACCCTCGAGTTCAACATCCCTCAACCCATGCCTGGTATTGAAGAGGATGAACATCAAGTATCACGTAATTTTATCTTCTTCGTTAGGATTGTGCGAATGATTCACAAAATGAACACCATATATCTCAAGGTAAAAAAGAAGAAGGACTGGGGTTTAGACCCCGAATTCGTCCAGCTCAATCCACAGCTCCGGTCTTGGTTGAACGAACTGCCGCCACATATGGTAATCACATTCTCCCCAGATGGATCGCCGCCCTGGATATCATCGCATTTCATCGGAAACATGCACTCATATTACCATTTGGCCACCATCCTCCTTCATCGACCACAGCTTTCCTTCTTGGAGCCCATGGGCATCGATGGGCAGTGGAAAGAGCATATGATGGTCTCATATGCTTCTGCAAAAGCTCTTTGCCGCTTGCAAGAGTCCATGCTACAATCCTTTGGGTTGAGTGGACTGCAATGCATGCAAAGAGGTATTAGCTTCACGATCTATGCCATATTGTCCTGCATCGTTCTTCATCTTGTATGTTGTCTTCTCATGACTTAATGTAAGGATTGGCACTTCTAACAAGCCGATAGGTTGCATTAACGTCTCCAGATCCAGACATCAATACCGATGCTCGTGATTATTTTACACGCCATATGAGGATTCTCGAGAGAACCATGGGATCCTGGCCCCTTCCAGAAATGCTAAAACAGATAGATGCCGTAAGGGAGGCATTCTCTGCAGATACAAGGAAACCATTCGTCCTAAAGCCCAGCTTCCCGTATGGTAGTCCACATCCTAGTACGCAATCGAGTCCACCTCGTATGACAACTTTTAAGCCCCCCATGTTGCGGACCAATTCTTTGGATCCAAATCTGGACGTACACGGTGGTCCTCATTCACACGTCAGTTATCACCCCATAACGCCCATCTCTGTTGGATCCGCGGACGGCAAGAGTGACTCTCCTTCTGTACAGTCGCTCTCCATGATGGGTGCAGGCCAAAGCACGCAACCGCCTCTTTCCCACACGCTACCGCTGGTAGACCCTCCTTCCTGGAACCCATCTCGAATATTTGAGTAAGTTGATCATCCCCTTTCCCCCATATCGATCAGATGTGGCATCTATATGTGTCCGTTTCATATCAAAGCAACTAACATCCAATGTCACAAAGTCAATGGAATTCAACGTTTGGTACGCCGCTTCCACCCCAACCGACTTCGGTGACTCCACAGTCAAGTTCTCTAAACGTTTCCTCAGGTGCTCCCGAAGTCCCAACTACTCAGGACATGGCCATCGCCAATGCATCCCTGTCGGCCCCGCCGCCACAGTTACACCCCCAGCAGTACTCGGCGCCACCTGTACAGGCCTTTGTCACGCCGGCCATGTGGCAAGAGTCTGTAGCGAGTGTATACGAATCTGGTGGTCTCAAGAGACACTGGGATTACGACAGCAGTGCCTCTATATCCGAGACGTTGAATAAACGGCGATAGTTCAGCGAGATCTTATGAGTTCGAGTGGTGTTTTATTTTTTTAATCGTTCAGGTTCGACGCGTTATGATACTGTACCATACCATATTACAGAGGTTTCTTCAATACCGCCTCCTTTGTTGAGTTGAATACATTAGGAACGTGGGGTTGGGCGACTTTTTTCCGACCTGTTGTGGAATCGGTGGCTCTTTGAATGTTTTATGGGAAATACCGAGGGTGGGGAATATTTTGGCAAACAGCCTACCAACCCTACTACTTACTTACTTTTTACCTGCGCCGAAAGTCGAAGTGTGTGAAAACGGGGCTGGCCACCGACTGCATTACAGTATATCATCACACTTTTTCTATTTACCGGGAGGGAGGGGGGGCTTAGTTATAGAAACGTCACGTGTATAACAAAGCAGGGAATTATAACGAACCTAGGCAACTTATACGAAGATCTTTACGAAAAAAGATTCTGTTGATTTTTTTGGACGAACTTTTATGAGGAGGTTTTATATTTACGAGGCAGGGAGGGAGGAAGGGAGGAAAAGGTATGATATGATATCACATGGGAGCGATTTTTACTTTACCCAATTACTTACTTAGTTATTTACATTTATCTAAGAAATATCCCCGATATAAGACAGGCATTTATCTATTCTGTTTTTGAGCAGCGAAGAATATGAGTTTTGTTAGAGGTTCTCTCTTGCTTTTCCCCTCTCCGTGGCAAATTAGTAAGGAACCCAAGGTTGCTGTGCGTGAGCGAGCGCTGTGTTGATCAGGTCGGGGTGGGGCGAGCTCTTCTTAGGGGTTTGGTGGTGTTGGATTATAAGAGGAGATATATTATCGTTGATATAATTACGTGCTATCATGTTAACTCGTCATTGTATACGGAGCTATTTAACTTATATGTCCTTCCCATTCATTCATTCAGTTGGCATAGAAGTATGTGGCTTTTGATTTGTACCCCTTTTCGCCACGGATAAGCGTTAGAAAGGCTGTTTGCCTCTTTGCTTCCCTTTTTCTTTTTCACTCGCTCCCTGTCTCTCTTGAACTTCTACGGACTTATGCCAAGAGAGACAGATTAAATCTGTTTTGTTCTTTTCTTTTATTCTCCCCTTAATTGCCTTCATTCCGCAATTACCCGTTCTATTGAATAGAGAGGCCAGATAGGGGAAGGTATTTGTGGATGACATATTTGATATCAAGCGTCGTACTGCTGTTGTTCGTGCGTATCTAAGTAATCAAGGTTGCAAATAAGTAGAGGCAGCTAAGTATCAAGCAGGCAGTATAAGTGAGGCTGGGCAAGTAAGCAGGTATGTAAATGTGGTGGATTTTATTAGGTAAATGGAATCTTGACTTTCTGCTTTTTGGGGGTTGTTATCTGTTTTGTCTATCAATATGCCAAGTATTACACATAGAGCTTATACAGGGAAGGGAATGATTGATTTTGGCTACTGTACTACAGCATTATTCTGGCTTCGACGTGATTTAAACTGGCTAGAGTCGTAAATATAATTGAATAGGGCGACAGAGGCCAGACTCGATTGTCATTGTTTGCTCGCCCCTCGCTTGAGCTTCTTTACCTTTCTATCGTAGGCCCGAGCGTCAACGAACAAAAAAACGAAGTCGATCGCATCATCCTCCGCTTTACGCCTATGACTGGATGAACGAAAGAGTGGGTAGTCGGCACTGGAACAACAATAGGTATCATTTCTGATATACTTTCTGTCCTCTGCCTGCCTTTCTAGAACGTGGGATGGATCCTTCCACGCATATGTGTGGGGGGGTATGGCGTACGGCATCGGCAGTTGAGCCTATCAGCACCCGTTCTCTTTTCTTCATTCAACTTGATCTCATACTTCAAGATACCCGGCTAGGTATGAGATGCTGAACATGACTTGCGATGCGGGGGTAAGAATAGGGTTCCATTCCCGACATAAAAAAAGGCAGGTGAGGTCGGTACTGCTTCGCTTACAGTAGAGCTCGGTCGGCAGGCGGATGAGTAACAGATAGATAGACTGATCAGAGACCGACAGATGATGCAACGCCTGCTCCATAATTAGTACAAGGGTGCCATATCACTATATTCCACGCCTCAGAGTCGTACCGAGTGCCTGGCATGACGATTTGCGACGTTGACGACCTTCCTTCCTCAGATAGACACTTGATTGCTCTGTGGGCCCTGCATGGACGAAGGGTTCTTGTATCATCCGGCTCTCGTGGGAGGGCGATGATTGGTCATTGGCCGTCACAGTCGGGTCTAACTGCATGTTCATCGATGCCTTGAAGCTGCTTTTCCCATGGCACTCCACAACTGGGGCTAACCGACGTCGTGTAGCTTTGCATAATTGTTTAGCTGTGACCGGGACTCTTTGCAGTTAGCTTCCATGTCACTAAGCTTGGCGGAGGTCTCGATTTCATGAGGTATGAGGGCTCTTGATATGCGTATGTATGTCTGCAAGCTATGACTATCGTATATGTTACTTTATAAGAAGTGCTGAAAGAGACATTGTAACCTTTCTCGGCTCGTCAGGTCGTTAATACGATGGAGACGTGAAGTAGGAACAGGGCGATTCACTTGCTAGGCCTATGATTTTTATTTTAAGAATCTGGCTGATATCACACACACCCACCATGCATTGGAGGTGCTGACGGCAGCGGATATAGCAGAGAACCATGATCACTACTTTGGTAGGCAGATAAGAGAAAACAGGGGAGACAGAGATGCGCTAGCTTGTTGTCTAGGAGGAACAAGCATGACTTATTGGCGTTTTACTCGTTGCCGTTGGCTGGTCGAGGATCCTCAGCTGGAGAGAACATCTAGAAGCCTTCCGATTTGGGCGGATGGCGTCGAGCCGAGACTGATGATACCATGCCGTACCGTGCCGTGCCGTTCCAACGGCGATAATTCGCCTTACACATACACATACATATAATACAAGCACAGCGCAGGCTGTGATGCAACGCAAAGCTGCGGCTGGTGCACTTTACTACACGTGTATAGTTACAGATACAGTAGTAATAGTAGTAGTAGTGTACAACAAGCACGCACGCACGCACTCTGGCAGTTGGCTGTGCCGACCTGCCTTTCTCGTCTCAAGCGTAGATATCCTTGAGTGATCTCTGCCCCTCCAAGTAGGTACCTGCTTGGTACTACTGTATGTATGTATCGTGATTCACCGGGATTCATCGGGATAAGGAGACGGTCGACGTGTCTGTAGCAGGACTCCAAGCTGCTTCACATATACCCAGATGCATACTTGCTTATGCATGACTTGCATTGTTTTGTGCCTACCTGCCCACATTGGCAACCCGGTGCTGGTAAGAGGAGCTGGGCTGCGTATACATACATGTATTACTTTACTTGGGCTTGTACCACTCACGATCTGTGAGTAACACACTTGTGATATGCGTGTAACATGCGTGGAAGAGTCTAGGTTAGAAGGTTCCAAGTCGGGTTTCTAGTCGAGTTCCCTTACACGTATATCTTTGACGCAAACATGTTCTATATATGTTTAACATACTCATGACAAGGATATGTGAAGTTCTAAAAGATTTCAATGTCTCGATTGGTCTAGTGGTGAGGATACCTGCTTGTCACTGTACAATCCGCAGGTGGCCGGGGTTCGATTCCCCGATCGAGAGTGAACATGTCTGCTAATTATTCTTTTTTCTTTTCTCCCCCCTTTTGTTCTTGAAGTATAAACTCCATTGTCTGCCTATTATGGCATTTGGGCTTAAATCGTTATTTTTGATGTATTTTCGAGTGAGCCTGTTAATAGTAGCGTTTTATTTCAGTTAAATGCCCTACATACAGCTCAGTCCTTAGATTGGTCGTTGAACCAAATACCTCTCTACATATGATACTAGAGATGCGTCTAGTAGACACATACGGTACATTCATGTGTAAGCGAACATGATTATAGAATAAAGTCATTTACGCATGTATGCCTGAGTAGCGGGGTTGATCGTGTCAAGGCTCCGTAGTCGATTGGTGTAAGATTTCCGCTCCGCAAGAACTAACCACGGACCTTGCTGCCGCACTCCCGAAAAGGCACGATGTGGGTAGGTAAACCATGCCAGGGATAAGCGCTGGATAGACATTATCAAAAGATGAGATAGGGAATGCGTTGCAAAAGTCAGTCACAAGATAGCCTTGATAGAGGAAGTGATTTTGGTTTTAACTAGGATATGAGATAGACAGCTCGAGTGAAGTCATCCCGCTACCTGCGGCTTGACTCGGACTCAACCGCCGGGATGGGAATTGGTGGGTGTCGCGCCCGGAACCACGACATCCGTGTAAGTAACAGGGGGGCCGCCTGTTATTCCGGCGTAATATATCATATATAAGCCCGGGACACCATGATCGGGACCTTCGGGGTTAGAAGGCGACTACACCTCGTCCCGCTAGGGCAATATAGACAACAGCGCCCTGCTTCGTCATCATGCGCTTCCTAATCACGGCCTTCACCTCCGCCCTCGCGGTATGCGGTATCACCGCAGCGGGGCCACTCGAGAGGCGGGCGTCATTGCAGCAGGTGACCAACTTCGGGGCCAACACCTCGGGCACCAAGATGTACATCTACGTGCCTAACAAGTTGGCGTCGAACCCTGCCGTCGTCGTGGCCATACATTACTGCACTGGCACCGCCAATGCGTATTACGCGGGCACGCCATATGCCAGCCTTGCGGAGAAGTACGGCTTCGTCGTTATCTACCCGGAGTCGCCCTATAGCGGCACCTGCTGGGACGTGTCGTCGAGGGCGGCCCTCACGCACAATGGAGGCGCCGACAGCAACTCTATCGTGAACATGGTGTCGTATGTGTTAGACAAGTACAACGGGGACAAAAGCCGCGTGTTCGTCACTGGGAGTTCGTCGGGGGCTATGATGACGGTTAGTCCCTCCCTTCTTCCTACAACTATGACTCTCGCCGTGGAGGGTTTCCGAGATGGTGCGCATATCCTTATTCTTCTATAGAATGTTCTGGCAGCGACATATCCCGATGTGTTCGCAGCGGGTATTGTGTATGCTGGTGTGCCGGCCACTTGTTTCTACACAGGCACGGTAAACGGATGGAACAGCACCTGCTCGCAAGGCAAGCTGGATCTGACCCAGGAATATTGGGCCAACCAGGCGCGCAACGCATATCCTGGGTACAATGGTCCGCGGCCGCGTATGCGGATTCACCACGGCACGGCCGATACCACGCTCAACGTGCAGAACTACTACGAGACGATCAAGCAATGGACCGGTGTCTTTGGATACTCGACTACTGCGTCCAAGACCTATCCTAATATGCCTGCGAGTCCATATACGCGCTATATTTTTGGCCCAAACGTTGAAGGTGTACTAGGTTCGGTGAGTTATCCGTCGGAACATCGAGCTCTGCTTCGCAACACTGCGTTCAGCGGCGCCCTTACTTGCACGAGGACATGGGCGCTGACTAGGAGATTTTTTCTAGGGTGTGACTCACGATATCAAAATCTTCGGCGATGCTGATATGGAATGGTTCGGTTTCACGGTGAGTGCTACCTCTAGAAGGCTTAAGTTGCTGCTGGATTGGTTAGGCTGGAACGGTAATAGGCAGGGTAGGAGGGAAACGGGCTGACATAGGATGTAGGGCTCTTCTCCAACGACGACGGCGAGCAGTCCGAGTTCGACGACCAGCGCGACGACCACCCCGACGGCCGGCGCAGGGGCAACACACTACGCTCAATGCGGTGGAATTAGTTGGTCTGGCGCAACCTCGGTGAGTTTCCCGATACTTTTGCAGTCGTCAGGGGGACTAATGAAGTTGGTCTTTAGTGCGCGAGCCCGTACACATGCCAGAAACTGAACGACTGTAAGTGAAATCCTGTCTCACGGAGAAGTGGCTCGGCTCATATGACATTAGACTATTCCCAATGCCTTTAATATTGCAGCGAGCCACATTGATTAATTGGAAATATGAATATCTATGCTCGAGTGCTTGATTTAATCCAATTTATCACCTACGAGCGGCACTTGCAGTAGCGCGTGAATATACGGTGTTGTTTTGTAGCCCATGTAGTGACTACCTCTATACACAATCTAGGGACTCTGAAACTGCCTCCGTCTAGAGGCCGTAGAATTTACTTGACCCCTATATGAGAAATCTATATATCTAGCCTGTCTGAAGATATAGTGGTATATTCGAAAGCATATCTTGTTCCTTCCACAGTGATAGATGAAATTTCAGCGCATAGCATATTATAAGCACACGCCTAGTAGAAATGACACATCTAATTTTTTTGATATTCTACCTTTATATTCAAGAAATATTGAGATATGCGGTGAATTCCTTGAGATATATTTAATCTTGGGCGCTATCGATGAACGGTGTCACACATACACACACGCACCTTCCCCCCATAATCGCTCTCACTAATCATATAATCAAGTATGGGATTATTCATATGTACAACTGAAGCCAAAGATATAATAAGGTTCCAAGCTTAGAAGACATTTGTGGTTGTTATAGCGGTTGTATCCTCTATGCTAACTTCACTAGCAATATTGACTTCAGCGCTAGAAACCACACTCTTGAAACTGTAGCCCTCTTGTTGTGTTCTCCCAAGTTATTGATAATAGCAGTAAGCTACCTTGATAGACGCGGCCAATATGGACATGAGCCCGTCTATAGGCGTTTGGAAGTTAATTGTTAAAGCAGTGCTAGCATTGATAACATCCGTAACAACTAAATGTCATTACATCCTTAACCTGCGCTAAGATCATCTTAAGACTCTCATTCGAAGGATAAAGAAGAGGGGTTTACATCCGTGAAAAGGGCTATGATCTTAAATGATATGGAACACTTCCCTTCCATTATTTAGGATTCTACATGATGAAACTAGTGTTAAACGGCGCGCATTTCGGCTGTCACTGCTGGTTAAGTTCTCTATGGAGGGAAAAATTACCCTTACTACTTCGTTATCTTGACTCTGCTGCATTCACTAACCAACTGGATTAACTCTAAAACGCCTCTTTAAGTATAATTATACGTAAACGAAACTTATATTACTACCTTCTCAATCGCTGTAGCTTATGAGAGTACTTCTACCATTAATAAACATATAATGGTAGCAAGTCTTTTGCCTATTTTATGACAACCGACATGATATATTTTCTTATATACATTATGGCTACTCTGTGTATTTCATCGCGAGGATGGGAAGAATATATGTGTCTTTCTAAATGTTCCTGAAAACGCCCTCGCCCCATGCCCCCCGTCTTCAAACTACAATACCTACATTAGTCATGTGGCGCTGTATCTATAGCTTTCACTGGAGGTACGATGTATAAGGATGAGTCTGAGCATCGTCCTAGGCGAGGGTTGTCCGCACGCCTGGTTTAAGATATAGTTGGGCTACGACACACGAAGCAGTAGAGTATTTTAGAAGGCAGGGCGTCTGTACCACCGTCAAAGCAGAAACCAATACCTACGGTACGATGGATATCTACCTAGGTGTGCGTATGTCTTGGCGTTAGTAGACGATAGCCGACCAACGGTAGAAAAAGACCATCACATAACGCCGAATAACGTCTCGCTACTCAGGAATCGAGCGATGGTAAGTATACGAGTCATGTATATATACATACTTAGTATAGAGGTAGATGGCGTTGCGCCGCAATTTGGGGTTAGCACGTGGGCTGACGTGTGCTGGGCGCTGTACCACGTGCAAAGGCCGGCCAGCCGGGCCTTTCAGGGACGGCGGCGGCGAGGGCGAGTCCGGATGGATACGTGGATAAGTACCGCGCAGTGAGATAAAGGGGTAACTTAGTTCTGTCGAATGATATATGCTTACATAGTACATATCAGCGAGGTACCTACATGACATGTAAGTGGCACTCTATATCTATCGACTTGGGTGGTTCTGCTACGCGTATGCGGCTTTATAGTAGGGGCCCGTGAGATAAGATTGGAGATTGTTCTGAAAGTAGAATGCTGGTTGGTGATAGCCAATGTTGCTCTGCTGCAAGAATCAGGAGATTTGCTGCTACGGCCCAGGCTCCATGTAAGTAGAGTAAAATCGAAAGAGGTTCGTGTAAGGCTAGCCATTCACAGACTAGGGATCATCTACATCCCGCTTGTTCTTGAATCTTGTCTTTATGTAAGTGTGGAATTACCATTGGCGGGTTATTTGTACATACATACCTATGCTATACACACCTTGTTGGATAGTACTTCGTAAGTTGAATGAAAAGGTGCGCTACGGACGGACATATTCCTCATATTATAGTGCGGGGTTAGACAGCTCCATCTAGAACCGAGTGTGCTCTCTTTCATCTAAGAGGCATTTTAGTTAGAGAGGATTACTACTGTATTACATTGCAGCGGGCTGTCCGATTCAAAATGTGGGAGGCTGTCACTCAATGCAGCCTGCAATGTCCTGCAGGATCACGGACTCTTGCAGGAGAGGATAGATTGATTGATAGCAATTGACGAGGAAAGATGTCAGTGGTCTACATGCTGCGATTGTACCTATGTCATATACCTATACTACTTGACTACACAAGTATCAAGTCATACTTATAAACCATAAGTCTTGGATGGAGGATAATCTCACCTTACGACGCTGTCTAATTAGTACCTAGGAATGAGATAGTAATGTACAAACCCATTGCTCTCCCTCTCTCATTTTCACATACATTACGTACATATTCATACATGTATACATGGTCTTCTCCCCTCCAGGTGAGAGACATCTCTTAGTACGGCTGATCGGTTAATCTAACGAGGTCTGCTGTAGAAAAAGCGAGCGAGATTTGATTGATTACTAGACTCCATCTAATATCCTGATCTTGGCTAACAGTCGAAGACAAATCCCTTGCACACTCATTACTGTAGTTACATACTTACTCTACTTAGGAGAGTGGAAAAGGTGGTGTGTAGGGGTTGATATAAATGTTACATACATATAGTGTATCTATCTGTAAGTATGCCCGCCTGTGCCGGGGATCCTGGACTTGCAAGACCTTGAAGAAGGAGGGGTTTTAAGGGTTGTCGGCAGACCCTTTTGCCCTGTCCAGGCACGGAATCTTGTGTGACCCTGATCCCAACGTTTATTGTACCTCCGCTGCTCTTGGCTGTCTATTCACAAGTGATTGGAGTAGTAATTACCCAGTACATATTTATATGCTTAAGTAAGCTATGATACGATCAGATAGATACTGAAGTAAGCAACATCTAAGGGATATATCACAGCACCATACCGTACTGCAATCACATGTGACCTATACAGGTTACAGTACTATTATAATACTATGTACACAATAATATCTAGTACATAGTACGACAATAGGCCCAGGACTCATTTGGAAGTTATACCGGGCAGATGCGGCTATAAAAGTACGCGTAGACCCAACCAAGTACGGAGCCAACCTCCCTGCCCGATATGGAAAATACGCTAAAGTAAGGTACCCATCGCGTTCCCATCGTGTTTCCTATTGCTGACAATTCCGGGTCTCTGGACATGTCCTTACAGTACCCCTTTGACCACAATTACTTACTATACTTACAGGCCTAGTACCTACATAGTACACATACAGTTACGTAGGTAGCCTCGGGCAGCTTCAGGCTCATAGCGCAGGTACGGTAGATGGCCATGTGCCCATCTGCCGTTCATTTTTGCCTACCTAAGTACTTAGGCACCGAGATTCCATCCAAGAATACCACCTACTGATGGATACATTCCGCGTGCGTGCGGCTTTTCGATCTTGTAGTAGAGTACCTGGCGATGTGTACTTAAGTATGTACTGTAACCTACCTAGTATACTTGGGAAGAATCGTATGCAAGGTCCCCCTTATTCCCTCCCCCCCTCACTACTGGGTAAAAATTCCGTACTAAGTAAGGGAGGAGCAGAGGAGGGAGCAGGTCGGCGCCTTCCTAGGTAGAGGAAAGCAATTCATGAGAGACTCGTCCTTACTTTTTGTCGCGGAATAATGGAGTCTTGCAAGAGATCGATAGGCTCCTCATCATCACCACCATCACCATCATCAAGATCATCAAGATCACCATTGTTTCTACCGTCATCTAAAGATTTGGAGCCCGTACATCTACATAAGTACATAATACCTAGTAGCTATGTCGCCGTGATCGACAAGCCTGCCCCATCCCAGCTCGGCGCCAGCTCGTGGCCCTTGTGCCGCCCTCGCCCGCACCCCTGTCTACTCCATCCAATCGTCGCGCTCTCGCCCGTCTTTGTTCAATAGTGTCTTTTCTCGTGCATCTGCCCAGCATCAGCCCCCCCCTGCACCGAACCTTGGGCCGAACCAACAGTCGTTTCTACCCGCATCGAATCGTCGAGCCGGCGACATTGGTGGCCTAGTGGGTTGGTAGCGGGTTGGTGGTGCAGAACTGTGCGGTCAATTGTGCTCGCAACCGTGCTCGACGCAACCCTCCTCCTTACCTCCTACCTACATGTATATACACTTCCCTACCTAACAGTAGGCCGGTAGACCAGCTCCTCCTGCACTACCAATTCCCATCCACTGATACCTACCAACTCTTTCGTCTTCTACCACGTCAAATCCTCTCGTTTATTGTTTTTTTCATGACTAATCTCGGCATTTGGACATCTTTCTGACGACATCACGACGGCCCAGCCTCACATTGACTTGATTTGTATAGCGACACAACGTTCTACGACACATACACGCTCTCGGCCATCGTCGTACCAAGCTGCCCTCATCAGAAGCATCGAGATACCACCTGAGTCCTGTTCTTTGTCTAATAATCCACGGTACGGATTACATATATTGGGTTACGTTGGCAGCTATTTTGGACAACTACCGCCCCCTTCGTATTAATAGTACCTAGCGCGCTCTGTCGTGTTTCAGCACGCTCAAGTTCGCCATCGCCGTTTCATCATTCTCTTTCGGATGCGTCCATTCGGCATCCTCCATTCGGCTACGTCCCTAGCTTCCGTCCGAGTCTGAAGTTGACACACCATCTGCCGTCGAAGGCTCCGCCATGCGCCTTGAGTATCATAATTCCGTTCAAGTTCAGCCAGCTTGAAGAGCTGTCCAGGAAATATACACGAAAGCCCTGCATCTGTGACAGATCAAAGCCGCTCCGCAGTAGTTCACTTATTGGCCTTCTACCGAGTCCCTGCGTTTACTAGTGCGTTGTACAGGCAAACCATCGTTTCGGCTGCGTGCAGCTCCTTGGCACGACGCCCTGGCGGCCCTTGTGCTGGATTCTCAGCAAGACGCCTCTTACTTATATCGAACTAATAACAAGTCGCGGTCCTATATTGGCCCTCTTCTACATGCCAAATAGTAACTTTGGCTAATGTTAATATTGAATACCGTGTCTACGAAGCACGCATTAATCTGAAATTAATTCAAATTGTTGGACAGTGTGGTGCGCTGAGTAAGGGTGGGGGTTTATCTACGTTAGGTTAAAATCAGCGGCGCAGCACCGACGACAACGACCAAAAATTCTCACAGACCGCGCCGTCATGGCGCTACCCCTGTCTCTTCACCACGACGAGGACCGCTCTGTTTTACTTCTCACCGACTCCGAGGATGACGATCTACTACCGCCTCGACGGCGGACTCCTCCGATCGAGTTTAAGCCATCTACCGAAGCCATGCGTCAGAAGACAAAGGAGGCCGCAGCGAATGTGCCAATTCACCCCATTCCTGCCATGCAGCCTGCCTTTGCCGAGTCGCTCATGGAAGCGACCAACAATGGCGGCGAGAAGAAACCAAAGCTGAGGTTTGGCGACGCCAAACAACGCCGGGCGCAGCTCCTGGATAGTCCTAAGGGTGCCGGACTATACGCCGATGTATGGAGATATCGTCCGGGACAGAAGCACCACGAGCTTTGGAAACTTCTTGCTCAGGTTTCCTTTGGTGTGTATCTGCTGCTGAACGGGATCGCCAATAGTAATGAGCAGGTTGTCGACATTCTTCAGCATCACATTGACGAAGTAGACGAGTTCTTGGAGACGACGTTAGAGGATGTGAAAATAGCCATGGACGATGTGAAGGAGAGGATCGAATTTCTCAAGCTACCGATGGAGAATATGCAGACATTTGAGGAGATGTTAGAAGACCGCGACTTTCGGCTGCAGATTGTGACCGGGAATGAGAAGATTGAACATATCATTGAGCGGTCGACACTAGCTCTCGAGGCGACGTTTAAAGATGCGGATGAGGGACTTAAGGTTGTTAAAGAATTCGCCGTTTACTTGGACAACCAAAAAGACAAGCCCTGGCGTCAACAGCGACCGGAATTTGGCGATATCTACGATGCTATGAAGGGCAATGCGCAAGGGTGGTATCACGCATTGATGGACATACAAGACAGTTCGTCATCACTCGATACTATTCTCATAAGTCTTAGCCAGATTGTGGCAGAGATGGACCAGAAAGCTGGGGAGGTGAGCCGTAGGACAAGGGTACGTCGGCCTTGGCTTGATCAGATGGAAATGAAGACACTAATATCAGCATCATGATAGTTTTCAGTAGCCCCCTTCTCTGGGCCCGCTGAACCAGCACGCTCTAACACACATTCAGGAGAGCCGTCTCTTCGCTCGTTCCCAAGGCGGCAGTCACCACCCCAGTCGCCTCCCACGACTGTATCACAAACTCCTGAACCCCGTTCTCCGGCCGAAAAGGAGGTCGCATTCTTCGAGGAGAAAGAGGTTGCCTTTGTGCATCCGTCAAGTACTGTGACTGATAATGTGGTACCAGAGCTCAAGGTACCCAATGAGGAAGTCTATCTCCTTCAGCCACGCACGTACACTCCTCAGCCACCAGAGCCTCTCCCATCCCCTATGGTGAAGAGTCCAGCGGCATCTCAATCTTCTGCGTCCCAAAACCCTGGGGCCCAAGGGACAGGCACACCGAAGCGGACTTCGTTGCGGCAAAGGGTATCATTAAAAGGCGGCAATCTACCTGAAGTTATTCACGTCCCACCACGGAATTTGAGTGAAATGGAGTCTCCCGGTCTCTCCTCCCACACGTACCAACCATCCCCATTTGCTCATAGGACGCGTGAGTCTGAATACGTTTCTGGGCTTGAGGTACAACCGTCACACAACGCACACCTTGACCCTCGAGGCAGCATGCCAATACCCAGTTTTGCAAATACCATACCATCACCACGCTCCGATCAACAGCAGTATTTCTACCCTGTTCGAGCTAGCCCCCACTCGCCATTGCAGCAACGGCCGCATACATCCGCAACAGCCCGCCCACACACGTCCCATGCGGGGCATATACGGGAACAACGGTCAGCGATGGGCATGAGCATGCTGAGCACGGTCACAAATGCCGAAGGGCAGAATGGGCAAAAATTAAAGAAAAAGAAGAGCGCGTTTGGTTGGTTGAAGAAGGCTTTCACACTAGATGAAGAGGAGAGGGAAGAGTTTCGGGCAAGGAAGCAACAGCAGACGGTTAATCCTTATTATGAAGCTCGTAGCCCCAAGTTTCTCGATGGAAAACGCCTACCCGATACTAGGCGCGTAAATCCGTCCAATCGCTCAGTAGGTTCTCGCATTTGATGGGTGAACGGCTCATGGTTTTCTGGGGACAAGGCATCATATGGCACTGATCGACAGAATCGACAGGCACAATTCACATCTGCAGCGGATACCTGCATTGAGGATGCATGCCTCAGCGCTTACCATAGATGAGGTGGGCCAATGGTCTGGTTCATGAATGGTTTTGCATAGAGCCTCGTTTTGCGTAAGATTTGCTTTTCTTGAATACGTCTGGCGGGAGGGGTTTTACTGTGACAACCCCCTCATGACTCTTCATGGAGTATGCTGAAGTTGGAACCTATCCCAGACACTCGCCACTCGAAGACTCAAGCAAGAAAGCAGATAAAATGACTGCGGTCACGGCGCTGTATCTACTACTGGTCACCTAAGCCATATGCTACAGTAACCAATAATGGTCGAGCCGCGGGAGAAGTTGGGCTCTCGGCCCTGGAGAGTCGGCGATAATTGATTCAGCATATGAGCAGACAAAAACGACGATTAACTTGTCATTATGTATGATGTACTAATTGGTGGATATTGGATCTGATTCTCGAAAGCATAGCGACGCGTCATGACACAGGTTGAGGGGTATCAATCAAAGGGGATTCTAGACATGATGTTAAGTACCAAACATGAGTACCTCCCTACATAGTCACTATTCATTTAACAATTAATCCAGACTCAACAAGCAACATGAAAGAGTCGTAAATATTTGTTGTATCCCTCCCATGTTCGAATATTCTCTGTGTTCTCCTACTGAGCTAACCTCTCGCCTGGCTCGCCGCCAGGTTAGCTAATCCCAAGCAGCGCTATAGTGTGGGGCTTCAGCACCCCAGATGCCATCACTAATAGATCCCTGGAACTCTAACCGGCACTAGCCCTAGCGGGCTAATAGCGTCAACATACCTAGCGCACTTATTGAGGCGCTTTACTACCTAGGTAGCGGGTAGCGGCGTTATTTGCTGCGCTTAGCATGGCGTGTAATCTCACCTGAACCCTTTCAGTAGATCGTGACACTTTACTACCACCCACTTCCACGATATCACTTGTTCCTTTTCTCTTCTTCTTGCTTTTCCCTTGTCCGCATCGTCGCGGAAGTATCATTACTAATGAATTGACTCTATCTTGTTGTATGCAACCTTGATTCTGACACAACCTCATGGCTTGGCTGCTTTCCAATTAACATCCAGCCGACCGACCGACTGACCAACCAACCAATCCCTTGTCACGTCTGAGCGTAGTGTACGGGATTGGAAAGCTGTCAAAAAGTTGCATTCGCTTCGCTTACGGATCCAACACGACGACACAATCTACCGTCTGCCATCTCAGCTTGGAAGTGAACCGACGCAACGGAACATTCGCTCCACGGCCACACCCCAACGAACGCCCCGGATCTACGAGTCGAACAAGGCCAGCCAGCCAATCCACCTCGTTTAGCCTCCCACCGCAATGGCGCGCCTCTTTGCCTTTGACGCCGGTCTCTGGGACCCCTCACACCGGTTCCAGACGTCGTGGCTCGTGTCGCCCTACGTTCTAGGCGCCGTTCGTTTGTTCATTGTAAGTCACCGGACGGCTGGTTCGCCGCTGTCGCCAATTCATTTAATCGCTATGTGATTCGTCCCGTTGTTCGCCTGCCCGCCCGCCCGGCCTTTACTCGACATATACCGGCATATATCTATCGGTGGCCGTAGATACGACGAAACGTCACATTGCATATATTACATCGCATCATATTTGCCCCCAATACATTTATTCTGTGCAACCCAACTTCTTCGCCGGCATCATCTTGTTGTGCAAAGCCCTGTCCAGGGTAATTCACCCTCGTGACCAATCGTGACTTTGCTCTTGATGAAATGCCCGCGGGAACGAAAGGATACGAAGTAGAACACAATCCAGGAGGAATGGGGGCCGTGAAGCTCAGACTCACTAACAGCTTTCCTTCTCATCTATCTAGTCTCTCTACGCCTTCACGACTCTCCTCTTCAACATCGGCTACGCATGCGTTAATGCTTCACATGGCGGGTGTGAAACAGCGCGCAATAGCTTCTCCTACTTCACAGTTCTATCCTACTGGGGCGTAGCCTTCTACTTCCTAGTGGCAGCGGTGCACACCCTCATCTATGCGCGCCGCGGCTCTGCGCCCCTAGATAACTGGCCACGATCGCTGCAATTTCTGCACAGTCTACTATACGGCAGCATAACGACGTTTCCCATCCTCGTTGTCATCGTCTTCTGGGCCCTGCTCTCTGCCCCCACAACCTTGTCGACAACATACTCGGCGTGGAGCAATATCTCTGAGCATGCGCTGAACGGCGCCCTCGCGCTCTTCGAAATTATCATCCCACGCACGCGACCCACGCCTTGGTCCCACTTGCCATTCCTGATTCTGCTACTCGCGCTTTATCTAGCGCTGGCCTACCTGACGCAGGCTACTAAGGGCTTCTACACATATCCTTTCCTCGATCCCTCTCTGCAGGGTGCCTTAGTCGCAGCCTACGTCTTCGGCATCGCCATCGGCATCTGTATCATCTTCGCCGTCGTGTGGGGAATCACCTGGCTGCGTCGCTGGATCACCGAGAATAAGCTCGGGCTCGATGGCGTCTTCGCGCATGCCAGCGCCGTTGCACGAACCGACGAACAAGACGCGAGGAGGAGCTGGGTCCACAAGGATGTGAACGGAAATGAGAATGGGCATGGAATGACTGAGATTAATCCCGCCGTATAGATATGTGGATAAGGAGGGGAGGAATGCATATAATAAAAAGGAGAAGAAGAAAAGAAAGAAAGAACAGAGGAAATAAAAGAGAATGAGAGTCTAAAAGTGTGTATGAAGGGGGCATGCAATGTCCACTACATCATTAAGATTCTGATTCATACCTAATGATACCCTACCTACAGTAGATAGATACCCAGTGTTTGGACGAAATTGGATGAATGAGAACTTGCGCTCATGTCAGCGATTCATATGGAAGCCATGTTTGATTCATCACGCGCCTATCACGCGCCACTAATCTTTAGTCTCAGGACTGTGAGGAATGACACAGACAGCGAATTCGAAGATCTTATGGCAGTGGTCTATCACATCGCGCTGTCGCGGACGAAGCAACGCAGTTTACACATGGTGGAATGTACATGAACTTGTAATCATCTATCTACTGTGCTCTTTATATATAAGTACGCGTTATAAGTATGATTCTTACTACAAGCGGTAATAAAGTGCTCTTTTTACTGATAGTCTATGCAGGTACCCGGCCTGGCTTGATGCTTCCCTTTTACTCTGTAAGTACAGCGTGAGGTAAATGCCATGCGACGCCGTGCTATGCGATGTATGCATGTACATACGACATATGTATGTATGTCTGGATAACAACCCCTCCTCCCCTCCTCCGTGTCCCTATGACAGGCAACGCTGGGGGGTTGTGGGCGCAGGTGTGTATGTATGGGTATGTGAGGGTTTGTATATGATGATGATGATGATGGGTGGATCGGTGTGTGATATGATACAGGCAGCAAGCAGTCAACAGACACAGGTGCCTGCTTTGACGCTCTCAAACAGATGGTAAATGGATCAAATGTTAGAAAAAGTGTTAGAAAGGAAGAATGTTAGAAATAGGCTTCGTTGAGTCTAGGAGCTCGGTGGTTTTTAATTATATGTAGGATGTAGACTGTCCCCATTACGACTGCTCACATTAAGGGTTCTTAGCTCAGACGCTCTACACGGCTCTGCCTGTTAGACTGACGAAGGAGGTAATTATATTAGCCTCCTGTCTACTTGATCGATGACTAGTTTAATTTTGGTTAACTTAGGTTAAAATCGGCGTATTAGTGATGACATACGGTTAAGCTTGGATGGGTTGTATTCAGCGTGTTGTTGATGTAGGCATATTTATATAGGGGCTGCGAGGAAATCACGCGGTACAAGCCAGCTCAGATTCTAAGCAGTTTTAAGCCATAACAGTCACTAGCCAAGGGCACAGAGTAGAACTAGAATACTTCGAAAGAGTACGCAAAGGATTGTCTATATCTCGTCATCACCGGTAATTGCCGAGCTCCTCCGTGTAGCGGGGGTATACTCAGGTAAGAAAACTCTGATAAACGGTTCAGTTATTTCCTGCGCTGTACTTAAACATCGCTTAAGTCAGTGAACCAATTGACAGATAATATCTAGGTGAGGGCCTCTGGGTTGCGCTAGAATGACGGTGGTGAAGAGTAGAGGTTGGCGTGCCGGCTTGAAGAGATGCTATCTTGTTGTTCTCGGCGGGGATGTGTCTACTGACGGCGTAGGCAGGCGCCGACGTACAAGACGTACCCCAGCATCAGAGTGTATGGACATCGAGCATCAGCCAAGGTATGGCGCATGGCTGAATGAATACTTGTATAGGTTGCGAGGTGATTCAATGTTAATATTTCGGGGTTGAGTCAACCTACTACTATACGGGATAGCATCACTCTTGATTGTATCTACCTGCATTCAGGCGCTCACTGATTCATTATCATGGAAAGCAAATAGGCGCTCGACATGGTACATACCTCCAGCACTAGCCTAGAAGATAGAGAAGTAAACGAACATAACTCCTGGTATAAGAGAGCTTAAGTAGAATTCGTAGCAAGTTCAAGATGATCCTACAACTCAGACGTCTGCCTGACGCTTCGCTACGCATGAGAATCTTGAAACAGGGACTAATCAGGCGTCCTTGACACGTCCCACCGAGAGATTCCCGTATCCCAAAGGGTCTCAGCATCATGCGCTCAAAGCTCATCTAATGAGATTACGTCTGAATCCTCACACACCTCATCACGAGAGACTCGCCACACCCGTATAGTAATTCGACCAACGATCAAGCATTCACGCTGGAACAAGAACTTGATGAGATTACTTCGAGAAGTTTCCAATCAGACAATGATCTCCGAAAAAACATAATGAACAGAAGGAAAATGTATCTCAACAAGCTACAGAACAAGCTACAGCAGTGGTATCGCCAAAGACTACAAGCTATACGACCCCGAACTATTTCAATGTCAGTTGTATCGACTCTCAACTCCCATCACGACATTGTCTTGTCTTGTCGACTACCCACTCACCTACGTACCGATGCGTCCAAGGCCGCAAGTTCGTCTACGTCACGGCGCCCCCCTTCTTTCACCACATCCCTGTTGACTATCCAAGACCTTGCAAGAATGAATGATTGACAATTGCCGCAATAAGCATCGTAGATGTGACTCAGTTAGGATTCCGGAATATGTTTGCTGTCTTGGTGGCGGGAAAACTAGCCGTGCTAGGGGCCGTTAGCGGTGCAAGACGTTGTGAGCCGCTGCTAGATGCCGCGATCCGCGCCGATTTCTTAGTGGAGCTGTCAGAAGTACTGGTAGATATGGGAGGAGTGGGTGTATTTGACTGTTGTGAAGAGCTTTCACATTGATGATTATGGAAACCTACGGACGCAAGATGGAAAGATGGATGGCACTCTGCAATGTGCCATAACAACGAAAAGTGTTCCTCCCTAAACGATTCGTGTTTAGATGCGGGGTCTCTCTGTTTGACTGATTGAATCATCCATCTACCTACATGCGTGTGTATGTGGGCACCCTGGCCGCAGAATATCACACCGACTAACACAGGCAGGACAGCTTCTGCGCCGTCTCAAACATGATATCCTGCCGACCCATATCCGAAGAGTTTACTGCAGAGGACACAGTAGCTGTGCCGTTGCCCTTGCCCTTACCAAAGCCTAGAGATCTTATTCAGACCAGACGAGATGAGACGAAACCAATCGTGCGTACCTCGTAATCTCCTCAAGTCGTGTCGATGTAGATAGCTGAATACATTGTCAAATAGTAAGAGCTTCCTGCGAAGGGCTGGTAAGAGAAAAGTAGAGTCTGATTTCTTTGAACTGTGTTCGGCTGCTCACAGATCTGAGATATCATACTCCACACTCCGGAAGCGCGTTTGCTGCATCCTACTGTCCATGTCACAACCGCATGTAGTCGACGTCAGAGGCACTTGCCTATCTGCAGATTTCTCCAAAGTCTCATGTATCGAACCGAACCAATCGTAAGCCCAGCCATCGTTTGCCATGGCATACCCAGCCGAAGAGAGAGAGAGAGCCGGAGCGAGAATGAGAATGAGAAGGAAATGCCAGCAGATACTGCTCCAGCACGAGTAGGTATATATTTCCTCCCCTCCCCCTATAACCCCCTCCCCTCTTAAACTATGGTCGTGCAACGGCCATCTTCGTCAACTCAACCATTTTCAGTGTTCCCTTCTACTCTACACACCACGACATCAATCGAAGTTCTCGATGGTTCGCTAGACCGTCGACTTGCCTACCTTAAATTCCAAATAGTCAATGATGTGCCTTGGTGAGATGTAGTGATCGGTGATGATAGATGGTTCTTTGTCCATAACTAGCCTCGTTTCGATGGTTGTGGCTACCATTCGAAGCAGTTCAACAGAAGCCATCCAGTTACCATCGCTGGTCTTTTCGATGGTTGTGGCTACCATTCGAAGTAGTTCCACAGAAGCCATCCAGTTACCATCGCTGGTCTGGAACTCGTATATGTTCCCATCTGGAACACTGATGTTCAGACTCATCCCCGACTCCATGGCTTTAACTACTTGTCCCTGGAGGCTAACACGGAAGTCGAAGGCGACTTGGAAGAGAGGGGTTGATAGTGAAGACCTTGAGAATTCCAACCTCTTGAAGATGACGTCCAACGGTACCTTGGCGTATCCTTCAAGGATGACTTGCAAGTTCTAACAAGTATCTCTGTGAATGTCTGCTCCGGGCCGACCATGGGCAAGATGTTTGTGAAGAGCCCAATTGTGTTGGTGTATTTGCTGACCCCTCTTCCGGCATTGATTAGACCGATGCACATCTATGTGAGAGAGCCAAAGTGATGCAGGAGGGTTAGTATTGCAGAGAGATAGCTCGGTGTTCGATGATTATTAACTTTATTCTTCTTGCTGTAACGGCCGGAATTTCTAGAGTACATATATGACTTCGATAGCTGTCACGGTGTCGCCAAATCGTTTCTTGCGCCAATGGTAGAAGCAGTGTCGGTCTTGGGGCGCGTACAAGACTCTGCTCCAAATACTGGATAGAGCTCTCTAACCGCCTGCTATCAAGCTCCTGTTGCTGGTAACGGCTGAACTCCAGATAGCTACTTGTTTTAATGGCTGCATTCGATACATCTGACTCAGTCCTTGTAGTAGAATATGCTAACTCATACCATCCATAATTATATGATGACAGCCGAAGGTGAAGTTATGAAGCTCCGGTGAGTGACTGATCAAGATACTCTGGAAGGTATCACCCCGAGAAAGATTCCATTCCCTTCTGGAAAGTTTCTGAAACTGCTCATCCGCTAAGCCTTCTGATCCAAAAATAAGTGTATGACGACCTTTAGGAGGCATGCCAAATTGACGAGGACAAGGCTCTCCAGCGCCCTCCCAAATACGTATGCGATATATTTCGTGACGGCTTCAGATTCTGTTTAGGGCATTCCCAAATCGAGATTGATCGAGGTTACCTCTAATTCTGTATTACGCGGTAACATTGAAGCATGTCTTATCCGTCAAAATCGACTGGAGAAGATAAATTCCCGCTTGTGCCTACGATAAGGGTGACTTAGATATAACTGTGCACCCAGTATCGTACATCTTAGTATTATCAGGGCCATTACAGTGGTGAGCTGCTGACACACCTTCGCCCAACAAAGGTTCTTCATAGGACAATCTATCCAGACCAGACTCACACCGTAACAAATAATTCAATGGGACTGATTGAATATTCGTATTGTAAATGGTGATGTAGATTGGTAAGTTGGAAGTTTGGTAGGTGGCCCGAAGGGCTAGCTATTTACATGGCTATATAATGTAATTACGTATAGGTCTGTACAGACCCCCTACGCAACCGTAGCACACACGGATTCCATCTGCCATCCTTACATGGGCATACTGCCTCGACCCGGGAGAGCCGTAAGCCCTAAGAAATAGAGCATTAGTTCTCATCGTTCCAAGAAGGTTCATGGAAGCAAACTACTCACATCCGTCGATGTTCTCATTGACAGTGTTCTTGATGGTGCACTGGTTGGCCTTGTCGACAGACTGGGTGGTGATGCCATTGCTAAGCAGGGCCGTGGAGTCCATGGCGCGCTGGAGGGCGTCGCCCTTCCACCCGAAGACGTAGTCGCCGTGTGTGCCGTATCCCTATAAGAAAAGATTTATTCAGCCGGGGTAATTACATAGGGGATTGCAGTGTCGGAGGGAATGACTCAGGAGACAATATGACTTACCTTGCTATCCTCGTAGCTCCATACAAATGGTTGCGAGCCATCGGCAGGCCAGTCGGCCTTGTTGTTGAACTGGCGCGTGTCCCACATTGTCTCGTACGCCAACTGCGGCATCCTTACAGGGTGCGAGGCCGGGCATGCTCCCGCTGGGGTGAATGCGCCCCTGTTAGTGTTGTACATGTGGTCCTGGTGGTTAGGGCTGTCGAGGTTCTTGCCGTCCCAGCACCTGCGAGCAGGCGGTCAGCACGGGCCGGAGACCAATAGAGAGGAAGGGGATCAGCGGTCCACTTACGCAGGGAAATGATGGATGGCCATGATACCGGCGGGGCACGCCTGCTTTGGGAACTCGGCCGTCTCGGGGAATCGAGTGTTGACGTTCTGCAGACAAGTATAGCGGAGTCCCGGGTTGCTGCCGTCTTTGGCCGAGGGCGTGCCTACGGTCATGCGGAACCCCTGAGCATGTTAAGCTGTTGCTTGCTCTGACCAGCGCTTGCGAATTGCACTCACCTTCTTGAACGCCGTGATCTTCTGGTTGCCGTTCGAAGAAAAGTCTTGCTGGATGTAGTAAACCGTCATGCCACCCTTGATATTACCGAGTAGCGAGTTCGGATACTGGGGCACGCGCTTGTATGTGCCATTGCGAGCCTTACTGGTATATGTAAGTGCCGTTCATCAAGCCAAGTCTTGTCATCAAGTTACACCTAGGCAGCTTATGAAGATGAAATTCACATACTGAAGAAAAGTCAGCACAGACAACAACGTGTTTAGGAAACGGATACATACCAAGTACATCACGGCCGTCCAGTAGTTGCTGAAGTCCTCAGAGAATGTGCAAGTCGTGCAAGTGGCGCGCTCAGCAACATCGGTCTTTGGGTCCATAGTCGCATTAAAACCGTTTCCTCCGATGATCTGATGCAGATGGGCTGAGGGAATGGCACCTGGTTCAACGAGGGGATCAAGACGCTGGACGCTGAGCGTAGCACATCCGAATCGAAGGTATGCGTGAGAAGGCGTGACAAGCGCAAGGCCTTGAGCAAGGAGTGTGACCTTCATCGTAACGGTATTGAGGTGCAAATTGATGTCGATGTTGATGATCTGTCCAGGATAGTTGCGATTCACAAGCACGCACTATTCAAGCAGAGCGAGAGGGCATCGATCATCATATCTACAAAATACCCGTTCATCATCATAATGATCAGAATGCGGAATTTCCTTGTGCCGCGTCCGTCGATAGAGTAGTGCTTCTTCTGAATTCATCCAGAGGAGAATAATCAACATCCAAGCTCAAGGATCAATGACAAGGTTGCACACTCAAAACATATACGCATCGCCCATAACGACACGGCAGTTAAGTGATTGGGTGTCGTTGTTCATACCCGGGACCGTGTTTTTCCGAACGCCCGGATGATCCTTAGATACAACTCACTCGAATCAGCCGGGAGATGGCACTTGTGTCCCGACTCTGAGTCGATATCAAGGGAATGCTGGACTAACGATAATCCGTCGTAATTGGCGTCTTCGAGCTCGAATATGTGTATTATCACGCAAGACAAAGAGAAGGGTGAAATCTGAACCCGTATTCTGTTTCCTTGCAAATGGGGAGATTAGCAACTCCTGATGGACTGGAACACCTGTCTGCCTACGCAAATTCTATACGCATTTGACAGTGCTGCGGCGAGAATCAACTCTTTAGGCAAACGCCTTGTATGTTGAACTGCCGGCTTGGCGGCGGTGATGCTGCGTACCGGGCCGCGGCGCCAAGTTGGCCACTGGACCTAGCAAGCCAATAGCGACGACGACATCCATCAAGTCGCATCTTCCGACTGCCTCATCATATAAGAAAACACTGTATCAGATACCGAAACAAATCAACATTGGAAGTATTAGTTATAGCCAGCTCGATTAATTCCCGCCAGGACATAGTAGTCGAGAACTTGTGCCGGTTCTACTTTACAAGTGATGATTTGGTTCTACTCCTACGCAGCCACGCGTGCTGTAGTGGCAACTTTGGCCCTCGCTCAACCTAGCAGCGCATCCATGACCTCTCAAACCATCTCAATCCTTGGCCCCTTTGTCAAGGTTAGATAGCTACCCAACAGTCCATTTGCGAAGTTTACTATTTATCTTAAGATAATTGACCAGTCCAGCCTGCTTTGGCCAGATCAGCTCGATAATCACCTTTGCTATAACTCCCCTAACCCAATACTAGAACTACTACTCTACACCTTGGATGCAGGAGTCTTCGCGCCTAATTATTCCCTAATTCGTAGACAAGTAGTTTTGGAAAGGTTTACAAGAAAGTCGATGGAAGACACAGCATTTCCGTCGCCCACAGCGCAGCACAATAGTATGTCTTTAGCTGTGATTGTCCACCGTCATGTAGCAATCGAGATAAGGCGTGAGCTAGAAAATTTCACAGCGTAGCAGGCGGAAGCGGAAAGAAGGCCCAACACACATCACAAGAAAAGCCTTATAAAGCCCGTTTGAGAAAGGTAACAGTGTGATGCAGGATGGCGAGATTACTGGTAAGTAGCGCCCTGCAAGCTTCCCGTTCAATCTAATGTTTTAATCTAACGTTCAATCCGAGGCTGAGAATTGAAACATGTCCGAGGGACCATCGCGCGCAAAAAAAAGTAACACATCGGACCAGTTACAATGGTCCCCAGAGAAAGCCGTAAATCAGTTATGATGCGCTCCCCCGGCATCAGATCGACGGAACAGTTCGCACCAACACACGTCCATAGCCAGTGACGCTAATGGCCGCAAACTCGATGGCTAGGTCATGAATCATCACCCAGGTCCACAATAGCTCCCAGCGCTCGAAGAACCCATCATCATTGATGGCATATTAGCAATCATCGAGGTCCCCATTGTAAAACTGACCTAACAATACCATCGCATATAAGAAGGTGCAAAACAAGTTACAAGTGAAGTGGTGCATTCAAGTATATTGCTTCATTATATTTTCTGTTTTATTACCTTTCCAAGTTTGTCTGTTGAACTTCTCGTTACCACCCATCCTACCATCCCAGCCATGTCTCGGTCATTACTCACAAGAGCCTTCAGGCTCTCAGTTCACAGAACAACAGCACAAGCAACACCCATTTTTCAATATGCACAGAGAACAATGGCTAGTCAAACCCTCAACTCGGGTGTCATCTCCAATATCACTGCCAAAGAGAAGGAGATTACCGGTGCAGATGGTCCTGTCAAAGGAGGCCCCACGGCCCAGGCCCAGAAGCATGCAAACCAGAGAATAACACCCCAAGCTGTTTCCGACATCACTGAGGGAGAGAAGCGCGTGACTGGAAAAGACTCCCCGATCGCGGGTGGTCCAGCTGGCGTGGCCCAGAGCATTGAAACCTCTGCTGTACGTTAATCTTGAACAGTTGACTTCTAGTGCCCAATCCTGTTGTTCTCTGACGTGCATAACTCTGCAACATTTCCTCGTATTCCACGAATCTCATTCTCTTTTTCTAGTCCCAGAACAACTCTACACCTAGTGGCACACTCGACTCTGCCACCATCTCGCACATCACATTTGCCGAGAAGGAAATCACAGGCCGAGATGAACCCACAAAGCGCGGTCCGACAGCAATGGCTCAGAAGCATGCGGGCGAGCCGATCAACAGTCAGAACTTACATGATATTACTGAAGGCGAGAAGAAGGTCACCGGCGGTGAGCCCATCAAGGGTGGGCCGACCGCGACGGCTCAAAGTGAGCTTGGGAAGAGTCGCAACTCTTAGGATGCTTATTTTGGCGGAGGGTACAGTTGATCGTTGCACCGGTTGTCATGTTCCCAGCCATCATAAGTCACCATTCCCGCAAAGCAGATCAAGGCATAAAGGGATTACCCTATCGCCTATTGATTCCTAGCATATCCTCTATAGCTCCAAGGAAAGATTGGTTAGCAGGTCCATCGTTTCAGGAGCGGAGTGGAAGGGAAGGGTAACATTAATAAGGGATATTGTCCAGAGCAAGAATAATCTGCTGTAGATGTCCCTTAAGCTAGTAAACATCTTTAAATAGATGTACCTGCCCAGTCAATAGCAACATCATTAAAACATGTAACTCCAATTAATATCTTTACCCCTATTCCTGACTGTATGTTGCACATTTGTTCCCATTGAATGGCTTCCGAAGTGGCTTGTGAACACATTAAGAATGGCTACTAGCATAGATTTCGCAAGCGCAGAACGAATTATCATAAAAAGTAGAGACATATACAAGACAAGCAGAAGACAGTTGTGTTCAAGATGAAGAGAGAAGAACCAAGGACTCAAAAGGTCCCGGGGGAATCTAATGATAGCATATAGCTAAAGGGTTAAGTGCACCCTAATCCATTTATTCTAACAGTAATAAACGCGCTGCAATACATTACCACCTACTGTACAACACCTTACTTCTGATTTGTATGCCACTACCTTTGGCCCACGTGTGATTTTTGCTGATATCCTGGCAGGGAGATGATATAGAACGCCCCGTCTACTCCCGCTAAATCGTCCGAGAAATTACAAGAACTGTCTACCGACTTAGTTTGCTCCTTCGAATCCTGGGCTCGCCGTCGCTTATTAGGCTTGCGGGCATCCGGCGTTGGCCGGGGCATGTCAAGGAGCTGTGAGCGCTCGAAATCAATCAGCATAACACGCCCCGTCTGCGGATTGAAGAGTATGTTTTCATAATGGGTATCGTTATGAACCACTCTCCGTTGGTGGATTTCCTTGATTGTCTCCACCGTCATACGCTGTAAAGTGGGCTTATTCTTACCTAGACCCAGGCCGTCTCTTAGACTGAGACCACCCCAGGACAGAAGGGACAAATGCACAATGTCGACGCGGAAGTCGTAGTAGTACGTTCTGTTTAGAGCCCGTAAGTTGATAGCGCCTAGGAAAACGGGTATGTGGACGCCTTGTATGTCCTTAAGCCGTTCGTAGACTTGGGCCTCATGCTCTAAATCGGGGATAAACGCTTGTACTGTGCCCTTGCCAACAAAGGTGTAGCCGTATGCGAGGAGCGTGACTTTGAACAGGGCCCCGCGGGTGGCGGTGATGCCCAGGGAGGAAATTCCGTAGTCGAGCGTGCGCTGCAGCTGGTGGGATAGTAGTTGGAGAAAGTCGGAATGACTGATGCAGTGGTAGTTGTCGATACAAAGAACGCTGCCATAGGTGTTGCGGTGTTGGTGTAATGTGAGATTGGGGCAGTCCGGGTCGAGAACGTCTCCCATAACCAACCCGAGAAAGCACTTTTGAGTGCAGTACGCTAGGTCCTTATAAGGCTTCCCTTCAAACTCGTTCCCGTCGCTATGCCGACTCCCACGGCCCCTGGTTTGGCCTTCTCTACCAGCACCCTCTCTGTTGTTTGAATGCCGTCCCAAAAGCCTAGCGCTCCGTCGAGTAGCTTGTCTCTCTGTGACGGTACCGGGTGATTTCCGACGATTTGGGCTTCTAACTCCTTCCCCCTCGATACTATCATCCTTATTACCCCCCAGTAGTGGGGGATTGCTGTATTGCGCACCGTTACACTGGAAGCGCAGGCTTTGGTAGGGCATAGTGCGGTCGACAGACAGATATACATTAGGGGTGTATGCGGGAGAATACTGAGGAGGCATCCTTTGGTTCTCTGGAACCTCGCTTGCTGCTGTTCTAAAGTCGGTCGTCCAGGTTTTCAACCCACTAATCGCTCGATCCCGGGCATCTTGCCCGCGATCCGAGTAATCGCTGAGAGCAAGTAGGTAGAAACCCAAGTACTGAGAAATGGCGGAGCAGGAGCGATAGCTATTATTATGAGCAGCAACTTCTTCTGCAGGCTCGGCGAGGTGGTAGTATACTGTATGAGGGTCATTCCAGTCGATCTTGAGAAAAACAATGCCCTCGCCCGTCGTTAAGAGCCCATATGCGAGGCCGGACTTCACCATATGATGGAATGCTTGTGTGATAGCCAAGGCAACCAGCTTAGTTGCGTAGTGGCGGAATTTGGCCTCCTCGTCTTTGGGGATCTTGTCATTCGTGACAACCTTCCTCATATCCAAGTCCCTGAGGCCGGCACGCAGCTGTGTAAGGGACAGCTCGTGTGGTGGTTTGTATTCCCAGATAGCAATAGTTTTTCTCTTCTCTGTTCCTTGCTCTTCACATCGATAAACACAAATCTGGTCAGGGTTTAACGTGGGAGGGTATTTGGCAGGATTTGGCGTCTTTAGAGGTTTCGTTACCTGCTCGGGTTCTTGTGGTTGAGCTGTTGGTTGTAGCTGTCGGTTGACAACTTCGTAGGAACGATCGTCGAGGGGGTTGATCTGGTTCTCAAATGCGATACCATGCCCAATATTCAACACCTTTTGAAAATCCCCCGACTTGCTTAGTTCGTGGATAATACATCGAACCGGATCCTCGATACACTTATGGAGAATAGTTTCTAATACCTTTTTATTCGTAAGGGGTCCTTTTATTACCTTTTGTCCGAGCGTGGCGAGATAATTCCGGTTATCGAAAACCTGCTTTCCGATGGGAAAGTTGAGATAAACCTTTTCAAGAATCTTGTGCTGCTCATCGAGGAAGTCATCCCACGGCCTGAGACGACGCGGGTAAAACTTGGCATAGGGTGGTAGGATGCTCCCAGTTGTCATCCTTGCCGGGCCCGGTTTGACCTTCAAATTAGTAAATACGAGGTTGTGACAGGCTTCGATGTACTCGTCGAGAGTTGTGGGCAGACATTGCGCCTTTGCTTTGTCAGCACGCTGCTCTTCTTCGCGTCGGCATTTTCGTGCTCTACCAACGCGCTGATGTTCTTCGCGTCGGCGTTTCTCTGCTTGCTTAGGACAGTTCTCCAGGTTTCGCAACTGGACCTGCAGTTCTGCTAATCTTCTTGATTCCTCCATCTGTGCATGCCACGGCGAAATGTAGTGTTGGGTTGCTTGGCGCGGGCAATTACGCACTACATGATGGGCAATTGAATTGACTGTATTGATGTTCCAGAGTTGTAGAGTAGAAGATCGAGATCATTGAAGGAATCCACCGGATGGGGCACAGCGTTAACAATTGAAGTAAGCGCTCACCTTGGCCCTGCTGAACCCGTTGAGCGGCCCACACTCACCAACTTGTTCACGATCTCAGCAGGTATTAAAGTTCCTCGAGGCGTATTTAGTTTATAGAGCATTCCTGCGGTAGTCATTTTCTTCTTAGTAAAGGAACTATGTTGTAAGTAGTGGCTACTAATATGTAACGTGCTAACAATTCTGATGAGTAGTGGGACTGCAATACGCCTCACTCAGCTGCTCGTGCTGTCTGAAGGAATTCGAATAGAGAGTTCGCGGCACCATTTCGCAGTGCTTCAGCTGTTTGGAAACGTCAAACCCGGAAGATGTTGTCGAGAAGCGGTCCTGAGTCCGCCATGTTAGGTATTATGAATTCCTGAATCTCATCGAGAGTGTCGATTGTTCGTTAAATTTCGTTCATTTTCCCTCTCTTTCGACTATCTGATTTTGGGAGCCTCGTATCAACTAGTGGGAGTGAAAACGACATTGGCAAATCTACAATATAAACATTCTTCGCCTGACCGGAGTACGCCTCCTACAGGAGCTTGTGCATCTTAGGCTCCATATGTGGGACGAGCTTACCAATGTTCACGATCTGCTACCCCTCGTTCAAGCACATGCATGATTTGACTCTTATGGAAGTAAGCATAACTATCGGTGACCATTCGAATATCCTAGACACTATCCCTAGATTACCCGCTCCTTGACTCCACTTATGTCTAACATTTAAAGATATGCAGGCAATATTGGAAAGTGAGGTTATATAGACTTCGCTTCTTGAAATAGACCCTTGAGACCTAGGCAGTCTAGGCTGGCAGACCAGTTGTATATGGAGTCAAGTCAAGCCACCAGGGTCAAAAAGGGGTTGGTTAGTCAAGGATTCATGCAGCCCTAGTTGATCACTGTAATCTGAACGGCATCAAGTTCCAAGCCCAGATCTTTGCCCTTGTTAAATACCTACTACGCCTGCCAATCTCTACCTAGCCCGGAGAATTCTAGCAGGGGCATTTGTTACCTTAGAGAATCTAGAGGAGATGACTCTTCGCTTCAGTCCTCTATGCAGCTTGTTCCTCTACTTCATCCCAATCATTGGACACGAGTGGCATCCACTTCAACCCCGCGGTTTGGTGTGTCCTGGTTAGATCGGGCGCTCCCGCGGGATAGCTGCCGAAGAGCCTTCGCTTGCAGTTGAAGATGTCGGTAGTCGAATTGAAAGCCACCAAAACATCTGCAAAGGCGAACAATTGACGGTCTACCCAACTAGGCGATGAAAGTAATGTGCCCAATCTCCTCATGCCTAAGCCCTCATCATTCCACCCGCAATCAATTGACGCCTAGACTGGTGTGCGCGCTCCCTATCGTATCTTCACTAGACCTACTCTGCTACCAAGCTTGCCCTTAGACGTCAAAGGACCGACATGCTATTTCGATTTTGATGTGCATATCGTGCTTCTTGGGCGGGCCGTGGGCGGGAATCATCGAGCTTGGCGACCTAGTGATCATTCCGCAATATTCAACAGGCGAAGGCTCGTCAGCCTACAATAACATTTTGACACTGATGCTCATGCGGGCATTTTAAGATGTATTCATACAACTCATTCCCTGTTACCAGCGGTATTCGACTCAGTAGATTAGGACTTACCCAAGTGACGCGAGCTCACATGACTACGCGTATCCCTGCTATGCTGTCTTGCCGAAGTAACACCTACACGCATATCCTTATTGATTTCGTTAACATTGACTGATGAGTCACGCGTTGAAGCGAGATTTGCAAAGCAGCCAGCCTGGTTTCATGATACCTAAGAATTCTTATAGAGGGCTTAAACTTAGTCAAATTCAGCCAATAACTCTCAAGGGTTCTCTAGGGCCTTGGTCTCATTCTCTCCTTTTTCTTCTTCAATGTGGGAGATGACTGGGCTGTTTCCTATCTATACTTTTTACAGTCTAGAACCTTCTTCCGTCTGTTGGGCTTCTTGGCTTACTCTTGGTTTCAGCTGCATACAACAAGTCACCTCATGACTCCATATATCCAATCGCTTATAGCCTCACTTTCTGTTGGACGTAAGTGGGCTATATAATAACCGTCAGACTTCGAACGTCTAACGGCGTCGTTTTTGAACGTTCGAGGCTTTCGCAAAGGGCATGATTAGTTATCATTAGCTTAGGGGGTATTAGGGTCGTCCTATTGCTTTATATAAGGTTGTGCCTTCCGGCTTCCTAATCATCTCTTCCTTTTCCACCAAAATCACACGTTTCGATCATTCAACAATGGCAGCACTTTGGCGTGTACAGGACGAGTGTTCCCAGACTCGACGTGATAGGTATGGCATTCGTGTGACGAAGGGGAGTGGGTTCAATTTTGGAAGATCTGAATATCTGCGTGATCCGCTCATAGAAAATTTGGCAGCCCCGAGCTATGGCCTTTTATCTTGGCATATAAGAATAAGGACGTTGCATATCGAGAAGCCAACAAGAGGGTACGGCAAGGGAGACAGGATGTTACTGCTGTCAAGCATCGTAATACAAGGCCAGTGGTACAATAGAGTGTCCTAAAAGTCACCAGGATGTATCCAGAAACATACCTACCCCAATGTTAACTACTGATACAGAAGTGAATGAATATGAGTCGTATTTCTGAGACCATCCACGCCTAAAAAGATACATAGCCTCTACGCTCCTTCAGCAGACATTCAAGCGATTTCAAGCACTTGGAATGGGGCGATCGTGGAATGAAACAGATTGAGCTCAACGAAAAGCCAGAGATAAAGGCAGCGCGTGGTCCTTGGTGCCTCTTGTGAGGATATCACCAATCATTATTCATCGCCTAATGAAACTCCGAATCCAATGTTTGACTAATGCCTCTCACTCCACCACTTCACTACTCTGTGAACAAAAGCGAGACGATGGCCAAAGTAACTAAATTCAGACGTGGGAGCTTCAGCTCTTTATTGGGCGAGTACTAGTCGCCAGTTGCCTTAGGTACAGTACATGGGTATTCTCGATCGAGGGTCGGCGCTATCAGAGCTATGGGTCAGAAGATGAGAAGATGACTGCGTCAGAAGCCGCGTTTGAGATACCTGTTAGGTTATGATTCATCTCATATCAATTATGAAAATAAGCTGCGTTAGATACGCTGAACAGCAGACGTAACTGGCCATGGCTATCTGTAAGATGCTTCACCAAGGTTGACCCATTCCCTCGGGATCCTGTGTTGTGGAAAAGCAGATAGGTGGTAATTGTCACATGACCTCGCGAAGTATGTCTCTATCATGCAGTCAAATATGTTTGGAAGAGAAGATAATAATCACTAGGTAGGTGACGTCTCGGCTCCTTCTCAACCCCTGGTGCAGATCATTGTCTGTTGCAGAACTACCTGCAGCACCGAACAACCAATATATTGATCTCCCAACGTCGCTATCATGATCAAGGAAAGCCGTCGAGTAGGTAGCAATAAATATATACTAGTGGTTAATGTACATATACCTTCTTCGTTTCTGAACTAACAATACATACACTCCTCCAACCACCAATGAGAACTCATCTCGTCGCCCTCTTTAGTAAACCGCCGATGACTCGGGGATTACCGTACACAGTCGTGCAGCCTTCTTCCTTCACTTGAACCATCGAACTGCCCTCGCAATTCAGGCCCGGCTCCAAGATAAACGCATTAAAAGGCGAGAGCAGCCCACCCGCCAATCAGGCAGAGTCCCCCGAGCGGCGTGACAGGTCCTAGAAAGCGGAACCGGGCGGGATCCAGCACAAGGGCGTATATACTACCGCTGAACACTGCAGGAAAGCCCGCATTAGAATTGGGGACTAGGGCCGGGATAAAGGGACATACTCGTCATGCCCGCCGTGAGCAGACCGGCCGCAAGCTTATTCTCAGGTGCAGCGCGTGTCGCAACGAGGAGGGCCACGGAGTGGATGAGCTAAGATGGAGAAAGGTGTCAGCAAGTTTCCATGAAGTAATGATACTTCATGTCTGGTTTATGTAGGAAATCCATATTTTGGTTCCTTCATAGTTTTCATGAAGGAACATCCCTCGAGTTCATGACAGTCTAGCTAAGTGGCTCTTCGCCAGTGTCCGACAAGGAGTGTTTACACGATATAGTCAGAGCGGAACACGCAAGAGTACTCATGAGGCATCGTATGTAACACGTAAATAAATCCTTAGGTAGTGAAAGCAATCGTGTTCAATTGCACGTACCTGATAATGGGCCGCGGTCGTGAAGCTGGCAATCTTAGCGGGATCCGTGACGACCTTCTTCAGCCCGTGAGCTCCGAAGGCGCCGAGGCCAACGGCGGTGGCGCCATATATGCAGCCCAGGGTCCAATACATGTTCTTCTTGACCGATGATACCGATGCTGATCCAGAGGCGGGGAGAAGCGGGCTCGATTCGTCGGACATTTTTCAGATCGGCCGAGAAGCGCTTTGATATATGGCAACTACCATCATTCAAAGTAGGGGTCTTACCTACCTTTGGTAGGTAAGTATATTAGGTAAGTATATTGGCGCGCTGTGGCGGTGCACGGCCTGGCGTATTCCACCCATCAAACAACCAGACTTTCAATCCTTGTAAGTCATGATGGCGTGCGTCGACGGTATAGCCAAGCGAATGGCGCAAGCTCATTCTACTATATAGATAACTAGACCGCTGAGGTTCTGAAATATCATGAAATGCAGTAGAAGCCTCATGGTATGGCAGCTTTCGTCGTGCCTCCTTATTGCAGAGGTTATCTTGAAGCTTAAATCCGACCAACTTCTTCAACAAATATTGATAACGTGTTTTGCACATAGTTAATTCTCTCTTCCATCGGTTTATGTAGTTCTGACTACTGATAGTTCCAAGTCTCCTGTCCTAACGAGCTACGTCAAAAGAGCTCTGGTCTTTTGGTTATCTCCGCTTAATCAGGGTGATGGTAAAGATGCATATTACCTTAACTTCTATTAGGTTCTCGCGCGTTGAAGCAAAACTAGGAAATTGGCATTGACCCTCAAAGCGGTCGTCAGGCCAATATCTCGTAACATCCGATTGACTTCGTGATCCGCTTCATTTCCTATGTGCTTCGCTTAAAGACGGACACTGTTAATGTATTATCATTAGCCTGCGCTCATCATTGTGCCCAATACTAGAAGATGTTTGGGTTCTTAATAGCTCAGATAATAGGTAGCGCGAGCACATTTTGGGTGGAAATACTTGCGACTACTCTATCTCTGGATCTTTGGGTATTTATAATAGGTATTAGGTATAATGAGTATCATTATACAGTAGATAGCAAACTGCGGGCGTGAATTAACAAGCTAATTACCCAAGCTCATTTTTTGTCATTCATCATCACTCTGGATATGTCATCATAAAACAACTGGTCAGGTGAAATCATGCCTTTTACAAAATCCATTTTCACTAGGCTCACTCTTCAGCGTGTGGGGAGCGGAATATTTGATTCGTCATTGAGTAACCTCTGTAGGTAATCACAGTATTTGAATGGCATAGCACGCGTCTTCTGATACTAAGAAAAGGCGCAGGCTGTTACGCACCTTTCTGTACCCTTTCCTTGAATATGTACTAGCCGACCAAACTCGGAGGTGATGTTTAAATTTCTAAAGTGTGGAGGACGTGCTACTATCAGGATCCGACCACGAACTATAATCATATGAATTATTTGCTGAATTTTTCTGATTAAGTGGGATTTTGTATTCCCTTCTAGGTAGCGCACGCACATGACAAATCCAACGACCACTAAACCTACTGCCGTGGTAACATGTCCCCTAACGCCCAACCATGCAACCTAGGTCCGGCTCTAAGGAATTATGACGTGCATCGACTCAGATGATACTCAGTTGAGCGTGATGCCAGACTTGAGTTTTGACGTTATATAGGGCCGGTGTTTTCTATTAAGAAGCGAAGTGCTGCCATCTCATGAGAGCAAAAAGTTTCTCTCTGTGAAGGATGAAGTTCTTTTTGTTTTAAGAGGGAAAGGTGTAGGATGATCCAATAAACACGGAAATCTTTAGGAATCGCTTATTCCTCTTCATTATGCTCGATGAGGGTTATGATTGGCTTGTCGCCCAGTAGAAGTGTACCTTTAAGGTTGATGATGTCAATCATGAAGAGATAGCCCATAATATGTGCCTCGGAAAGCTCGACAAGCTTTCCCGCAGCTGCGGCAGTGCCTCCTATAGTTGGCATTAGTATAGTGCTCCGATAGAAGGTATCAACGCGGCTCGACCAAACGCGTCACCCTGATTTGGAAATCACAATATTTTCGGGAAATAAAAGCATATAATATGGCAACCCGCCATAGGGAGCTTGCAACGAGTCTTTTCGATAGCGCTCTAGTCACCATACTACTCTTCAACTTTACGGGACTGCCCATAAAAGTTCAAGTGTAAATGTCGAGCATTGCTTCGTGCTTAGCGAGGTAACGCATTACCTTCTAACGCGAAGGCATATTGATATTGCCAGAAACGGTGGGTAAGGGGTACGCACGTGACATAACTCTCGAAGCTCACCCGAGGCATAGGGTAAGTGTGATTAATAAATTGATAAAACATGCGGCATCGGCCATGTGACAGTGCATTGACATGAAAACAACAAAAACCAAGCAAAAACACAAAAGCAGAAGCAGCTGTTTCAAGGTAGAATCATGTGTCAACTTACCAGTAGCAATGATATCGTCCACAATCAAACATTGCTGTCCAGGCTTAATAGCACTGGTTTGAACCTGGAACTCATCCTTGCCGTATTCCTTCGTGTATTCAACAGTCCTGCAGGCACCAGGCATCTTACCCTTCTTGCGAACCGGCACAAAAGGGCGATTGAGTCGCAAGGCGAGAGGTGGCCCAAAGAGGAAACCGCGGGCCTCCAGACCCACGATGACATCGGGTACCTGACTGCCGAACCGTTCTCGGATTAGAAGAACGAGAACGTCGAGCAGGGAGCTGAAGGCGGCAGGATTCTGAAATATGGGGAGTATATCAATGAACTTGATACCGGGAATCGGGAAGTCGGGTTCGTATCGTAGGTTGTCGATGACGAGCTGCTTGGCCGTAGCGAGTTTCTGTTGGTCCTCTGAAGTGAGAGCGCCTATCGGTTGACTGGCGAGTTCGGCGGCACCGGGGGTGGAGGAGGAGGGCTGTCTTCGCGAGGCATCGAGAATGGTAGAGGGGGAGCTTCCTGGCTGGTGCGAGTTGGTGGCCGAAGTCTCAACTTGGTTGCCGTCTGAAGGGACTGGAGCGCTCATGCTGAGGAGGAAAGAGGAGGAGGGGTTTCGCGTGAGAGCGAGGGATGGCGCGGGCAATATCAGTGCCGCACGGCGGGTGGCAGAGTTAGAAAAATTTTGGGGGGTGTGGCACAATCAACAGATGCGCACCAAGGGGGAGGAGTGAAGAGAGAAACGAGACAAGCCAAGTCAAGTAAGACAGCTAAGCTAGGCAGGCAGATTTGGGTATATCGACCAGGTCGCGTCTAGGGTGGCCACAGCCGAGCGAACACACGCACGTACTATACAGGCACAGGGTAGGTAGGCAGGTAGGTAATGAATGGGAGGAGCGGGAGGAGTGGTTGGTGGAAGGGAGGGAGTGGTAGTGGTGTTAGTAACGACAGACAAGAGACGGTGAGAGGCGTCCGGGGGAAGAGGAACAGTATGTAGCGATCGGTCTGTCTGCCTGGTTGTCTGGGTATGTTTCGTAAGGCCGCGTCTGACTGTTGAAACTGGCCGGGGGCTTGGGGGTTGTCTGGAACCAAACAATGCAGCTTCAGCTTGGATGCTTACAGTAGTGCCGGTCAGGTTTTTGTTGAGCCTTAGAGGGGCAGGGCAGACACCCAAATCTAAGTGCGAGACGGGGTGATCGAGATAGTACAGGATAATACAGGACAGGCCAGGACGGATGCGGGAAAGAGACGGGAGGATTCGAACGTCTAGCACGGGCTAACGACAGCGAAAGGCGAGCAGAGGGCCAATTGAGAGCTTGTCACTCGTCTTGGTCGATAAGCAAAGGGACGAAAATTAGAGCGAGCGAGCGAGCGAACGAACGAACGAACGAGCGAGTGGGAGTGAGACGAGAAGTGGGTGTCGATGCTGCTTGCAAGGTACAAGACCGCAACAAGGCCGTACGAAGTACAAGACGGAGAGAGTAGGTGGTGAGCCTGAGAGTGCCAGGTGGGGCAGATGGATGTGCGCGGGCGATATTTCGAAGTGGGATGAAGTGAGTCGATGGCATCTCGAATTTTCTCCCCTCCCCCTCCTTCCTATCGCTCTTACCCTTGGCGGGGCTCTGTGATTTTTTTTTTTTTTTTTTTTTTAAATACACTTAAATAATTTCTTCCTTTACTCTCCGTCTTTCTCCCCCCTTCTTGCGTGAGGGCGCTTTACCTCCCTACACACATCCCATCATTACTAACCTAGTATCCTCTGCTAGTTGCTATAGTAGTGTAATTAATTTGCTACCTGGTGGGCAGAGTTTTTTTTTTCTTCTCTTCCTTTCCCACGCGTCTCAGAAGAGCTGACGAGCGGCTGCTCTAACCTGGTTAGGTAGATCCTTGCTTCCTAGCACGACATACCAAATCAGGAAGTTAACACCCCCGGCCCATGTCCGCGGGTTTATACAGATCTGATTCCTATTAACATTTCGTAAAGGCCCTCCACGTAATCCAGGCATAGCACTTTTATGGCCCAACAGCATCCCTAGTAAATTGTTTTATAAATTGTTTGATAACCTGCCTACTTCGACAGTAGTGAAACCAAGGATTTCATCATAGCATCAAGCCGGGTCCATCAACGTCGGGTGGTGTAGGAGGATGTAGCGCAGGCCCTTTTGCTGCCCTGACCGATTGAATGTACATAGTACTATGTATAGGTACTTACTAGAGGTAACCTTACTATGTATGTTGGCTCGCAAAAGCTTTTGCATGTATACATACATATGTACCTAGTAGGTATGTATGCACATGAATCAAGAATCTACATGTCTTTATACCTTTCGTAAGTATGTGTTAGTACTAGGCATGGTAGGCAAGGCTAGGCATGTAAGCTGTGCCTACCTAGATATTGTATTCCCTCCAATGCCCGAGCTACCTACCCATGTGTGGGCAAGTAGTGTAGGCAAGTATATCTGCTTCCAGCAGCGCAGAAGACATAGCTTACTACATATGTACCGGTATGTAGGTATAATGGAAATGGACAGGAATATGTAGCTAGCAGCCGAGCTTGAACTGTGAATGAATAGCTCGGCATGATGCCGTCAGATACGAAGAGCAATATAAACGTTATTGCTCCCACTCCACCCCATCTCTCCCTGGCGCGCAAAACGCACCACCGCGCACACCTGCATTGGCCAACGTCGTCCCATAAGACCTTTGGGGGGCCGTGTTGGTGTATGGCTACAATCAGGACTGACGGTGACTCCTCGTGGGTGCAATTGGTGGATGTTGCGAGGTGATGCCTCTACGCTAGCACCGTCTCATCAAGGGTCGACCCCACCATGTCGCGATGCCACCATACTGAACGAGACATAGGAGCCCTGCAAGCCGCCACGCTGTTGTCCTCGGCCGCATTGGGTCGCGCTGTTCGGTACCTATTCTACGTAGTATATGTACATACCTACATGTAGGCAGTTGCGTCAGTATGTACATGGAATGTGGTGTCGTGTACTGTAAGTAGTGTGTCATTTCTGCTGCTACCGATATGGCTAACCGTAGGAGACTCTGCGCCGCCAGGGTGTCTGCTCGAGGGGTCCGGAAAGGCGGTAAAGGAAAATCGCCAGAGTCTTATGTCGGTCGTTTCGTCGCATACTCCCCAGATGTAGCTGCAAAGAAGCCGAAGAATGGGGGATGCATGCGGGCCAATGCAGTGCAAGGCATTGTAGCTTAACCGGGTGCAGATGTTTTGATGTTGGGAACTCGACCAGGTCCGGCCAATTCTGGTCCGGTAGGTGTCATATTGGGAGCCGGCTGTTAGACTGTCTGATGTTTCATCCAACTCATACCTACTATACTATGTAAGTAGACCTTGCACAGTTCAACAAAGCCACGGCGGATTCCTATAATAGCTCGTGGGGTGCTTGTCTACATACTTATGACTGAGTAGTGTAGATACATGGAAAATCTACAAAATGAAACTCGAGTTCAATTTCACCGTAGTGAAACCGCGTTTTATTAATAAATAAGGCCGAATGGAGGTGTTGCGGTGAACCTAGTCGAGCCTTATTTGAAACTTGCCCACTTACCTACCTAGGTACTTATAGTATGTAGAGTATGTATAGACCGTACCCAGTTTCTACTGGTACTGACCCATCAGTCCGTGACTGATTCTTGATATCTTGAAGATACTAGCTCTAGTCTAAATGATCCATCACCTTTTTATAGGTCAAGGGCAGGATTCAAGAAACCAAGGGCGAATGAGAGTACGCAGGGACTGAATATTATTGGGGAGTCGAACCAATCAACAACTTTGAGAACTGTGGAGGTCAGTCAGTATCATTTTTGCTACAAGATTTTGTCCGAAACTGATATCACATCTCCCTGAGATGATTTGAGAAGCAGGATTCCGGGAAGGTGAGAAAAGACCACCAGAAACTGGCTAGGTAGGCTTTGGCTATCTGCAACGTGCTGCTTTGCTTTCTCTTACCTAGGTAAGCAGAGTATTCGAAGTACTTGCGTGCATTTACGTCTTACTACATACCTCATACCTCATGCTCATAGAAGTGTCAAAGTACACGACCTCAATAGCTACCTGCCTATCTCATTCCTGCGCGTACCTGGATACCTATGATCGACGGCATGGATGGCCAGGGCCTGTGTGACTAATGCTACCACGATACATGTCAGGGAGGTGAGGTGCTGTAGCTTGCTATGCAGAGGTACTTTGCTCTTGGTTTTTTTCACCCCTCCTCACCCCACACTCTGCCTCCCTCTCCCAGACTCTCTCTACATAGTATACCTAAGTTAACATCGTACCCAAAACTCGCCTATCCATCTGAGCTGTCTTACGATCGCCGATATACCTAGGTGTCATCAAGCATCATGTTGACCGATTCTTGATTCTCCCAGGTAGCTTACACGCGCAAATTCGACGTGGCACGTTTACGACCCCAGATTCTGCATTTCCTTACGTCTCGCAGTCAACGCGCGCAGAGCTTTCCTCGATGGACTGATTTATTGTATAGTAGGTAGGTAAGTGAGTATGCTTTTTCAACTGGACTCTATCCCGGTTCCGACAACGCCTCAATACTACCACCACCCGAAGCCGGACTGGGGTAGATAAGTAGGTAGGTATTGACCGGCGGCTGCACTGCTCGACAACATGGCCCTGCTTTGGCTGAGCTCTGGAAACCAGTACTGTAGGCGTCCTTGCATTACAACCAGCTATCTACTCCACAGTCAAACGAGACGCGACTCTTTAGGCAGAGAGCATTTTTATAAGTACAGATATTTGCAGTATCAATACCGCCCCGGTTGCTGAGGGGGCCCGGCAGGGGCTCGAACGCTCCAATGCCCGCCAGCTATCTGGTAACGACAACACCCTCTCCCAGTCACATTTCCCCCCTTCAACCTAGGTATCCCCGGTTCTGTCTGGACTCGCGGCCTGCGATCGTTCTTTGGTCCTGCTGCATCACCAGCCAGCCAGTGCATCCCAGGTGGCTGCTTCCTTACGCACTGCAACCATACCATGCTGCTGCTGTTATTACCCATAACGCGGCCTGTTCCCGCCTCTAGTCCATTCTGAATTCATCATGCTTCTCTAAACCGATGCAAGTGATCGTTGATGAGCTCCTCGTCATATAAGCCAAGCCAGCACGAGGCAGACACCATTGAGATATCGAGACATGCTGTTTGGCTAGCTTGGCATGCTGCCTGACTGTACACCCTCATCCCGCAACGATATGACTTGTTCGTAACTGTTCGCCGTTGTTATAAATATGTAGTTAGTCCCCCACCCTGTTAAAGCTTGCTCGGTGCAGCTGTCACGACAAGATAAAGAAGTACCGGCAATTGATCGACCTTGAAGCTCATTAATTTTGGGGCCAAAGCTCAGATTGCTCGATCATCTAGTTCGGTAGCAGCTGGTTATGCAGCATACATTATCGGCCCAGTAGATAGGATTCAGCAATAATGTTAACAAACTACGAAACTAACCAAAACTAGCTCGAGTACCTTCGTCAACTATCTTCCACGTACGGGCAGGACATATCAGCAAGACTGCCAAACTAGAGCCTTACATGTAGATGAAAATAGCTACGACAAAATGGGCAGAGGACCTCCGGCCGACATCGGTGAAGAGGCCCTCAAATTATCAACGAACCTTGAGTCACTTCGCCTAGTTACAATGTCGACTCAACACCACCCAACTCATATATCCACAAGGAAAACTCATTGAACTCTCTCACACTTTTGTGGGCCTATGCCATCTCAACCCTGACCCCTGTATAATGCGTGACATTCACCGAAATCTTATGCTTGACTAGAGGCTTCGCTATCTTCGTCTATCTCTCTCAAGTCGTTTCAAGGCGGAGCTTTATCTACACTAGCGCTGCATATGTACTTATTTCATGAGATGCCACTTTGTGGAGACATTTGTTTGTCCCAGATACACTATCTCCTATGTAAGATCGTCTCATTAAGTACTGATGAAGTCTGGACAAAGCCGTCTTTACCCGTTCTAGTCTCATCGTAGGGTTAACGAAAGGGGGAGGGGGGGCTCGGGCCTCATGGGAGTCGACAGCCTTTTGAAGCCAATGAAACAAGGTTGCCCCAGCCTTGTCACACCACGACATTCTGGAAGCCAGAAAGAACGCGTCGATCGTCTGAGCGCGAAACCAGAACCTCCCCCCAGTCAGCCTTACTACATATAGGTAGGTAGACCTAGGAAGACCCTGATGGCTCTTGACTGGTACCCCTTAAGCTAGGTGTGTGCCGAGAGTGCCCCTCCCAAGTTTTCTAGATCAGGCTATTCACGCGAGAATAGGTTCTACCTAAGTAAGTTGACAGGCCCAGCGTGTACCGGCTCGGGGAAGGTAGGACCGCATACCAATTGGTGGTCCCCCTTTTGTATACGCCAGAGCAAGGAGGAGGCCATCTCAATCCTGCGGCCGAATCTGGTTCGCTGCAGAACTTGTCCAACTTCGCGTTGCCAACGGATGGGTGTAATGGTACTACACCGACGCCAACTGTAACGAGAGAGAGAGAGAGAGGGAGAGAGTCCTACAAGTAATTCACTCCCACATGCTAACAAGCCTCATCCCTTCCTCCGTCCGCCCGTCCATCTTTTATGGCGAACTTTCAGCCAAGTAGGTATGCAGTATTTTATGCATGCTGCGTCGAAACCTCCACAAGCACTCCACCCCGATGCACAGGAGAACAGGTTTTACAAACCCTATTAGATCTGTTTTGATGGCTGTTATTCGATATGCTGTTCAGCCTCCACCGCGCCTTCTCGGGCGCCCCATGGTTACGTCCGTTAGGCCACAATCTGAGACTTTGCGCCTCTAAGTAGTTCCCCTTGCTCGCTTTAGCTCTATGCATTCGGGATGCAGATGTGAGTTTGCCGGCTGCACCATTGAGGACATTCACTCCGGCCCTCCAAGCTCACAAACCTGCAGTCGGGTGTTTCCGAAACAATTATATTATGATTAGGGATGGTATATCTAACTTGGCAATTCTAGATGGGGGTATCAATCGGCTGTGCATTGGGCATCTCTGCAGCACGTCGCCAAACCAGAGTAACAACAATGGCGTAAATAACAAAAAGGCAAGATCTAAAAACTTGAATATCACCGCAACATCTGCTTTCTCTCGTTGGGGGCTGGGGCAATAGGCAGGACAAGCTGAGCATCTGTATAGCCGCCAGGTAATCCACCCGACAATTTTTGGGGCCGTGATAGTGAGGGGATCACCGATTTGATTGGCCACTGCGAATCGAACGAGATGGAGAAATCACCCACTGCGGTAGGCTAATCTGCTCACAATTGGTGGACAACATCGTGCGACCATCAGTCGTCGTCTACAATACTCCACCGGCACCATATCCTTCTACTAAAAATGTAGTCGGATGATGGAGAACAGCATGTTTTGCAATACATGGAGCATAACAGCAACACTCGTGGGGAGTAGCTCGGGCCAAACCGCCAAATCCATACGGCCCTCGATGTTAGCATTGACGCCGAAGATCCAGCGGATAAGGCCTCTGAGCACGATGCCCGCAACTAACTCGCAAGCCCAGGTAACAATGGACGCAATTAGCGTGAGTTTGAAGTTATAAGGCTCGTCAGGGTCATCAAACGCGAAATATGGGTATACGTCCGTATTGGGTCCAAAGTGTAAGACCAAGATACTCCCCAGGAAAGTCAACATACTCACGTTCTCAGCAAGGAATCGAATGAATACGTTCCGTGTACAAATTTTCTGATACGAGCCGTAAGATTGGGCTGTTAGCCCTAGCATCGTAAGCGCTCGATGATACGTTTCGGTCATGGTTAACGGCGTCAGAATGATGAGGAAGCCCGAAGAAAGAGCCTGCAGCCAGATGAACTGCTGAGGTGATCGCAAACGGGCGTACAATGCTCGTACATAAGTTTGGTAGGTCAGCATGAAATATCTGTTGCGCGGTACATCAGTAAAGGTCTTGCACATGGGCTTAGAATGGATAAGCCGTCAGCTTGAAACTCAAAAACGTCTTACAACTTGAATATCCAGCTCAAGGGATAGCTGCCTACTCGCTCCCCCTCGTTACCACCGAGAATCCAGCCAGTCAGTAGATCTAACAGGTGGACGGTGATGACCCAGCTATAGACGTATACAATAGTCTCCCAACTGTTGTGCGGGAGGGTGCGCAAGTAGATCTCGGCATATGCCTCTCCTATCAGATATGCGAGCAAACTTATTGTTAGAGCCAAACAAAACCACACGAAACGAACAAAGCTCGCAGGCAACCACCGGCGCCGCTGCATAAACGCATTGGTCTGGGGTGGTGAATGCTCGGCGGCGATCTGCAAGGCGGCAGTGTCGGGATCAAGGGGCCCTGGGCCGAGTCCCCACCGTTGGCCGCGGCGGCTGCGTGCGTAGTCCCGCATCGAACCTCCGGTCTCACCGGTCCACCAGGAGCTGGTGAATATCCGCTGGGTTTCGGAGAGCGAGTGTCGAAGGCCTAGATGCCGCTCATTCGTCATTAGGATGCAGAAGGCAATAGCGACGGGCAACGCCATGATAATGAACGTCCAACTGATCCATGCGGTGTTGTGAATAGTTAGGAATCGGACCTCTGGGATAAGGTAGATGGGGATAGGCCCTGCGATTGAAAGGATCGCAATGAGGGAGATGGTCAGTGGAAACCCCAACGCCGATGGCCACCAGTTTAGCGAGTATAAATTAAAAACTTTGGTGATCCATATTAAAGCAGTAAGATTGTAGAACCCGTAGTAAACGAAGAGAAAGAACCAGAAGTTCACTTGCACACGCGCTTCACCGTGGCCGGGGATGCGATGGTTTGATAGTGGTGGACGACTCAGATCCTCAGGGCTGGCTGTAAAGAAGGTATCCATCAAGGTGTGCGGCTTGGAATGTGAAGCATCAAGCGGATATTGTGGGAATGGAACCGCGCACCAAGCCACTGCCTATGAAGTAACACTGTTAGCCAGATACAAAAGCATAGCAATAAACTTGAAGGTGCTGGGCTTGCTTTCGTCGTCCATCGTTAAATATCTTTGAACGCGTGAAGGTCAACGAATAGCACTCACCAAAACAGCAGGCAAGAAGACCAAGAGCCCCCAGCGACTCCACCAAGTCTCAACAACACGACGTACGGCGCCCTGTCTCGGCGCAACCCAGAGGTCCTCTACATTACGTTTCGTCTTCTTAGCGGTCCTGCGCCAAATCCTCGCCATCTGGTGGGCTCTGTTGTGTCCATCATCCTCATCTTCGTCATCGTCAGAGCTCCAGTCCCCAACGCCGTCATCGTCATCATCGTCGAGTCCAGCAGCGATCAGGGCACCATATCCGATATGCACACTGCCTCTCCCAGGGATCGAGAGTTGGTTCGCCGACGTACTGGACTGCCATCGTGACGAGAAGATGCTGCGAGATGAGGAAGGGTTTGCGCGGGGTGGAACCACGCGGAAGCGACCAAGTAGTGGTGAGGTGTTGTCGGCGCCATGAAGGCGGGAACTGGCGGCGCTTGTTTCGGTTCCGGGGATGAAGGGAAAAAATTCGGGCATGACTTGTTGATCCTCTATCTCGTCTCGTCGTCGTGTCCGCCAAGTTTATTGGGCTACCGGCCGCGCCGGTCCAGACTCGAGCCCTGCGCCTGCACTGCCCTCTTTCTTCGTCTGGACGTCGGGCGTTGATGTGTAGTGTAGTATGGTGGGACGGAGACGTGCTGTGTTTCGAGCACAGGGATATAGGCGTAGTAACACAAGCCTACCTCGTTAAATGGGGTTTTCGTGGTCTATTGAAGTGAGCGGCTTGTCAGTAGTTCATGTTGCTTGGTGGTCTATATGTCGTAATGCTTCTCTGATTTGGTATCTTTCGAGAGCCACGTTTGTCCCAAATGGCCCGATTAATCGACTAACATAGAATTCAATAATGAGACAAACACCAAATCAAAGAAGACGGGAAGAAAGAAAGACACCGACGGGAATCAAAAACAGTAACGGAACGAGTCGCTATCGGAAAGTGGAAAGTTGAAATTGAGAAGGTCTGTCGGTCTGTACATCTAGGTAGTGCCTATGTCATTCGTTCGTGGGGAAAGCAGTCTATTATCACTGGACCTCGTTATCTCCGTACCTGCCTGGTTGGGTCACCTGAGCATATCATGAATCAAGAATGCACGTGTTGCCGAGAAGTCATGTAGAGAGAAAGAGAGAATATAACCTCTTGTTCGCTATCTACGTCAGGAAATAGATATTTCCTGCCATAAAAGAAGAGGTTCGATGCTATCCAAAGGGCCCTGTAATTACCAACAAAGTTACTCCGTACTTAGGTACCATTCTGCGGCGCTTTACATATGACAGCTGTGTTACAGGGATTTACGCTGTAATTTTAGATAGCGTTCGAGGGACTTTTCACTAAGTAACTTCCCGAGGACCCCTGCAGCATCAGATATGCATTTAAGTGGGCTCGAAACATGCATATATAGGTATATATATACTTGCAACTATTGAGACTAATATCTGGGAAAGTTTAAGAGGCACAAAGATTATAACATGGCATCATTTTCTATCTGCTTCGGATCCCATAGAGTACTTATAGCCTCTAAATATGTGTAGGCAAGGCAATTATGCATGAGTGACCCCCCTGAGAGAAGGCGGAGAGAGGAGAGGAAAAGATAGCTATGAAACGGGCAGCATTACGAGGAGTGACGACCACTCACCTTTAGTTCTTGGTTCGGCTCTTCTTACGATGGAATATGTATTGTCCAGCCCGATGTCACACCTTCAAGATGCGAAGAGTTCTGTTCGTAGCGCGGTAGAATACAGCCGTGATACCATTTACTGAGATGTGCGTTGCAATCCGACATCGTGTATCGCGCAATAAAACTCTTTTCTCGTAACACCATGTCTACGAAGCTTTTGTCAATTAGTCTTTGCAGACAGTCGATCAGGTGTATACCGCGATGTAGTGCCCGTATAGTGACAGCTTCCAGTATTCACGACGACGAAGTCAGTCGAGGTATGAATAGATACAACAGTCACCACAGCTGTCTTGGTATCGAATAGTCTATTCTCAAGTAGCTGGCGCTGATGAGCCAGTCGAGAAACTATGTACAATAGGCGCCAGAACATGATGATTCGACTCGCGATTATTTAACAATACACATTGTAGATGCGGGTTGAGAAATGATTGGTGATCGAACCCCACGGCGGACGGCCCGAAAAAGGGGCTGTTGTTGATGGCCTCAGCCACCAAGGCGTTCCACTCATCTGAATCAGGGCTCGTGGAGTGCCCCTGCAAATTGTCTGGTAGTGGTAGGTATTCGTCTGCGACGGCTTGAATGTCTTCGGCTATCTTCCTCGACAAAGACCATGTTTCTCCGTGTAGCGTAAGGATCCGTATGAGAGTATTTATCCTCTCGCGAAAAATCGGGGAGTCTAGTCCCAAAAATACGCATGCGTCCAAGTATACGATAGCCACTCTCAGGAGGCCGGGAACCATCTAAAGAGCATTTTGTCAGAAATCACCCTATCAACCACGGATTCGGTGTGTATGGGAAGGTAAGAGGGGCGATGATAAGTATTCCTCTAATATGAGATCTTTATTCTGCAACCATTGGCAATAAGATGAGTGGGTGGGGATAATTAACGAACTGGTAGCTTACCATAGGCCGGAGGTTTTTGATGGGAATTGAATACCGAAATAGATCACAGACGCTGTTGGCTGCTTGGATATCAACAGGGTGTGGGTTCCAACCAAATTGTTTCACAGCTTGTCCCTTGCGATCGGGTCCACGACCTGGGCCTAATGGAAAGTATTCACGTATATTAAGGCCTTTTCTGAGTGCGGATTGTCTAAGCCGAATTCGACTTCTGTGGCCGGAAAATTAGAATTTTCAACTCGATGCTGATTGATGTATTGCTTTCGCCTTACATGTGAGCCCAGGCCACTGTGGTAAAAAGTACTTGGTCTGGTCTTCCTTCTGGATCAACTTCAGAAAGTAAACATCCAATTAGCGACTATTAATTTGCAGGGAAAAAAGACCATATAATTGTATCAACCCGTGCCGTGACACTGCAATAGGTGGACAGGCGGTATGAAGAGGCGAACGACTCACTGACTTCCATTTTCCATCGCGGGATACGGCGCAAAAAGTCGCAGATTTTCAGGTCTGCCTCATTGATCTTTTCCATATTTTCGTCATCCCCACCACTTATTTCGTCGCACAAAAGCGACAGATCAGCCTGTATGCGGCAAAGTTCAATCTGTAAAGCTAAGGATGGAAACTCGGAACGCCCAAGGTCGACTTCTCTGTCGTGCTGTAACACAGATATAGGCGGGGGAATATCCTAAGATGACACGAATTACGTTAGTAACCAATTTTCTTGAACGGTAGACCAGTCCCTTGTTTAAGAGTGATTCCCCAAGTCTATATCCAACAACAGATAGTACACCCACCCCTGATTGATATTGCCATTCTTCCGAGTAGGGCATGTCCACGTCCGACTCGACTTCATAAGTCTCGACTGCCGGCTCCGTTTCGTGGGCGCGCCGTATCATACCCTGAAACTTTATGTACCACCAAGTTCGTCGATAGGTCTCTGCCCATATTGGGTCCGAAGTACGGTCCGCGAACGCTTTACGATGCATACCAAGCTCTATCGCCATCTTCCAACTCCGGTTCCCGAAGCTTATATGGTGTTCAAGTTTGCTTTCGCCGAATGCAATTGTGGATAATAAATGCAGGCCTTGTACTGACTGTACTGTGAAGGGCAAAGGTCCACAAGCTGCGGCATACGTTGCCTCTCGAAGGTCATTTAACCTGGCATCTCCGGTATGCAGCGCACCGCAGAAGTCGATAACAGAGAGTAAGAAGTGATAAGCATTGGGATCCGATTCGACGTACCCGAAGAAGTAGTTCTTTGGCGGCAGAATAGGATGACCAGGGTAGAAATAGTCGAAGAAGGCGGATGCTAATGATTCGTGCCTCTTCGTGTCGGCTGGCTTCGAGGTTGTCCAACCATTTGATAATGCATTCGGCATGTCGAAGGGTAAGATCTTAGACGGACATTTAATTGCTGTACTGTTATACTGTGGCGAGGAAACCGGTATCTGATCTGAAATCAAACTTCGTTTCTTTGGATCCCGAATGCCCCGCCTTGACTTGGTATAATAGCATGGTTTTTCTTCCACAAGACACCGACCGCAGGCCGGTTGCCTTGCATCACATTTTACGCTGTTTTGGATCTAGTTAGTAGCCGTTCCAAGTCGGTACAGATGAACAACGCGGCAGCGTAGACTGCTTTGTAGCCACAATACCGTAGATAGACTACACCTATGTAGATGCCATAGGTGCAAGGATTCGTAGTGGAAGGACTATACGTACTGTTTACTGCGACATTGAACGCATGCTAGTGAGGCGCGGATGCTCGCCTTCGATCGGCTGCCAGCTGGTTTCGTACTAGAGGCGTCAGGTGAGCACTCGTTTGGGCTCTGGCGGTCAGCATCGCTTGCATCTTTCCAGTTGTCGGAGGCCATCTTCACAATTTGAATTCTGGTTCAATCCCAAGTGGTGGCGCAATGCTATAGCGCAGCAGTTGAAACGAGGATTACGCGGGCGAAGATGCTGAAATCATCAGGGATTAGATAGCATTTCTCTTCGTATCGTGGTGTAGTAGATAGTCGAGGTTCGTCGGTTGTAGAGCTGAAGCGATGATATAGGAACGAGCTGATGAGGGCCCCTTCACCCTCATGCTAGTATGATCGTCTCCATCCACTGTATATGAAGCACTTATGCTCGTGTAAAAGCTTTCGATGTCGGAGCGAAGCTTTCAAAGGTGATCACATTTGCAGGGACCTGTGATGCCAAGCACTTCGCCAAGAGTTCTGGAATGTCATGCGATAAAACTGTCTAGACAATACGAAATGATGCTGCCGTAACGTAGGCAGGTAGTCGAGAGAAGACAAGTCAGACGACGGGGTTCTGAAAGGGGATCCAGAGAGGCATTGATGAATGGAGGGATTTGTAGGGTTAGACACTGCGAAGAAGAGACCAGGGCTTCTGCCTGGTTGCAGGTAAGGATGGCCGAACTAGGCCCATGGTGTCGAGTTGCTGACATCTCATAATTGACTATCCCCTCCTCACACTCAATCTTACGGCAGACTAGAAACGGGGAGTGAAGGTCAAAGACCAGCAGCCAGCTGACTAAATCTGATATGGCGCTTAACAGCCTACCGCCCTACGGACCTACCTACCTTGGTAAAAGTAACCATAAGCCAATGCTTTAGGTTTGTGAGGGAAACTTCATATTCACGACGGAGAAGTGCCGACAGCTGGTCGGCTATTTCTTCGTTGCAGAGTCTAACAGGGCTGTAGTGTCTATAACTACTCCAACTGGCTTGTTTGACTTGTACTGATAATCTGAGCAAAGACTTGCCTACACTACCTGGCAAGAGCCAGCGATCTTTCGCCTCTCAGGACTCGGTAGATATTTCGTTGACAGTGTCTCTCTGGTATCTCGACAGAGGAATTGAGCCTGGTTACATTCTCAGAATTGGTTGACGATTAGGTCAGCGTGCCACGGTTGGCTACAAAGCGGGACGCGGGTACACTACTCGCACGGCCGATCCCGATGCATCGCATCTGCTTGAAGCTTAAAGCAGTATCTATGCCCTCTCTTTTGGAGCGCAGCGCTCATGCAGAGAGAGGGAGACAGAGAGGGGGAGGGGGGACACGGCCCCTTTCGCCTATTTGTCGGTGTAGGTAGATAGAAGGACGAAACGAGCAGAAGACGGCGGAGGACAGCAGAGAGGAAAAGTTCCTCGTGGCAGGAGTGATTATACCGACCTGGATTCCAATAATTACGAGGTTCAGTGGTTGGCGAGTTTGCCGCAAAAGATGATGACATACATGATGGGTTGCATTACACTGCAGGTCTAAGTAGCCCTCGCAGACCCTCGGTAGCGTGCTGGGAACGCTATCACTGCGCTATCTTTAGTCCGGTCCTGTAGGTACCTTCCGAGGTTGTACTTGCCTGTCTCCACGCGCGGCGACCTGTGGCTTTCGACGATTTGGCTGTGGCTGACGCAGTAAGACAGCACCTACTGCAGTTACCTAGAGAATCTGTAGAGAAGTAGGAGTACGTAGTGGGTACCTAGGTAATAATGAGTCGATGAGGCGGAGTGGGTCTTCTACCTAGCCAGACCCCGGCCCCGATTTAGGACATTTGTGCATCTGTCATCTGTGCACATGTTAGTACTAGGTATGTACCTACACGGTGTACTACATATAGGTATGTACCTAGGGTACGGTATGTATGTACCTCGGCCATCCAGCTACCTAGCGAGCATACAGGGCGGCTCACCCCTCCCCACACAGCGCGGCTTACCCCTATGGTCAGTGCGGAAATCTTGGTAAGTACTGCCGCTAGAAAAGTACATTCTAGGGTTAAGATGTAGTTAAAATGCAGTTTGAAAGCGGTTAAATAGTTTACGTATGTTATTTAAACATATAATGCTATAGTTATTTTTAAACCGGTAAAATTTCTTACCGTACTAGGTAGAGGTCTGCTATACAGTATTAGTTATCCTAGTTTACTTTAATATTTAAGGGAACAATATTAAAGGGTTTCATTATTAATATATTATATTATACTTATAGATACTTAAGATATAGTTAAAATGTAGTTAAAATGGAGTTAATATATAGTATAGCTGTAGTTAGACAAGTACTTTTAAAATTAATGTACTTAGATTGATCTAACCTTTTTAGTTTTTTATATGGCGCATTGACCATAGGGGTAAGCCGCGCTGTGTGGGGAGGGGTGAGCCGCCCTACATCCTGGCTACCTAGCTACCTAAGGTACGGGCCCAGTCGGCATTGCCGTTTAACCTGAGTATCGTGGTCGCTGGTTGCGCGCAACGAAAGCCTCGGGAATGATCCCCCGATTACCTAACTCATCATCGCGCACCTCAGCTGCTGCTCAGTCAAGTGCTTGAATCTACATGTATGGGCGCCTTACATACAACGTTACCGTCAACGTCTTGCTCTACCTGTGAGTAGCGGTCGATTACTTCCATCACCTCCTGACCTCGTGATCTCCTCACCTCATCACCCTCCATTCCTTGTGGCTTCCTTGTATTGCCTCTGTTGCATTAGATATTATCTGACGGGGCTAGTGCTAACAAGACAAGGCCCTGTCTCTGAGCAGCTATCCCGACCAGTGGTAGTCAGCTTGAGCTCACTGTCGCTCGTTTCAGACTGCCTACCCAGGTCAACAATGGCAGTGTAGCGCGTCGTCTCGACAACACCACAGAACGCGTCCTGCGTCGTCGACCCATATGAGCTCCTCCACCAGTTTTGCTCAGGCCCAGCAGCGCCTAGCTCTGCGCCGACAGGCCCGTGAACGAGAAGCTCAAGCTCACCTCATCGCCCATCGCGACGCCTCCCGCGCCTGGTCACAGGTTACTCGCCTGCCCTTCCCCCTGGATCGCTTGGGATCTACCTCATTGTCTGCATGGGAGCTTGTCTCGTCGCGTGAAGGTACCAAGCCTGCCTTCCGCGTTGGCCAGGTTGACGCCGAGCTACTAGATGAAGACCTGGTCCAGCAACTACGCGATCAGGTTGGCGAGGCCCTCAAGTACTTGGGAACCAATCTCAAGGATGATTGGGCTGCCGAGATTCTGCTAGCTCTTCGGGCTATATTGTTCAAGCTCACCGTTTGGGATCATGATGCTACCTATGGTGCTGCCCTGCAAAACCTTAAATACACCGATGCGCGCCGTGATGGCCCTGTTTTGATACCCCCAAGTAGGTGGCAAAAGAGTTTGTATGGCTTGGTGACGGTGGCCGGGAAATATGGCTGGGCGAAGTGGGAGAATTGGCTTCTAGATCAAGACAATGGCTATGATGAGCCATCACCTTGGATCAAACGGCTGTCTAGCATTACAACACGAATCACAACCGTGCATTCCATGGCTGCCTTCGTCTCCTTTCTAGTGTTCCTACTTCATGGGAGATACCGGACACTTCTCGACCGCGTTCTAAGGATGCGCTTGGCCCCTCCAACTAGTCAAGTCAGCCGCGAAGTGTCTTTTGAATATTTAAATCGACAGCTAGTGTGGCATGCGTTCACGGAATTCCTTCTGTTTGTATTACCTCTAGTTGGTATTAACCGGTGGCGGCGATGGCTAAGTCGTACGTGGAGAAAAACAAAGGAACTCATCCACACCGGACACAATGATGATGATGATGCAAGAGACAAGAATGGAGAGTTTGCTTTCTTGCCTGAGCGTACCTGCGCCATATGCTACCAAGATCAGAATAGTGCAGTTTCGGAAACAGAAGTCCTAGCAGCGGCTACATCGAGCGGCGTGGTAGGATCAGCACAGACCGATATCACGAATCCATACGAAACAATTCCTTGCGGATGTATCTACTGCTTTGTCTGCATCGCCACACACCTGGAACGCGAAGAAGGTGAAGGCTGGACTTGTCTACGCTGTGGCGAGCTGGTGAAGGAGTGCAGGCCCTGGAGTGGTGATGTTCTTTTGGAAGAGCAACCTAAAACAGCTTCCCCCAACTCCAAGCATGTCGGGTTTGTAGACGATGGAAACGGTAGCACTCACTCGGCTAAAGACAGCGAAGTGGAAGCCCAGGATGCAGAGCCTAGTGTCAACACAGATGAGACCATTGAGGATACGGATTCTGAAATTTATGAAGAGGAAGAGGCTGGAGTGGAAGACAACTTCGATGAATAATCACAAGTTTATTTTCAGCCAAACTTTGAAAATCGGCCAGGCATCCCCCGCGACTTGATCCTGCGGATGCAGGGTTTCTCCTCGAGAACCACACTCCAGGACTAACCAAGGCAATCTGAAGCGAGCGGCTATCCCTGGGTTGATCCAGTCTTATTATTGCCTCAGAAATAGCAATTCGTCGATAGACAAACGCACCTTGCGACCTTGCGACCTTCCACAACCAGCACCACTCGACTAATCATCCAGGGCTTCCTACCTCGCCATGTTTTATGGGCAATTATAGTTGCCTGTCATAGGATGGTCACTATCATTATCTTGATGGCGCCATCCATTTGTGTGTAATCGGAAGCGAAACCCCCTCGAGTAATTGGAGATGAGATACTCAACCCCACGAGCTATTGGCCCAGTCAGGGCCTTCATTCACAAACACCAGAGAAGGCATTGACAGAACAAGGCACGCAGTGCATAATTTATGCCGGTTCGAATCACCTCAGCCTCGATATCTAACACTTTTACAAATCAGTGAGCTTATCCGGGGCCGGAACTTCCAGTGAGAAGGCACTTACATGCCACGACGTAGGACTTTGCCGTCGTACATGCTTCGTACGACAGAATAGATATATCGTTATCTGAAACGACTAGTATTTATGTTCACTATATCCTATTACCTGCTTGTACATTACCCAAAAGACACATAGCAAGAAGAAATATGTATAATATACCCCGACTTGCATTACCCCTATTTGCACCGAGTCCTACCATGTGTATGTATTATTCCTAAAACCCAAGTAGCCGAGCGTCAATGGCATGCATACCCGCGCAGAAGATGGTGTGTGAGATAAGCCATGACAAACATCTATGAAGAATCCTCAATTGACAAGAATTCTCATGAGCCCAAGCCCAAAACACCTCCTTGATACGCATATATACCTATTGAGACTGCTCGGGTCGTAAACGAGAGGACCGGATATCTAATATTCTTCACTCACATTATATCCGTCTACAAGGAATTCCCAAGGAAAAAAAAAAAATTAAAAATAAAAATCCCGCCTGACGAAATAGGATGTTGGTATTGCGTACATGCATCATCTACGTTCTAGAAGATCTGCACAATAGCAGTGCGCTTCTCATATCATTCTTTCCCCGTCTTATCCCCGCCACCGCCTCTGAAAACCGCATCTGCTCTAAAGAACGCAGCCCCTAATACGTCATCTACATCTTAGGTCGGCAGTTAGGTAAGTTCAAAGTGAAAGGGGTTAAGACAAGTAACAAGCTCAATCACAATCACACGATAATACGAGCTCTCAAGCCTAGGTGGGCAAGAAATTAATCGGATTATTTGATTCGGGCTACAGAGAAGGGTAAAAATATTTTATTCGGGATTGATAATATGATGAACTCTTCCCTGTGGTTTCCTACCTATCAAATACGCGGATGGGGGTATGTAGCTCTCATTTCAGCAGACCATGCTAAACACCTAACTCCTCCGCATGCGAAAATGAACCTGCCAGGCGAGACGCCGCCGGACTGTCTATACATGTTATATTTAGCACCTATGTGCCATATGCCACATGCATCCATCGTTTCAAACTCACTAGCTTTATCCATGTTTCTAATTCTCGCTCAAGCCAAGCGCTCTATACCGGCTCTGCGTACTTCATCTAGTTTCTGCCGTCCATCATAGCGCCTTGTCCGAGTAGCCTTAATATCCAAGATCTTTAAGCAGTGGCATTAATGATTTACTGCTTTGCCTAATACTTGAAGTTTTGGGTCTTCGGCCTCGCCTGTCCTTGCTTCTTAAACACTACGATCCAAGCGAGGCAGGCGACCTGTGTTCCAAGTCCTGGAAGCTGGTAAGAACGTCCTTGTCCACATTGGCCAGCCATTCTTGAAATGTCTGCTCGCCAACAACTTGTGCAAGGCCTTGCAGCCTCTCCTTGACGAATACATAGGAGACTACAGTTCGAACCGGGTCTGTATAATATAGTTCGCGCTTCGCATAGTCCTTTTGGGTGTCCCACTCAGTAGAAGGTATCTTTTCAGTGCTATATAGTGCGTCGTGACCGGGGTTATCATCGTCCCAAATCTGACAGATAACACTGGCCCACATAGAGAGATAGTCTTGAAGCTTCCCCAGAACGAGACCACCCATAGGTTGAGGAAGCTCGAGCAGACGTGTGAGACCAAGAAGGTTTAGTTTGAGGCGGTCGGGTTCTGCCATATAATCGAAGCACGAGAACCACTCGATGCTGAGCCAGTCCCAAACACTCTCGATTGGACCTAATGTACTAAGCATCGAAACGAACGTAGATGGGTCTACAACGGCGATTCGCGAGAGGATGGTCAGGTAGCTTGTCAGGGTATAAGGGTCCAGGCGGCTCTGTTTCTTCTTAGGTCCAGAAGTTTGATGAGCCTCATATGCGTCCCGGATTCCTTCGAGCAAGTGTTTCAAGAATCCAATATCCACCATATCTCTCATCAATAGGTGAAATCCTTGATCCCCACCAAGTTGATGAGAAAGTCGCAATGTCATTTCAATGCACTCGGTTGTCAAGGACACCTGGTTGTGACTCTTCATTTCTAGGGACGCTAGAAGTGACTTGAGAAGTGGTTGGCGATAGTGGTCCTCTAGAAGAGACTGGGGGGCTAAGGCTATGTAGCAACCAACAATGTTGATACAGACTTCAGCATGGTTATTTTGGCTTGCTAGCTGTTCGATTACCACGCTAGCAAGACTAAGAATACCCGGAGACAAAGGCGGTGGGCTATTCTGTAAAAGAACGTTCCAAAATTCCAACGCATCGTCAAGAAGGTGAAGAGCACTGTCGCTCCCCTCTTGAGTAGTCTCCGCGATTAGCGGCAACACTAGATGCTGGTATCGTTGGAAGTCACTTCTCATGGAGGAGACGAGGGTTTGCAATATCGCCAAAACTGCTTGCTTCAACATGAAACCAAGGTTACCTGCTGAGCTCCAGATATCGGGTAGTACATTCATGATAAGGTCGCTGAATGGGACGATGGCCGTGTCCATCCGTGAGATAAGACTCCGCAGGGTAACAACAACAGCCAGCTTCGTCTCCTCAGACTCCATTGCCTGCACCAAGTTAATGAGCTCTTTAACAATATCCGGTGCATGGATAGAGAAGTGTTCCTGGTCAAATTCAAACTCATCTACAACCTGTTTGAGCTGTCTTGCAGCCGTGATCCGAACAACAATGTCGTTATGAGGATCTTGAGAGTTAAGGAAATGCTTGAAAATCTCGTAAACTAGTGGTCGTGTTTCTTTCGATATCTTGATTGGTACCCACTGGCTCAAAAGAATGGCGATACGCCGCCGTAGAATCTGGCACATAGGAACCGCCTGGGCTGCATCAGTAGCGATTACCGATTTCAATAAATCATCAAAATCTAAATGGTTTTCCACCAAGGCAGCTGTCAGACCCATGGTTGTATAGACGGCCTCTTTAGTGGTAATACTAGCTTGTGGATCTCGGACTGTGTTGAAGTAGACTAGTAAGGGTTCGAGTAAGAGGTATTTATAGTGTATGAAAAGGTCGAGTAAGAGCCTCTCAGCGCAAGGTCGTACTTCGAACTCATAAGCATTGCCTTGGTTTTCTTCTCGCAATTCCCATTCCTGTGGATCGTCTTCCCAAGCCTCCATGTCCGCTTTTCTGAACACTAAGAGGTGAGTGATGATTGTATGCGCCGCTTGTTGAACAAAATCGTCTGAGAAGAGTTGGGATTTCATAGCTTTTATATCTTCCTGCTGCTCTTGATTATCCTCTTTTGAGCGATACTTAATAGATTGAACAGGTCTGTGCGTCAGTTTGATGCAGGTCCTCATGAGAAGCAGGCCTTTCAAAGCAAGCCTTTCCATCAAAGGCCCCGCAGCCCCCGGCTGGGTGTCGTTTGAGGAGCCGCTGTGGCGAATTCCCTCTGATTGACCAAAAACCAACGAAAATTCAGCGACGAGATTCCAGTACGCACGAACGAGCTCGGAAGATCCGGGCAAAGCAGCGAAACTCGCTGGATGGGAAGATGCCATTTCAATGTGTAGCTTCGTGAACTGTAGAACATGCTTCGCGATAGCCGGGTATCTCTCATTCATGAGGCCGAGCAGTTGTCTAAATTGTGACTGGGAAAAAGTCCAAATTTGCCGGACGGCTTCATCTTTATGGGGAGCTTGATACCCTCCGATCAGAAGACGGCGCAGAATCTTAAAAGCCATTAAGCTATTCTCCATGGCAGCCACAGCGTGTGTCTCATTTCCTTGACCATTGGTACCAAAATCCAGCCATAACCTTGTCTTAGCATCATAGATCTCTGCTAAAACCTGAACTAACTCAGGGGTAACGGCCTGTAAGGCTTTCTGGGATGGCATCAAGCGTGCAGATCCTAACTCCTTCACAATGTGAAGTAAGATTAAAAGAACACCTGCAAGGGACTGGTCGGTATTACTTGATCCCTTAAGCTCACTGATTGTGTATTGTAGAGCATTCGGCCATTCGTTAGGAAAATCGACCCTAACAATCTTGGCCACAACTAAGGCATTATGTAAGGCAAGTTGCGGATCGTGTTCCCCTAGGGTACCGCGGAACAGATTAGACCGAATATTGGCTTTTTCGGCAGGTGGTATAGCATTCTTGTTGGCAACAGAATGGGAGCGCCAGTATTTATCAATACCATTCTTCAGCTGGATAATAGCCAGGAAGCGCATCTCTCGCGGCAAGGTCTTGTCAAGAAACACTTTCTACATCAAGAACAAGCTGGTTAGCTAGGTCCCAAAATGACTGCGATACTTAGAACATGTATGGGAAGATCTCGGCGGCTTGGGAAGATGCACGGTACCTGCAAAGTAGAGTAGAAGTCAGCATGATGCTGCCAGGATGCCAGCTGTTCACCGGCGGCTTGTCGTTGGTGGTGATCCCGAGACGAACTGGCCGACATGAGAGCACGGCACAACTCGACATAGCTGAGGGGGGTTGCCGCCCCAGGTACTTCGATAGCGAAGTTCATGCTGCGATACAACGATCCTATACCGATGGCGTTTCGAAGAGGGAGGACGGAGGGAGAAGAGGAAGAGGGAGAGATGGTGATGGTTGGTGCATGGTCGCATTTGTCCTCTGTGATACTTTTGAGCAAGACGTCGATGGCGGGGTCGTTCACTTAGTTTGGGTACCTAAGGTAGGTAGGTACCTTGCAGCTACCGCCTAGAACAGCTAACCTAGGAAAGCTAGGTACCTCCTCGCGTTTCGCGTTATAGGAGCTATACAACAGGAGCTAGCGCAGGCACCTTAATATCAAATGCTATATTAAAATACCGATGTACTTATTAGCACGTACTTCAACATTCTGAACTGATATCTAACAACCATCACCATACATTCTAGACTTGACAATAGCATGGCTGTTAACTAACAGGAACCCTAAACCAGTGAATGGCCCCGATCTAACTGTATATACAAGTTATGGGCTTGCGGGTTTTTTTTCGGTGAAGTAGCATCCTGTATAAGGACTTCACAAATATCTACGTAAGAAACTACGAAAGAATTTCACCAGATCCGACGCACATATAGTATTGTCTACGAACTAGGCGACGATGCCAGGCACAATACGTCTTTGCTCAGCTTGGCTGGCAAGGCTACAGGCAGAAAAGGGAATGCTTAAGTATAGGCAAACATGTATCTATTAGCTATTATAGATGGCCGAAGCCGACTGGACATACCATAAGTGGCATGGCACAGCCAGACACACAGCAATGAGACTTTCCTGACCTAAGGCTTATACCCCAGCAGGGAGAACTTCCCCATTATGGATCAGCTCTGCTATTTTGAGGGCGTTTTAATCGACAAATCGAGTGTTGATTTCCGACAAAGAATGATGACTTTCAGGGTATACTGGGTATCAGTAGAGTTAGGAAATGTTATGTCGAAAAAGACGTATCTCAGGTCTCCGCCAAGCGAAGCATGCAAAATCAAAGCGTATAAAACAAATCATGATCCACCTCTTAACATCGGAGCTCTAATCCATGCTTTGCTTGTGGCATTCGTTCGAAAGATGGATTGCCGAACCAAGGTAAGAAGATGGGGGTATCAGCTCAGAACCAATCTTGGCAGGGTATCTTGAAATGCAGATTCCGTTCCCGACCGACCCAACAAGATGGTGTATCTCTGTAATGAAAATCATTAGGTGCCACGACAACAAGGTCCATGGTCACATTTATCCACGCCCCTGGCGCGAGTCGCACTCTATGCGGCGGCGGTCACAGGGGCAGGAGCTGCTGCGGCAGGCTTCTCAACAGGTGTCTCCTCGAGGACCGACACAGGAGCAGGCTCCTCAACTTTAGTTTCCTCAGTCTTTGCATCAGCCGCAACCTCTGCAGCGGGTTCGGAAGCACCCTCGGCATTGTCAGCTGGTTTGTCTTCAGCAGGCGTCTCCTCGGCAACCTTCTCCGCTGACTTCTCGGCGGGCTTGCTCTTCTTGACCGTCTGGCGCAGCTTGGAGAAGAAAGGTGTAGACTTCTTCTCACCCTCTTCATCGGAAGAGGCCTTCTCCTTCTTGCCAAAGGCGAAGGGCAATGAAGACTTCCTCTTGTCACTCTTCACTTCCTTCTTTGTCTCTCCGTTAGTAGCCGGTGCGGCTTCAGCAGCCTCAGTCGAAGCCTCAGCAGGCGAAGCCACCTCAGCAGTCAAAGGCTCAGTTGTCTCAACGGCAGGGATGACAGGCGCGGTCTCAGCAACTGGGGCCTCAGTAGCAACAGGAGCGTCCTCCTTCGCAGGAGTGCTAGGTACAGACTCGGACTCAACCTTCTTCTTGCCAAACGAAAGGCCACTGAAAAGGCTGGCACGCTTCGTAGGAGCAGGCTTAGCAGCTTCTTTGGTGTCCTTGACCTCCTCGGCGGGGGCGGGAGTAGCGTCAGTTGCAGCAACCTCAGCGGGCTGAGCAGTGGCCTCGGCCTCAGTAGCTTCGATAATTTGCTCAATAGGAGTAGTCTCAGTTGCAGCAGCAGTTCCCTCAGCCTCGGCAGGCTTATCCTCGGCAGGAGTCTCCTTCTTAGCCTCGTCCTTCTTGCCTAGGAAGTTACCAAAGATGGATGCTCGCTTGCGACTGGCAGAGCGACGCTTAGGCTCCTCTTTCTTCTCTTCCTTCTTTTCTTCTTTCGCTTCCTCCTTCTCCTCTTCCTTAGCCTCCTTGGCCTCCTCAGCGGCCTCGGCTGGCGTGTCCTCTTTGGGAGCTTCAGCAACGGCGGCAGCCGGCTTCTCTTCCTTCTTGGCGGCTGGTGCTGGTTTCAGAGACTCCAAAGTCTGCTTGTAGGTTTCGGATTCTGTCACAGTAGTCGCCAATTCTTTGGCCTCGGCAATCTTGAGCTTGATCTGCTCAACCCAGTTATCGCGGTCAGCAGTGGTGGGCGCCTTGAATGTGTGCTTGTGACCCTTGGCAGTGAAATGGAACTTGTGAGAGCCTTCGGTAGCGGGTTCAGATGCTTCGGACTAATCATGTTTGTTAGCTTATGCGGTGTTTGATTTTCAGCTATTCAACATACCAACTGAATAACACCAGTAGGAGTAGTCTTGTCAGAGTCCTTGCCAAAGAACAATAGACCCTTTCCGGTTTCAGCAGCCCACGAAACTACATGGTGTCCAACATCACTGGCCTTCTCGTGCTTAAGGTAGGTGGCGAGCTTCTCTTTTTCTACGGAATCAGATCCGAACCAGAAGTGATTCTTAGCGTATAGCAAATTCCTATACTTGGTCAGTCGTCTGCTCCAGAATAGAACTCATATATATCATACTTGGGGAAGTTAGCTGGAGCACCCTTGTGCTCGAGCGTGCCGGCTTCGATAGGCTTGACCTCCTCCTTGGCCTCCTCAGCAGCGGCGGGTGTCTCCTCCGCAGGTGCAGCAGTCTCAACAGCCGGGGTGTCCTCGGCGGGCTTGTCTTCAGCAGGCTTCGACTCGGCCACAGGCTCCACGACGGGTTCCGCGACGGCAGGTGTTGTCTCAGGGACGGCAACGGGCTTCTGTTCCTCGGCCATTGTAGTGTATTGGGTATCGAAAACAGAAAAGTATGGGTATCACAAATGGGTATCAAAAAAGAGGAAAAATGAAAGCAATTAGCAGTACTCTACCAAAGCTCAAAGTATCTCCGACTCTGTCTGACGAATCTAGCGTCGTTTGGTAGGTGGCTGTTGATTAATAGGGCTGACTAGGTACTGTGACAAGGCGATGAGGGTGAAGCTCGCAGTGTCTGTGTGGACGGAAGTGGGAAAAGAAGGAAGAGGAGAAAGAGGGTGGCAGCTTCTGCCAGGTCGTATTTATCATCTGTCTCGTGATTAGGAGAGGGAGGGAGGGAGGACAAGGGAGGCCGACACCCGGAAAACCACACCAACACCATCGGCCCCTACTCCAGAGTACCTACGTAGTACGTATCCCTACAGTAGTCGGTACCTGCTACGGTAGGTGCATGTTTCCCTGCCTGCTACGCTGCCGGGTGACCTGTGGCACTACCTAGGTACCTACTACTATTACTTCACTACTACATACCTCACTAGGTACATACTACCTATTTCACTACTACAGTACATTCTGTACTATACGGTAGGTAGGTAGGTACAATACCCATGCGGTGGGCAACAAGGTCACGGCAGCAGGTCCTCGCACAGAGCACCGAAGATACAGGCAAATAAAGCATGCCTAGGTTCTGTAAGTCATCGACGTGTGTCGAACTCATCCACCATCCAAACAAGCCCTTTGCACACACTTAAGGGTTCGAGGTACAAGCACATACATTGGATGCATGCCACAGCCCGCCCGCGCGCTGCTGTGACTCGATGTACCCTCGTGTACCTGGCACCTACATTAGCACATACTACAGGGGGAGCTCATACGAGAGCGTGCACCGAGAAGCTTGGTGCGACAGGGATAGCAGCAGCAATTTGCACTAGTTAATGTGGGGGCACTGGCGGGCGCATTCGCTAGGCGGGTCTCACAACGCCCTGACCCCTGTCATCTGCCCTGCCACTAAAAAATCAAACCAGTCTATCCCCACTAGAGCAATATCCGCCGCCTATCGCAGCCCGTGGGCCCCTTCCCGATGCGGAAATATCGCTTAAGCTGCTAAGGAACGGTCAGAGAACGGTCTGAACGGTGTCCAAGGGGCGGAAGCGTGAGAGGGGGAAGATGGAAACCCTCATTTCATGCATATTGCCCTTCCCTCCCCCCCTTTACGACTTTACGACTTTCAGGTCCTGTTACGGTTAGACGCTTGTCAATAGGCCCATGCAGTCTAGCCCTGTCCTAAAAGTCTGACTACCGAAATATCCACAGGTCCCTTGCTCCAATCCGGTTATCTACCACTTCCAAGCTTGTGCTATCACAGACAGAACCAACCCAGTACCAACCCAGCTTCTGAAAACTTCTTCTGCATCGACGCATTTTTGTTTGTTCTTTCGGTTGACTGGTTACAGGATATTTATTAGCCCCGCTGGTGTTTTTTTTTTTCTCCTCTATCCGTAGAGAGGGGCTTGATTCCGATAGGTAGCGCAGAGTAGCGATCTCTAAAGTCCCCAAAACCGAACCCTTGGAAGCTTGAGATCTTCGTCGCCCCCTGAAGGACTCTTTTGTTTTAGCCAGCACAAAGCAAACGGCCTCAAGTCATTTCAGATACCTACGTACCTGTACAGCCGGTCAGTACCGACAAAGGCGAGCACTCGGGTTGATGCCCTGTCATTGTCTTCTCAGGCGTCTTTTGACGCAAGATGTCATGTGTAATTACCACATGATGACACTATCTTAGATAGCGTACACTAGTACGTACAATTCCATCTAAACCATATAGCATCTAAAGTAGTGGCATATGCGGCACTAGTACTAGAAACATAGCGTATCTCAAGACGTTGTCTTGCAATTTTCTTAGCCGCCGTTCCAGATTGCTAACCTCAAATGGTCATTAATCCAGATGAGTTGGCTGCTACTTACATTGCATACTTACAGACTACACGCGGACAGATCTTTGATATCTTGGCTAGCCATACCTATATTGACTGCTTCATTGGTCTTCAGCACGCCCGTCAACAAATTGGTAGGCGCTGGCCCTCCTTACCTTTAGTGGATTGCACACAGTATGTAAGTATGACACACCTTCCCCCTTCTTCGTCAATAGATGGAATATGCTGCGATCAAGATCGAGGGGCTCGTTAATAGTATCCAGTTTATTATCCCTATCAATACCTCCAGCATTCCCCTTAAAACCTCCTAATAAGTCTCCAAATACACGGCTATGGATATTGTGTATCTACTATGTAGATCGACAGGTTAAAAGATCAACTTTTAATGATGGAGTAAAGTGGACTGCCAACGGTTAGGTTACCAAGCAACGATCACCGGCATACTGGTATCAGATGTTTCGCCTCTTGCCGAACGAAAGCACTCCAACTCCCAAAGAAAAGGAGAGCAGAGCACAATGCTGAGTACAGCTGCACATGTACTTAAGTAGAACATTACGCTTTAAGTACTGTATTGTTGTCGAAGAGCCACTGTGATAGTTCCCAGTTTCATACTGCGATATGAAGTACTCAGTACGCGTACATAGTATGTGCAGTTTAGGGGGCATCATGGGTTTTCACAACGATAGTGCACTTAAACGTGTTTTAGCCATCTGTGCCACTGTCGTCGATCGATCGAGTACCATTACTGCCCATGTATATGGTACTTGTAGGTAGGTAGTTTCGTCTTCTTCTACGGCATATCCACCCTCTTCAATGCACGATGTTCCTCATTCATGCTCACACTGCTTCTTCTTATGCTCTCGCCTCATCAAGGGTTTAACACCCGTCTACAATTTCACACGCAGCAGCATTGTAAATATTCTTCACAGGCACATTAATGTGCAGTAGCATAGGCATGAACGACATCATGTAGCCAAGAGATTCTTATATATGAATATGCCACGATGCTGTAGTTAATACAATAAGAGTATCTACTCAGAGATCCCTATAGTAGTACACATTGTGCTGTGAGCTTACCAGAAAAGGCAATCGAAGGGGAGACGGAGAGAAAATTTTGAAGGGAAATAATAATAACTAAGAGTACCGAGACCACCCCTCCTATTATCCTTCATACACACTATTGGTTGTCAGGTCGCAAATTACGGTAGAGTCGACCTGGCCTCTAAACCGCCGGCAGTCCTCCGCCAGAGTCTGCCTACTCTGGCCTACCAAAATCTGCCAAAGGTCAAATACACATACTATGTAAGTAAGTAAGTAAAAGACACCCCGAAGAACACATTGTTGACATGCATGGGCTAGTCCCGTCTAGCCTAATATGTCCAGAAATAAAATGAGGGTTGCATGCGAGGTGGGTCTCCGTCCCCAATCATCGCCCACCCGGCTGCTCAACCGTCGATCGCCAACGAAATTAGAGGAGGACCCCTCGAAATTACCTACCACGATACCAGTGGATGTGGATGATGGATAGATTGCTACACTACTGTTATGGTAGGTATCAAAATTTTTACCCTTCGGAATCACGAGTGTGATGAAGCTGCAGTAGTTGTGCGATGATCCAATGCTTTTACACACCAATGCGCTACAGATCTATCTCCATACCGAGTACTGTAAGTAGGTAGACGTTCGACTTACTCTACACACCGCCGCCTATCCCCCCCTCTCTCTCTGTACTCTTCAGAGTACAGACTAAGTAGTATATCTATCTCCTCTGGGACACCGTTCGCTACACCCACCTCTCTAATTCAATCATGTGGCACAGACTCGACACCACCTCCGGTGAGTGGACCTGCCGTTATCGAACTTACGTCGCCAGTTTTATGAGCTGGTTGTTTGGCGGCTAGGCACTATTTCAGCCCTGACAGGAGGGTGGTGTTTAATCGTGTGAATGGTGGCTCTCGGTTTACCTAATATCAAACGTTTCCTGCCGCCAAGTTTATGCCGTTGATCATCTACACACAGTAAGTAGGATGGCTTACGGGCCTTAATCAACTATCTACTGTAGCAGACCTATATTCTGCATTGTAGTGCAAGTTTAGCGAGCTACACGATAAAACAGGGTTATCCATGGCTTAACTTACATGCAGATACGCACATACAGAGGTAGATACATATGTAGGTCGTCAAGGTAGGTAATGTACTCTCCTACCCGTCGTACGAAGGCAGCTCGGCAGGTAGGTAACTTATTTGCCATCTAGAGGAAAATAAACTGTGTTACTTGGTCTTCTCAAGGTGGTCATATGAAGGCCCCCATCCTATCCCACGGCCCCCACCGCAGCTTCGACGGGTAAATTATCACTGCGAACTTGTATAGGTATAAGTACTTCCCTATTACAAGGATAGCCGTCGCCCGAGGCAGGGTGAAGGACATTTTGACAACACTGATGAATGAAGATTTTCTGACCGGTAAATCGACAGTTGGAAGTTTATTGTTAAGCCGACTCCAAGGTCGAGGGGGGGGAGAAAAAAATGTTATGCCTATCGTTCGATTCTTGTTTCAGCGGCTACACAAACGCATGACCAAGATTGATGCTGCCAGAATGGCTACCTAGGTTTGGCCATTCCTCCAATAGTCATATAATACAGACAGGCACTAAATCGTTGCCAGCAAGATCCCTGTTGCCATTCTTCGCCACCGCGCTACCTACACCTCACTGCCGACGCCCTACAAACATTCCCGGCAGGTAGATTTACCTGCTGTGCCTCGCGTACACCTACCAGAACCTACCTACCTACTCTTGCTGGTGTCATGGCGGCCACAGCTAGCCAGTGAATATACTACATATATATACTATGTACGCATCATATCAGACAGCATTCAGGTTAGTTGAGGCATCTGTTCGGTAGGCAGTTTGGCCTGCCTACAGGAGGCGTGCCTTGCTGTAAACCTGCCACAAACTCTAATATGCTTGCCTGATTGCTTTGGGCATGTTTATCCTTTGTGGCGAGATATCGAGACAAGACGGCTAAAAACAGCACTTTGTAGGACGGTCCTCGCTGCACATTACTTCGAGGTCACCTAGTATACAGGC